CAAGCTTACCTGAAAGGCAGCTTGCATGCCACTACCAGTGTTCCTGTGCAATATGTAACCAGTGCGCAGGTGTTCTGCATGTGTGCCCTGGGGTCTACCACCAGAATTGGCTAGGGAAGTAAAACCTGGTCTGCAGTCCAGGAGTCTTGGGTGTGCACCCAAGAAAAAAAATCCTCTGCAGGGAAACTTGACAGAGAAAGTTTTCTCTGGAGGCAGAACTCAGAAACCTTTAAGAACCACTAGTCAAACACAGCTTACCACAGCTTAAAAACTCACATTAGTTCCAGGGAGCAGGCTTGCTCCCTTTAAAACATTGCTGTACCAATGACAAATTGCAGTCATATGAAAAACAAGCATAAAAGATAAGCAGGACACACATCATTTGCTATTTCATATCCAGATATGAGTTTCAGGCTATTATTTGGTTGGAATGAACCAAGAAGGGGATTTTTTATTTTAAAAAATAAGAATCTATAATTGCAAGCAAACTCCAAATCCTGGGAGAGATATAGTGGCTGGTTGCTATCTGTTGGAACTAGTTATTTGACAGTGGGATTTTTTGTTTTGTTTGGTTCTTTTCTTTTTTCACAAAAATTGCATTTTCTGTTTGTCCATTCACTATTTTTTTCTTATTAAATTTATGTTGCTTTAAACAGTGGCGCCATAATGCATCTCTGTTTGCCTCACAATCTTTTGAATTTAATCCATTTGCCTGCCATATTCACCCACTATTGCACTCCTTGGACACAAAAGCTTTAATGAGGAATTGAACAGAATGCAAATGCAATACTTTTTAAAACCTACTATTTAAAAGTGTGTTGTTTTAATTGTATAGGGCTAAGCACTATTTTTAGTATCGTGTGTCATTTCTGTACTCTGTAGACTTTTCTCTCTCTCTACCTTAGTACCTTTGCACTACCGTTTTGTCACTGTAACCAATTGTAGAACTGCCATTATTGCAAACAATTTGCACTTAACCAAACAGTCTCCATGTCTGTATATACTGAAGGGGGAGAAATGGAAATACTGTCAAGCGGCTTCGGGTATTCAACAGCTCTAGAAACCTGCTGTAAAAACTGTTAAGAACTATTATAACTGTGTTTATAAATTGAAGTAAATCAATGTGAGAATTTGCTTGGATTGAAATGCTGTTCTATGCCGGTTGTACTCAAGTGTTTTTTAAAATGGTGAGAAGTTTTTCTTCCTGTTTTTCTTTTCTTTTTTTGCCCCCCTTCCCCTGATTTTTGTTCCTGCATTTCAGGCTCTCTTCAGAAGTCACTGGCCTCGGGGCTCTGTAATGTGTCCCAGCATGCACTAGGGCTTGAGCTCCCTGACAGGACTTTTCTAAAGCCTCATGAGACAATGCTTTCTATGGACTAATCAACAGAGGAAGTGGTCCTTTCTAACTTTATTACTCTTCCAAGATCTCAAAATAAACACTTTTACTCTAAGCAACTGTGCTTCCCAACTCCTGTGTTGCTTTCATTGCTATTCTGGTTTAATAATCTTGAGGCTCAGCAAGGAACAGTAACAGATGATTATTATTTTTAAAAATTTCTGTAGATGTTCATGCTCTGGCCAGTCTGTACAAAGCATGGGCTGTTGATGTTTTAAACCACTATATATTAAGTATAGACTTGATAAACTAAATAAGCTGTTTTTTATAAATAAAGGTTTTCCTGACTTTAAAAACCACATCTTAGCTTTGTGCATACAAATAGCTGTTGTGATTTTTAACTTTGTAACGAAGATGTTGATCAAATACTATTTTTGTGACTTGTCACCAATGAGTTCAGACCTATGGCTTGTTTTGCATTAACAATTAAAAGTTTAACATAATTGCAATTAGGCCTGGTGCTTATTGGGGGAAAGCATTACAACCTAATATGGCATCTTAAAGAGTATTGCACAATAATTTGCTTAATGGGAACTTTCAGCCAACATGTTGAGTGAGTGGCTTCATAAAAAAAACACAGGTATCATCCATGTGGAAATGGTTTTCTACATACCGATAACATTTTGAATAGGATATTATTATGTTTGCAAAAGCTTGCTGGGTCTGTGGGAGGTTCTGGAGAGAATCCATGTCAGCATGGCATGTCCATGAGCACAAGAGAGCTTCAGGTACATTTCACAAAAATCAGGTTGCTATACCACATTAGAACTACTTGTGGAGCTGAGGGGTGTCAAGAAACAATTTAATATGACAGTGGTAGCAGAAGTGCTATTAAAAGAAAAGACACAAAGAATGCCACTGGGCTGAAACAAATCCCTTAGATAAACCCAGGTAGCTCTTTGGATGATGAACAATTGCTTTAAAAATACAGGTATCCAGGACATAACTGATGGATTAATAGGCCTTTCTTTACTGTTGACATTCATACTACTGTTTGACTTCAGGAAATATTACTAGGCAATATCCAAACATAATTCTTATAGGTTAGGGCCAAGTGCTGAAACTGACAGCAGCGCTTATACCACAGTAAAAAAACAAAACCACTTCTCCTTCAGAAAAAGTATTTTATTGGAATATCTATTCCAAACAACATTTTACTTGATTTATGGCAGCATCATTAATTAGAAAAAAGCATCGTGTCTTTGCTATTTCAGATCGGATTGCATTACATTGCTCCTGAGAAAAGGTTTCAGTGGCACAGAGCCCAAACAGCCTAAGTGAAATGTCTACTCATGGTTGTACGTACTCGCTCTATAAATTAACCAACACATATTGTGCAAAGCACACAGGGCAAAATTTCTCTTGTTCTGTTTAACCCAGTAGCCATCATTCAGGGCTGTCTAAGTATTTTCTAAACTATACTAGAAAAAGACAGCAAGTCCAAGGCAGCAAGGAAGTTTTTCTAGGATCATACAGGTTAACTAGCATCTACAAGTAACTAAATAGTTAGGAATCTTACAATAAAAGATGTACTGTGTACAGGCTTCAGACTTATTTTCTCAAACAGGAGCCCCCTCCCCCTGCCAAATGGAAAACCACTTTTGAATCCAAGGAGTATTTCAAATACATATTGGGAGAAGGCATGGAGGTGAGAGTCCATGGATCCGGCACCAAGCCCTGTGTAGCCTTGGCTGTGGTAGTCAAAGTCAAAGCCCTGCTTTGCCCTGCAGCATGCTCCAACTGCTTGGGTTCACACTTCCCTATGTGTTCCCTAGACCCTAACACTTTTAATGGGTATTAAAACAGCACAGGTAACACAACAGAAGCTACACTGGATTCATAGAGCAAATAAAACATTTTCTGTAGATCTTAATAGGAAAGCTACAATTACATTTTTTTTTAAAAAAAGTTTTTACAATATACAACTCTTTACAATGGCTTTTTCTACTCTTAACCCTATAAACATATTTTTACACGTTTCAATACCTGCAGGATTCTTCAAATAAATATTTTATCCTAAGTGTGTTAGAAGACCAAAATACCACCCATCAGGAGATTGGCTCCTAGCAGCAGCTACAACGATGTTCCTTTTGCCCTCCAGTCCTGAGAGAGGAGGTCATGCAGTTCTCCTTCGTCATCACTGCCAGTGTCGCCGTCCTCAACCTGTGCAGCTCTTAGTCTCATGGCTTCCTTCAGTTTATCCTTCAGTACTTCCTGGCGGTCACGCAGTTGTTCAACACGGCGGAAACATTCACTAGGGTAAAATTAAAAATAATAATTTACCCTCTTCTGCTGCTTAAGTGAAAAGCTGCAATGGTGTGCCTTTTAAGTTCACAGTCTTCATATCTTTGGAAAGAACATGGCAGTTTCTCAGACACAACATTAACATTCAAGCCTATGGTACTTTGTCCAAGAACCTGAGCTGCTATCACTAAAGTGAGTTCAGACTTTTTCAGCTGCTTTTTACTTGTCCTTTTGGGGTGCAAAGGGTAAGCCTAGCAAGCTGTACTTGCACTGGGGCCACTGCCTGCTATTTAGGAGGTGGTTTTCAGATGGCTTTCCTTCAGGGAACACTTGCCATGTTGACCTTTCTTCCAGTGAACTCCTGGGTATCTTGCACCAAAGCCCTGAGCCCTGTGCAAGCCGCTCATGTCATGCAGAACACCTCTGTCACCCAGCAGACTGCATAAATGCTTAGAACGCAACCAGACAATCTTCCTTTCTTGGACGGCACATGGAAGGAAAAGCACCTGATTGGTTCACTAAAGAATTTTATATAGACTTCCAAGGTTTTCTGGAACAATTTGAAAACTATTGATTTTTGGAAATTAATTTTATTCCACTATATTTTGCATCTCTGTTTTTAATCTTCTTTTTTTTTAACATACAAATGAACAATAGTTCTGCACTTCTGAGTCAAAAACAGACAGCAATTTAATACATTTTCTACATTTTCTACTGAAGGAACAGGAACCAGCAACTTTCACTAAATTTATTTTGAAAACTTTTATGGTACAAAAGTGTCAGCTTGACAGCCAAAGCCTGTTACCGTATTTTTCGCCCCATAGGACGCACTTTTTCCCCTCCAAAAATGAAGGGGAAATGTGTGTGCGTCCTATGGGGCGAATACAGGCTTTCGCTGAAGCCTGGAGAGCGAGAGGGGTCAGTGCGCACCGACCCCCCTCGCTCTCCAGGCAGTGGGCTCCCGCGGCTTGCGGAAAGTTGCTTGGATGTCGAAGGCTGGGAACGCTGAGCTCTCCGGCTTGCGGAGAGTTGCCTGTTCTGGGGGCTGGGGGGGAAATAATTTTTTCCCCTTTATTTCCCCCCCAAAAAACTAGGTGCGCCTTATGGGACGGTGCGTCCTATAGGGCGAAAAATACGGTACATTTCCAGAGCTGACAATAAAAAAGTTAAGGATACTCTAAACTTAAGACACTCATGTAAAGTTATTTGGCTACAAAAGAAAAAAAGGAAGTGATTCATTAATCAACAAATCTCAAGAGACCTCAAACAGTCCCCTCCACCAGTTTCCATGTTCCTGCTTCCATTTGGGAGTCACCAGCTAAGGAAGGGGGGGGAGGGGTAGTCTTACACTGTGCAGCAAAGCATACACCCAAAGTGAGGCCACACTAATACAAAAAAGTTCCTTGGTGCCTCCAGATATTTTATAATATTAGGGTGAGCTTACTGTATCATTGTGCTTAAGGACGTGTTTTAGCTGTGGACAACAGGATACAAGGGGCAAGGCAAGGAAAAGATTTAACAGGAGTCTGGGTGGTGGTCAGAAGAACTCCTATCTTCTCTGAACATTGACCATGGTGACTGGGGCTGCTGGGAGTTAGGGACGAATAAAATGTAGAGTGCCACAGGTTAGCCACTCTTGCTCTAGAACCTCATCTACTTTCGGTTAAAGTCAGATATGAGAAGAGCTGGACCCAAAAGTAAGTATGGAAGTTGGCTTTAAGAATCCTGTTGTGATCTCATGCATGGGACTAACCATTCCAAAGATGTGGAACTGGCAATGTCCTAAGCCATGCAATTCTTAATTGTGCATCTAAAGTGCTCTTGTACAGAAATGGAACTGTTTAAAAAGTCTAGGAGAACTTTTGACACTTTGCATGTCTATGATCTTTAGGGACTTCCTCCAAATTTCATCACTTGATTCTATCTAGCCGGGTGTGTGAGGATGGGGAGATGTAGCAGGTACAAGGAAGTCCACAGCTGTGGAATGTGATAGTAGCTGCAGAATTCAGTTCCCAAAGAATCTCTTCTCCCTACCCGACTAGCAAAAACACAACAGCAAGCACAGAGTTGTGTGTGTTATATAAAAGTTGCAGAATTTTGTTGTATTAAATTTCAAGCAGTGCGTTTACATTCAGCTTTTAGAAATCGGGTTTTATTTTACTTACATCTGCTCATCTATTTCTCCAATTTGACGGTCGAGTCGCCCTTCCTCATCTTCTTCAGCTACTATAGCTTCTGAAATCTAACTCAGAAAAGGTGGGTATTATTTTCCGTAACAAAACTGGATTGATATAAAAGTAAGCTTTGCCTTCTCTTTACTGCAGTGAGAAAACTAGGAGCAAGCTATAGGATTATGCTTCCTCCGGGCAACAGATTCTCCAAAACTGGATAGGCTCTCCACTTAACCTGAATTTAAGCAAATTAAAACCCTGGATTAAGAAGGAATGTGGTCTTAACCTGCTTATGACAGCAGGTAAAAGGGAGAATACAGCTTGCTCCTATTATCTTAACTACAAGTTAAGAGAAAGCCAGCATGTTCTGACCCACCACAATACATTTTGAAAGTGACAAACCCAAGCAAAGAAGATCTTGGTGCTTTAGTAATATGAGCACTGATGATGAAACTCGTGTTTAAGAATTCTGTTAACAATTAATCTCCGATTTCCAAAATATATTTTAACCTGTTATTTCTTTCAGCATATACTTTCTCAAAGTTGAGTGTCTTGGAGATGCTGTGCAGCCAGTGGCCAACATGTAACCAAGAAGAGCCCTTGTGCACCACTAATGTTCACTAAATGTGTCCACTGCTGATCTTGTATGAACATCTACTGTGTTTATAGCACCGAGTGCATTTCAGAATAGGATGACTGCTCTACAACAGTCTTCTCCCAACAATTCATTCATGGAAAACTTTCTGCAACGCCAGAGTTTGAAAGCAAAGTTCACAGGCACAAGTGAAGTTGCTGACTGATCACCTTCAAAGGGATTGGTTTTTAAAAGCAGGATGTGAGAACCACAGATCTAGTCAACAGCGGATGTGGTGAGGCAAATCTTGCAATAAAAATGAAGCCACATGGGAGGAGTGTTCGATCCAATCCAGAGCCAGATAATTATTGCATGTATAGAGTATATGTATAAAGTATACATACTTAAAATATCAAGTGCACCAGACCTGAAAAAATGAAAGTGAATGGTGACAGTAACAGGCCATCTGGCCTGACAGAATATACATCCTGTATTCCTGCTAGATAGGATATGCCGATCAAATTTTTAAAAAGCAAACTTCATCACAATTTTTGGTGTAGTGTCATCTGTTACTAAAGTTTCTTCACTTCACTGTTTGAAGGGGGGATACTCAGACCACAGCTAGCTTATAAAATGATTTTAACCGATATTAAAACAGTCAGCAAATGCAGTGGAATGTCACTCTGCAAAGTTCTAGTTCCGCATCTGCAAGCAATTCAAAACAGGAGGCATCAACTTACAGTGTTGACTTGTCGCATAGCCTTCTGGAATTCATCCCATTCTTTGTCCATCTGATCCTTTGGAGCATCAACCTTCCTCACCTATGAAATGAGAAAGATGAGCAATTTGTGGAAGGCTGTATTCTTATTTCTCATTATTGGTTCTACTTCTACTTCATGCTGCAAGCAAGGAGAACTTGGTTGCTAAGTTGCTGGTTTTTTCGAAGCAAACAATTTATCCAGACAACTTGAAGCTATATTCAGAGAGAGAGAGAGAGAGAGAGAGAGAGAGAGAGAGAGACAAAGAATCCTTATTTCAGATTATGTGCTACCAGTTTGCACTGCAATGCATTGTCAACTTAAACACACTAAGGGACATCAAAGAGAGCAGATGAAAGCAGTATGTGAGCTACTAAGAATGAACACATATTTGTTATCTACTATATGCTATCTACTTAGCCCCCTAACTCCTTGATATTTAGAATAAGAGTCATTAGCATTCTGGCACCACAGAATATTGTAGCATCAATGGATTCAGCAATATTTCCCTATCTGCTTGATTCCTAGCTTGGGTACCATAAAATGTCTGTCCTTGTTACACATGTTATTCAAAGTATATTTACTATGTGTTTTTCAAGATTTGGCTAAGATACTGGGAATTGAAATGGGATGAAGACACATCTGCTAGCACTAGGGAGAACTGGTCTCAGAGTAACTGAAGGCATACAAACAGCATCTCCTTCAAATAAGGTGCTACTCTGCCAGCATGCATATATATATATATATATATATATATATATATATATATATATATCTCTATATCAAGAGGGCACATGAAGAATGATACAGAGAGAGGGAGGAGATGGACAGAGTATGTTTTACTATGAGCTGGGGAGAAGAGAGAAAAATGCTTTTGGATCTTACAAAAAAAATTTGACAAAAGACAAAAATTACACTGCTCCTTCAAAATTCAGCAGCAGTATATTATATCACTACTACACTATGTTGTGTCCCAAAGCATCTCATACACATCCCCTTGAAAGCAAGGTTAATATTACCCAGGTAATATTAGGGGGCTGAGGGAGAGAGAGGAAGAGAGGGAGCAGCTTATCTAAGACTAGGACTAGGCAATATATTGATATATTGTCCAAAACTGGTTTGAAGTCCATACCATGATACTGGTTTCATAATTTCTGACCTGGTAATATATTGCAAATCATGGGGTGTGTGCGTTATGCAAAAATCACAATGTGGGGGGAAACCAGGCAGCCAGCCAATGCCTCCACATAGCTCCATCCTTATTTCAGACATTGTGATATATCAGTATATTGCGATGTTTAGCTGATGATATATCATGAAGTTGAAAACCAGGCATTGCCCGGCCCCATCTAAGACCACCCCCCAAAATCATGGCTGTAGGCTTCTTGATTCACATTTAGCCACTACTACACCTAACAGGTGTTGATCTATAGATGATCACATGTATAACTCAGGAGGAAGGACACAGCAGCTGGCCTGACAGCCTCTTTACCCTCATTGGGCATGCAACAGACCCAAATCTCAGGCCCAGCTTCTTCTGTTCATTTCCCCCTCATTCCTTATATCTGCCCCCCTTGCGTTAAAGGACACAAGGATGGTTAATAGAGAGCTGCTGCACAGTATGAGGAGGAAGGCAAAGGGGCAGACAAAAATATGGTGAGGGGGGGGAGTGTGAGAACTATAGCTGCCTTGCCTCCTGTTTCCTATTGGTTTAACAGGTAAAGAGTAGATCTCTGGGTTGACACTTATAGCAAGACTCATCCTTCTGAAAGCTGCAACAAGCCAGATAGCTTGCCATACCAATGCCAGCTAAATATACTTCAGGCTAAATAAAGTAATTGGGGGAAATCAATTTTCATTGGAATTATGCTTATAGTTCTGTTTTGTGCATTTGTTTCCCCCTCCAGAAGTGAGACACATTCCATCCATGTAAAAGCAAGTCGTGTGCTTTGATTCTGAATGATTAATTATGCTACAATATAACAATACGTAAATCATTTCAAAGTAACTTACCATAAGAATATACACTTCATTAACCATACATTGCTTTTGCTCTTTGTGAATGTTTTAGATGTAGTACCACCCCCCTTGTGTACTATGGTCTGCCTTTTTAAATTTGTTACATATTGGACAATAAAAGTTTAAAAGAATTCAGTTAATGCTTGATCAGTAATAAATTATATCAAGGTCTATTTCAAAAGCATTTGCTTCTTCAACCCTCAGAGGCAAATTCAAAGTCAGGCAGCAACAATTAGCATATGCAAACCACTACAATATTGGTAACCAGGCATCAGAACTCTTTCTAATCTAGACTTCTAATGTCTTCCAGAGGTTAAATATCAGGAACATTCAGACAGGCACAGGAAACAAACAAACAAAAGGAAGAAAGAACCAGAAGCCCCTTCTCTGATTTGGGCAGCTTCCATTCAGTCCAACAGGGCATCAGCAGAACTCCCCCTCCCCCCTCCAATTTAAATTATTAAGACAGAGAAAGGGATAGAAACTTGCTTTTCCTTTCCTGTTTTAAGATGTCTTCTGGATATAAAAACACTAAACACACATGAACCTGCTTGAAACAGGTAGGTAGTCGGAGCATTTACACATGTCAAGGAAATAAACAACAACCTGACTTTTAGAAGACATCTGAAGGCAGCCCTGTTTAGGGAAGTTTTTGATGTTTGATGGTTTATTGTGCTTTTAATTCTGTTGTGAGCCGTCCAGAGTGGCTAGGGAAACCTAGCCAGATGGGCAGGGTATAAATATTAAGTTGTTGTTGTTACAGGTATCCTGGTTTTCAGTCCCTATGACTCTGGAGATAATTTTTAAAAAGGTCACTTCAATGTACAATCTAGAGGAGGTTTCTGAAATGCAGCTACTATGGCTGAATGTAAGGAACATAAAGTATTACTCAAGAACACTCTTCCCCATCTTCTAACCTGCATTGATAAGGAAGGTTCCTGGAGAAAAGGCCACCAACACTCACCAAACTTAATAATAATTTTATTACTTATACATCCGGCTGGGTTTCTCCAGCCCCTCTAGGCGGCTTCCAGCAAAATATAAAAACATAATAAAACGTCAAACATTAAAAACTTCCCTAAACAGGGCTGCCTTCAGATGTTCTCTAAAAGTTGTGTAGTTGTTTATCTCCTTGACATCTGACAGGAGGGTGTCCCAGAGGGAGGGTGCCACTACCGAGAAGGCCCCCTGCTGGCCCCCTGTAACTTCACTTCTCGCAGTGAGGGAACCACCAGAAGATCCCTGGAGGACTTCACAGTGTCCAGGCTGAATGAAGGTGGTGGAGACGCTCCTTCAGCTATACTAAAGGAACGTCTCCCAAGGAAAAGTTTCTGGAGAGAAATGATCTCAAGAGAGATACTACTTTGGCTACTCCCAAACCAAAAAAATTCTAGCTGTTTCTGTTGGAGATGAGGCTGGGACTCTTAGCAACTAAGCAAAGTAAGTGAGTGCTTAGAAAGCTCTCCAGCTGTATCTGCACATCTGTATGGGCTGCTGGAAAGAGAGGGGGGCAGGAGGAGGCAAGATGGTAATTAAAGGCAGAAAGGCTGGATTATAGATGTGCATTTTGAAATTTTTTTATGCATTTCTTCTAAGAGTTTAGAAGCAAAGGCTGATCTGTACATTGCCCCAATACACTGTCTACCTTCATTTTACATGGACATTTATTCCCAACTTTGCTACATCTTTTGTCAGGCCCACATCCATTAATTCTGCAAAATCTAGGGCATCACAGAATAAACATCACATTTCAACTAGCTGTGTACAGGTGTGCTAATTAACAGTCTCACTGCACTCTCTATTTGTCAACCACCTACAAGAACAGCAGAGGGAAATCTGACTGCATATGAGGAATAGAGCATCCTGGCTAGTAGGATCAATTACTCTTGATTAGAGATGGGAAGGCCTGGGAAAACCCCCAGAAAAATTGGAAATAAAACCAGTGTGTCCCCCCCCCCCAATTTTCCCGGTTTTTCCCCAGGCCTTCCCATCTCTACTTTTGATTCATGTCAAACAATATTCAACACAAACTTAGAGAAAGCCAGTGCTAATTGCTACACCAAAACTGCTGCAAGTTAATCAAATCGTTTACAGAAGGATACCACAAAGCATTTCAATCATTATGTAAATCTTTTATTCAGCTTCTGTAATCGCTAGCTGACTAGCTGAATTAATTCCTCAAAGAATTGACATGTGCTGAAATCGGAACAAATCACACTTGCCTTTGCATCCACTTCAGGATCATCAAAAAATCCCTCTGGCAAGGCCTCCGCAGTGTTTTCTTTCCTGAAATGTTAAGGTGATGGCTTGTCTTGAGCCAATTCTGCACTAGTTTTAACTCCTTCAAAACAGCAGATCAGATATCTGCACCGAGAACAGAGCGAGCAACGCAATGTCCACTAGCGCTCCCCACCCGCTGGCCTGAGGCTGAGGAGAAATGAAGGAACCCCTTTTGAGCTAACCATATCAATTGGCACTATAAGTTTAATTTTTCCAAACCTCCAAGATCCAATAAAGATAAAGGAAACAAATACAAGAAACCATTCTCCTAATATACTGCTTTCTCAAAGCTCCATTATGTATGGTGTCCTAATTGTTTAAGTTACGAACACTGTTAAAATACTGGTTCATCTCATCAGACTGTGACCTTTTTTAAAAAAAAGTACCAATATACTAGGCATACTGAGGATTATTAATTATGAGAACCCAAACACATTTAATTACAAATTTAAATAGGAAGGAAAACCTTTACACTGGCTAGCTTACCTTTCCACAACTTTTTCTTGTATTTCTGCTTTCTGAATAGAGCCAGAATGGGAGACTAAAGGTGCAGCTAAAGTTTTATTGTCTGAATAGTCTGCAATAGAGAAAAGAATCACTGCCGGTGTAATATGCACAATTTGAAAGCCCATGTCACTAAAAATGGATGTATTAATTGCACAAACGATGAGCAGAGAGGGAAAAACTGAGATCACTCAGACCTTGTGATGAACCAATAAAGTTGATATAAGTATCAACAAAAGGAAATACTTCACAGAATGATTAACTTACAAGATTCACCACTGCTTAAATTGAGATACTGTGCACACTTAACTTAGCAGTAGTCCCACTGGACTCAGTAAACATATCCGAGGACGCATGCATAGGACTGGGCTGCATGTTGGTGATGACCACTACTTTAAAATGACTAGACAAAATTTATTAGGATAGGTCTATCCTAATCCTGAATAGTGTAGCACTGAAGCTCAATTTGTCGCAACTGTGCACTTTTTTAGAAAAGCACCAAATTTACACCCCTTGTAGACTAAAGCTATAACATACACTAAGCTATAAAATAAACTGTTTGCTTGTTCATAATACCATTTGGGGACTCATGTATCAAAAAATCACCATATACTAGTCCAGGGATCAGCAACCTTTTTCAACCATGGGCCGGTCCACTGTTCCTATGCCCCACAAATAACCCAGAAATGCATTTTAAATAAAAGCACATATTCTACTCATGTAAAAACATGCTGATTCCCGGACCGTCCGCAGGCTGGATTGAGAAGGCAATTGGGCCGCATCCGGCCCCCGGGTCTTAGGTTGCCTACCCCCGTACTAGTCCTTGAATTGTATATATCAGAATTGGTCAGCTATGCTGTTGTACTATGAGAGAACCGCAGAGGCTCTGCATACTAGATGCTAGTAATGAACAGAACTCCATGCCCTATTGGAGTTCCTCAGAAGCATCTGGCTGGCCACACTTGGAAACAGAATTCTGGACATCTACAACCATCAATAGCAGATGATTGCTAGTTTTCATTTGGCATGAGAAGCCACCTAATATGCATGTATGACACACATGGAGCGCACTGCAGTATATACGGATAAGCCTACCTAATGTGGCACAGCAATACTTCGGAGCCATAAAAGAGGACATGACACAACTTCAGAGGTAAAGTTAAGCAAAACTTCTGATTTGTACCATGTCAGCTGGAGTGGCCTTGGAACGCTCTATATTTTTTTACTGTAAAGTCAGCAGAGAAAGTCCCAGAGTTACCTGATGGTAAAGCAGTGGTGTCTACTTTTAGAGGGTGGGCTGGTGTTGCTGTATGCTGCACTGTGGACGACAAAGGAGGTTTGCTGCTGTTGTCCTGGATTTCTTTGGCCATCTCTTCTGCCTCTTCCTCCTCCTCCTCCTCCTCCTCTTCAGAGTCTCCAAGTAATAAGCCACCACTTGAAGCTTTGCAAGAGGCCTTTTCTGCTTCTGCTTGTTCATTTTTTCCAAAAAAATCTGCTGGCAGCCTTAAAAAATGAAATAATAACAATAACAATAATTTTATTATTTATGCCCCACCCATCTGGCTGGCTTTCCACAACAACTTAAAAACATTCCATCATAATACAAGCCAGAATCAAGACAATTATTTCAAGTACACCTAACCTAAGGTGATTTAAAAAACAAAAACAAAACTTTCCTCCCTTAAATAGACATTCCCGATGCCAAATTTGTGTTTCCCAAACAGCTTTCCACATGGTGGTCACCTCCCTTGGGTGTCCCCATCTGGGACTCCCCACGAAATAAGATATTTTCTCTGAAGTAACTGTAGTATAATGGAAACAATGTTGTCAGTCACTGCATTTGAACAACTGCCATATGGGAACATTCAAACCACCCTGTTTGAAAGCAAATTTCTCAGCACCAGTTAGAACTTCAGGCAATGAATAACAAATATAACATCCTGTTCATATCCATAACTATGAAAAAAGAAAATGTAAAAACAGAGCTAATAACAACCATCTCAACTTACCCAGAAGAGAGTGTTTGCGGATGGTCCCTTGAATCTGCAAAACATTTTATCAGAGTTCTGTCACATTTAAAACAGAAAAAGAACACAAAGATGAACTTCACACCCAAGCTGCAGTGACCCATGAAGAACTCTGGATCAGCCGTGTGACTAAGGTAAGCCAAGTTCAAATCCCCACTCAGTGGGGACAACCTGGGCAAGTCTCTCTCTCTCAGCACACACTCTACCTCTGAGTGCAGGAGACGATAAAAACTTATGATGCCAATGATTGTAACGCAATGACTGTAATGTCATTGAATCCCTTGGAGGCTACTTTTTTGCTGACATAGCAACCCACATTATGCAGCCTTAAAATATGTCTTAAATGGATAGAGTGACACCTCCAAGTCAGGACTTTAAAACTATTGAAAAATAGCACCTTCTTCCATCCACATTGCACTGTCATCTCTTTTAGAACTGTGGATGAATGGTGGTATACAAATTTAACAAATAATAATAGATCAATATAACAGGGTTTTTTCAGGTAATTGAGCTAAGGTTTGACCAGTGTTAAAGTGGTTACAGTCAGGTGATGGTATGTTAAAAGAACAATTCATAGGACAGTTACTCCAAGAAACACAGGCATTGCAAGCAGCTGAAATTTCCTTATGTAAAAGTGTGTTTTCTAAAATTAAACATAATTTTATTAATCTAGGTTTTCAAGATGGCCTACAAAAGAGAACCATAAAACAAATATAAAACCAATCAAAAACATCAGAAACAAAAGCAATTTATGTGGCAACAGGAAAAATACAAAAAAGTAGATATAAAATCAGTTAAGAGAAATTTTGTGTAGCCTTCCCAATCACATAAAACTGTAGTTTACCTAAACATAGCTTTAATCTTCCACTCTAAGGCTAGGACCTTTAACCAAGATTAAATTCACCCCCTTTGGGTGCATTTATTCAAAACACACACACCCAGCATTTTAAACACTGCACCATAGCAGCAGCTACAGTGTGTAATATACAAGGGCACATCTAGTTGACCAGAAACCATGAATGGTTACTTTCAGCATTTTACCACAATCTGTTCTCTGTCCTAGCAAGTACCCATCAAAAACTAATTTATAATTATTAGCAAATCTGCCTGGCATTCATGTTATGGGTACTCAAATACTACTTGTATTGATTATTAATTCATTTATATTTAATGCCAAAGTAGGCTTCTAGGCAATTAGAAAAAAGTAGAGAAACATTTATACATAAATATCCATAATTAAAATATTCAATTAAAAAATCCTATTACTTCTCTTAAAACAGGAGACTTGGGTTGGGAAAATGCCTGTGTAATATAATCATTTTCAAAAGCCAGCAAAATAGCATTGCAGACGGGGCCTCTAGCATTTCAGCAAGGAGTGCATTCTGTAACACTAATGTTACAGACAGTGTTCGACAGCTGTTCGACAGTGGAATTTGCTGCCAAGGAGTGTGGTGGAGTCTCCTTCTTTGGAGGTCTTTAAGCAGAGGCTTGACAACCATATGTCAGGAGTGCTCTGATGGTGTTTCCTGCTTGGCAGGGGGTTGGACTCGATGGCCCTTGTGGTCTCTTCCAACTCTATGATTCTGTGATTCTATGATTCTAAATAGCAACTCCTTAAAATTGATTTGGTGACAGGTAGTTAGTGTAGACCCATTAGTATGGGCATGGCATGTGCTCAGTAAAGAGCACCACTCACCACCTGGTCCATGACATTCTGCACTAGCAGCAGCCTATGAACCAGCTGGAAGGGAAGAAGAACCACAAAGACTGCATTACAACATTCTAGAATGTGAGGTTACCAATGCATGTGTCACAGTGGCCAAATTGTACTAGCACTCTTCTCCATAGAGACCACATGTGCATCCATGGTCAAATGTGGTTCCAACAACACCTGTTAACTGTGTACCTGTCCCTTCAAAGAGAGTGCACCTAGAAGAGGCAAAATCGCCAATTTTCAGCTGCAGGAACCACTTGTCTGCCTTGTCAGCCTCAGTTTATTAGTCCTCACGCAGACCACCAGTGTGTCCAGGTCCTGGTTCAGCTTGTGCACAGATCTCCTGACTCAAACTGTGCCCCAAATCTCCAACAGACTGCTCCTAACAGCTTCATATAATTTTATATAAAACACACCATCCAAGGAAAATATTTAATCCACAAATGATTTCAAGACAGCTGGGGAATGGGGAAGAACTGTAGAAAAATGACCAGGTCAGTAAGCACAGCCTAACATTTCCATACCTTTGGCTTTCTTCAGTTCTGGAGATTCTGTGTTGGTTGTTTTCTTCTTTAGAGAAGATGAGGTGTCAGGAATAGGACCTGGTACAGATTGTTTAAGATTTCTCAACTGCTCAACTTTCTGCAGGGGTGGGGATTAAAATCAACAGATGAGCACCTGTACTTTATTCCCAAGGAATAAATTATTACAACATAGAAGAATTTAAGTTCTTTTCACAAAGTAGCGCATTTTCCACAAAATACTAGCAATATTAGCAAAAAAGATTCAAGAAAGCCTGCAACAAGGGGCAACAGACATTGTTACTTTTATGTAATTAGACTATTTAGCATATGAAGCAATTTTGCATTTTTGTTATAATCATCCTTTTAAAAGTCAATGTTTTAAATGGGGAAAAATGGGGGGGCACTATTATGTCTAGTTTGTAAGATAATCAGATCTCATGTATTATTGTACTAAAGAATCACATTAACATTGTCTGTGCATTTCAATTTCTAGATTGGTAATTAAGAAAAGAACTATTAGTCTTAGCTTTGCAACATAACACATAAAACAATTATTGTAAGCACATTACTTTTTTAAAAAAAGAATTGTCTCTTACCTCTTTGTGTTGCTTCCCAAGCACATGTGTTTGCCACAACAGTTCACTCTTCACAGGCATGTTGCAGAGAGAGCAGCTTAAGTTTCCCAAACTGTTATATGTAGAATTTGGAATCAAGGAAATGAATATAAAAATAACCCACCTCTAAAAACTGCAGTTGTGGGCTTTGAACATGCAACATAAACTTGGCTAAAATACGTATTATTAAGCCATATTATAGCTTTTAAAAGTGAGAAGTAAAATGTAAATTTGTATGTGTGAAGCTATTAAAGAGACTTAGCTTCATAACAATGATTCCTGTACACTTACGTTTTTTTAAAGCCACTTTTTGCTTTGCTACCACTGAGATATAAATTACACTGAGATACAGCAAGAGCTTATTTTCCAAAGGGGTAGCTGTGCCAGTCTGCTTCCGCAAAGAACAAGAGTTTCGGTGGCACATTAAAGAAATATGAATTTATTTTGGTCATTTATACCAAAAACAAAAGCCAATGTGGTGTAGTGGTTAGAGTGTCAGACTAGGAACTGGGAGACCAAGGTTTGAATCTGCATTTGGCAATGAAGTTCACTGGGTGACCTTGGGCTGTCACTTGCTCTCAGCCTAGACTACCCCACAGGGTTGTTGTGGGGATTAAATGGGGGGGGATCATGTAACTCCATGACAAAAAGGTGAGACAGAAATGAAATAAACTACTATGCAGCCAGTCTTTCAAACAAGACTGGGAGCTGCAGTGAGGATGGAGAAAATAGAGGCTAAGAAGTTGGCAATGCCCCCTCACAAGGGACAGGACCAAACCCATACCTCCCCCCCCCCCAGGCAATCTATTACAGCTGCAGGTCTTGAGCCCTGCTTGTTTCCACGAGTTAGGGAGAGGGAAGGAGACACAGAAATGGTTATGGCAACCTGGGTAACATCATAATCACTGATGGAACAACAAATATGTCTTAGGCTGAAGCTCTCTGAAAGACTTCACAATGAACCTCTCCTGGTTCTGAGATTTTATGGGGGGGGGGGCGGTTCTTCTTGGGAACTGACTGCTGCTAATGAAAGGGTTGGTCCATGCTGCTGCTGCTTCTTGCTGTGATTATCTGCAGGGTTTCAGTAGGTATTTTGTATTCATACTTAGCTTAATTCTCTCAATGTTTAACTGTTTTTTTAATTATTGCTGTCTCCCTCCTATGTTTCTAGCTGTTCTTAGTATTATTTGCAAGCCGTGTTGGGTCCCACTCTGGGAATACAACCCCGGCGGGTGGCGGCTGCAGAGTTCCTTCCCAAGCCCTTCCGCCCCCGCCTCCCCTCGCCCCCCGTCTCCATCCCGCGCTGCTACGGGAGCCAGAGCAGGAGACCCCCCCGCGCAGGAAGGGTATCTGGCGAAGGGCGAGTCGAGCCTCTTCCTCTTCCCGGCCGCCGCCTCGCGCTGCTTGGCCCGCATCAGCCGCCGCAGCTCCTCCTGCCCCACCGAGGCCGCCGCCGCCGGCCGCCCCCGAGGCCTCCCGGCCGCCGGACCCGAAGCCGCCATAGCCGCCGCCGCGGAGGAAGCGGGCGCGCCGGAAAGCGCGTCATCCAGCCTCGCTCGTCGCGAAGACCTTGCGTCACTCTCTCCCCGCCAAGGAGGCCGGAAGAAGCGGAGCAGCCGGTTGAGTGACTGGAGGCGGGACTTCCTTCTTCCTTCGGACGCCCTTTTTGAGACGCTCCCCGGAAATAGTGTTAGAGAGAAGTCTTGGGCGTGGGAGAAGGTTCTCTTGCTAATGATACTGTTTGAAATGCACATTTTGTATTTGGCTTCCTTTAGCGGTGTTTCTCTTTGAATCATTTTTTGGTTAGCTTAGCTGCGTTGAATGTGCATTCTGTGGGTGTCCTTTGTACAGTAATGTTTTAAAAATAAAATATTTCATATTTTAGTTTCCTGTTATGTTGCTTTGAATGGTAAATTTTGTTTGTCTTCAGTAATGTTTCATTACTGTTTCATAAAGAAGGCTGATCGCCGAAGAATGGATGCTTTTGAATTCTGGTGCTGGAGGAGACTCTTGAGAGTCCCATGGACTGCAAGAAGATCAAACCTATCCATTCTGAAGGAAATCAGCCCTGAGTGCTCACTGGAAGGACAGATCCTGAAGCTGAGGCTCCATAGACTGAGTCCACCTCAGGAGAAGAGAAGACTCCCTGGAAAAGACCCTGATGTTGGGAAAGATGGAGGGCACAAGGAGAAGGGGACGACAGAGGACGTGATGGTGGGACAGTGTTCTCGAAGCTACAAACATGAGTCTGACCAAACTGCAGGAAGCAGTGGAAGACAGGAGTGCCTGGCGTGCTCTGGTCCAGGGGGTCACGAAGAGGCGGACACGACTAAACAACAACAAATGTTTCATTCTAGATTGCTTTATTTAATGTTTTAATGTAGGTTGTAAATATCTTTTGAGGTTGTTTTTTAAAAAATAAAGCAGTATAGACATGAAATGAATAATAATGAATGTCTCCTGGCAATGCATGGATAGGCCCTGAAGCTGGGTTTGTGGTCTGGAATTATTGATCTCTCAAGAAACTCTGAAACTACTCATTCTGAAATAATTAATGATGATTTACAGCTGATGACTGCACTGCTAATGCCAGCAAAAACAACTGCATTGCCACTAAGAGAAATAAATATTCCCCTCACCATAACTGATTGCTTAAGGAAAGCTTTGCAAACTAACTTAATGGTTAAACTTGCATGCGAGAAAAATGCAAGAGTTAACGATCAAGAAAACCAGATTTATTAAGAGGTGTGCCCTTGTTTCTACATTTTTGGAACAACAAAGTAAATGATGAACATTTTTCCTTTTAAATAATTCCTGGTATTATAAAGTTTCATCATTATGTAGTCTCTCTCCCCTCTTCATATGTCCTTTCCTTTTTTTATTCTACCCTTTTCACTTCTTTTTTTGGATGAGAATGTTTGACCTATAATGGTTTTCCCCTACTTATTGTTGCAACCTAATAGTAATTTATAATAATAATGACCCCATCTGATTGCAGTACAGACCAGATTTTTTTTCAGAGTAGTTTAGGTGCAAGGAATAGCTGAAGCCTGCCTCCTGCATATAGTATGGTATGATATTGTAGTTTTATATATAGATACCAGGGAAAAGGTTGGCCCAATGATCGCCACCCCCAAGTGATGAACAACACTCTTTACATATTTAAAAAGAAATATGCCAGTTAAAATGCAATACATACAATAGACCGAAACTGTTGTGTTTTGATTTGTTTTGAAAAAGTATCACTAGTATATGTGCTACCAAAGCAAACATGAAGCTGGCTGTAGTTTTAGAATGTGTAATCATCACTGATTTTCAAAAGAAATTTTCTCCCAAGAAGAAAATCTTGAGGGCTCACAGGCTTCCAAGTTTTTCTTTTCTTTGGATACATTCATAAGATTATTTAAAACAGAAGGTACATCTGTTATATTTCTTTTTAGCTACTGTTGGTTTTAATAATATCTTGGAAAATTTTTATATACAGTAATTTTTAAACTTGAACGTGCTAATGTTTTATATTTCTGTAAACTGCATTGACATTTTCTTACAATCAATTGGTTTATATACACATTTTGTTAATTAAGAGCAGGCTAATTAGTTGCCTTATCTCAGGCATGTTTACAGAAAGGTACCACTGAGTTTAACAATAACTTCTTATCAGTTGTTTTTGTTCTTTGAACAGGTTGAGGAGTTTCATATACATCCTCATTAACCCTACAAGAGCCACCGAACCCTGTGTTCCGCTCATGTAGAGTTCAGTCTTCAGACAAAAAGGCTCACAGGCATCTGCTACAGCTACATTATTCCCCCCACCAGTCTCTGGACCCAGCCACATACATTCATAGAGTTGGACCTGGGCCACAATCTCTCCAGCTCAGCATCCTAGCATTTACAATGTCTTTTTTCCGGGTTTGTGATTTAGTATGACGAGTCTTTTTGTTGCCTATAGCGTTACTTTCAATGTTGTTGCAGAATCCTGACATTTAATTTCTGCTGTGTCTCCAAAGAACTGTTACTGATTCTGCAGGAATTGGTTTGACTGGTTTCCTCATATAGCAGCCCTGGACATTGAAACAGAGGGAGTTTCAAAAGAAATCTGTGATGAGGATTGGAGGGGGCAGGTTTCCTTGCATTTAAATATATTCCCTGATGTGCTCCACCTCCAATAGAGAGAGAGTGGACCTCAGCCTACTTGCAGTAGTAGTGTTTCTTCCTGGTGCACCTCATTGGTTGACATGAGTGTTCTAGCAACTCCTGGTAGCAAGAGTACAATTCTGAGGCTCACATTTTATTCATATTTGTAACCTGCTTTTCCTCCCCAACTGGAGATTCCCAAAGCAACTAAAGGTATAAAAACATTTAGCATATTGGCACCGATTGAAATAAACCAGAACTGTTCTCTAGAATGCACAGTAAAACATTATGACTAACAAACAGCAGAAACGCAAACCTAAAGCAAACAAAAGTAGGGAAATTAAAAGCTTGCTGGAATTTTTTTTAAAAAATAATAATGACAGAACACTAGGAAAGGCGTTAACCTAGTCTCATGGATCAGAGTTGTGTCTCCCTCCTTTTCTACCATTCTTGAAACAGGAACAATTTATACTGAATAGTGCTGAAGATGACTTCTCAGGTATGACAGGCACTTCACTGTAAGAAGCAATTTTTATCTTCTTTATAAGGAAACCATGGCTTTGGAGACACTGCGCACTTGTCTCACAGTCCCCACACTCTTAAGATCTGATAGTATCTTCCAGGTAGTGGAGTCAGAGGTTCGCTGCAACTGACACCATGATCTTGGTGAACAGTCTCTGGGTGGAGCCAAGGCTGAAGCACAGCTTTGTTTCAAAAATGTGTTTTGAAGCCATAGGAACATGGGAGAACAGGCATGTGGAGTTGGCCATTGTAAGAAATGTGGAGACCAGAAAGTCGTTTGCTTTGAGTGTGTGTGTGTTACAGATCTCAAAAGTTTCCACTTACAATTTAGATGTTTATTCAAGAGTTTTGAGATCCAGAATGGCTCTCCAGTTTCCATATTTTTTCGCATTGTAAAATATATAAAATGCCAAAGAAGTTCTCTTTGGATGGTACTGGTTCTATCACCCTGATGTTCATGAAATGAGATAACAGCTAGCAGCAGGTATATTTTCCTGGTAGCTCTGTCCTGAGAGAAGGAAGCTCCAGCAAACCAGGGGGAAGGGAGGGGAAATCAAGCACATATCTGCTGTTTACCATTTCCTTACCCGATAGTCTCTGGAATATGCTAATCTTATACCAGATAGAATTTTGTCAACATCCTTTTCCCTTTGGTGACAGCCTGCCATTTGCTATTGCCCCCGACCCCAGGAGTCTGACCAACACTTTGCGACTGGAGACTGCTGCTGCTGCTAATGCCACCCCCTCTTTGGTCACTTTAATTTGAGTAAGATGTTGTAAGACTGAAGTACTGTAGAAGGCACAACTTTTAATCTTTTGTTTTTATATCTTTTAAGATTTTCCTCAAGTGGCAGCAAGGGGGGGGGGTGGCTACTTTGAATTTAGTTGAAGCCTGGACTACTGACCAACTTTCTGAGCTGAAACTTGCATCTGAGTAAGACAACTCAGCCCATTGCTCTGGTGGAGAACTGAAAGAACTCGTACGTCCACATTTAAGGCCTTGGTGAAAAGAAGAGTAAGCTGCTGAGGACATTACAGATGGCAGAAGCCTCATGGAATCTGCAGAGGGCAAATTCATTTGTTCAGTCCCTTGCAACCCCTTTCCTTTCTTGGAAGGAAAGGTCTCCGTACAGCTCTCGGGTAGGTAGTATAACATGATCATTCCTGAGTTGATTTGCTAAAAGGGGTGGGAGAATCCCACTCCTCTTCCTTTCATTTGAGATTCACAGAGTTCCAGCTAGAAATTCCTTCACAGGCTTCCCCTCGCTTGCAAACATCTACTTGCCGCCTCTAGGCTTCATAACTGCTTTGAGCAGCAGGGCTTGGAAATTCTCTGGGGCAAATGAAAGAGGTAGACATAGACTCTGGTTCTCTGGGCTTCTTCCCAGAGAGCTCGCCCTCCTCCTTGCTTGTAATAGGTTCTAACACCAGGTTACACTATGGAAAGGGCTTCCTCATCTCCTTACAGAGGGGTGGGTGAGAAGCAGGTGAGACAACTTGCCACTTTTTGCTTACACCAATGTTCTCAGCCCCCTGCTGCTGCTTAGCTTAGCCTGATTCAGCAGCATGCAATGTTGAGAAAAGCACCGTCTGTCATCTTAATGCAGCAGGAAAGCAATCACCAGCAATCACACCCTCTTCCCTCTAACTGAATTTTTGCAGGGTTGTGCACTTTGTGGTGCCCAGCAGCTGGAGGGCATTAGAAGGGACCCCCCACACCATAACCTTTCCAATGGATACCATCAGAGAGCGGAGGGGGTCATCCTGAGCAGTTGCTGCTTATGTTGCTTCCTCCCCGCACTGACCAGGCACACATGCCAAGCTGCTTGCCTGCATGTTGCTGAGACTTCCTATGGGTAGCTATGTGTAAAACTGACACAACAGTACACATTATCCTCACCACCCTAGGCAAGTGAAGCACCTAGGCACTACAGGACCCATAATTCTCCTCAGGTTTGGTTTTGGTGTATTTCCATGCCTTTGCTAGCTGTATGGAGGAGAGACTCTGGGATAGATAGGTGGGGTGGGAGCTGCTGCACAGGGGAATCAATGTTTTGCTCAGCAGCCTCCACAACTGAGAAGCACGCGGCTAACCAAGTAGCTGGCGTAGGCCAAACTCTTGTGAGGCTGTTGTGCCACATTCATCATTCATGTGACTAACTCTGCCCCCCTCCCCCACCGTAGGAGACAGGAAGTCTGATGGGAATTTCCTGCTCCAGAATGTCCTCCACTACCCAAAGAGAACACAGAACATATACACAATATATCACAAATATGTAAAAATGACCATCAAGGACCTTATCGATGTTCAGCCACTAGTTAAAAGCACAATACATCTTACAGTACATTCCAATTTAGGCATCTTGAAAGTAAGACAGATAAAACCTCAGGTGGTTAAATCTTTCCTACATCTGAGAACACATACAATTTTACTTAACAGCATCATAGTTACAGTAGTTGCTCTGAACGATTAATGAAGGAAAGCAACATGTAGTTTAGCTGAAACAAATATGATCACACAAAGGCATGTTTTGAAATATAGTCAAGAAAAACAGCAGAATGTGTTGTATTATTTTTTTGGAAAGAAGAGCTTTACATCTAAGCAGAACACGTGACAACCAGTAAGCAATGGTCAACATGCAACAGGATTACTGGACTCTGCTTAAAATAAAATTTTGAATACTAAACAGGTGCTCCAAAATCAAGAGCAAACTCTTCTTCTTGCTCACAGAGCAATTATTTCTCCTAGTTACTTAAAATAATGCCTCATTCTGCCAGGGCCATGTTCTTCAACTGCAGTTTATCAATTTCTTGACCAATACTGCCTTCCACTGTATCACACTGTGCAAGGAAACCCTAAAAGCAAAATTAAGGACAATGAGGCTTAATGCAATAGGGTATCTAAAAACCAAGCATAGTAATTTTTTTTTATATAGGAAAGACAGCAAGAACAACTTAGTTTATGAATTATAGGCACAAGTAACTTTCTATAAAACATACCTAAGATCTGGTGTAGCAATAACCAGTTTGCAATTTGGAAGCCAGCCTCAGGAAAGGGTGCTCCCTCCCTCTAGCTTTCTTTACCCTCTTTAATTTGAATTGAACCCACCCTTCCTGTTCTTCTTAACCATAGTTTTACATCTGAAAATCATGGTTTCCATCTTGACCAAGAGTTCAAACTGATAGTGGGCTTGTAAATCACAGTTGAGAGGGAGCATGATTAGTGTTTACCAAAATTAGGCAATGGTGCAAATGTAATGCAAAACCACAGTTAAAGAAACAGGAACAGGAAGGGTTAAGACACACCAGAAAGGGAACACATGCATTCCCAAGGCTCATTCCCAGTTTGCAAGCAATAGTTTGACTACTTAGGAACCAGTAGATTAACACTGGGAATCCATGAAATTGTTGCCATTCAGCTATTCAAATATAAATGTTTGCTATCTACAAGAAAGTCTGCAAGGGAAAAAAAAGAGATGATCAGGTGTTCAACTACTGAATGCTCCTCTGAGGAGTGGGAGAGAGCCTGAGACTGATGAGCAATGTGACTTCTAGGTGCTTTTGTCAAACTACATGCTGTTCTGGACTACTATTTTGTTTATATTTTCTGAAATTTAAAATGCATTTCCAAGGTCCTGCATGGGAAATGTAACCAATACAAATGGTAATAAACACATAGCTAGGGCGATGCTTGTTTTTTCTTCACTTCTTGATACAACCATGTACATACTTATTTTCTTTTTTTAATTATTTCTCTGTTTCTCAATGAGATTGTCTATATGCATATCAAATGATTGAAAGTTTGGAGTTTTGTTTTTGAGATTTTAACAGAGGTCACGTGATTTTTCAAGAAACTTGGAAGTTCCACTTGGTACAGGACTTACCTGAACTTTTTTCACTAGCCCCTTCTTTTTCTGTTTACAGTCACTGAAGTTTTCTGGGAGAGTCTGTGGCAAAACAAAATGGATGGTGTCTAATTATAAAAGCAATATATAAAGTTGTATGTCCAAATATAGTTTTTGCAATTGGTACCTCAGTAGGTATATGCACAATTCTAATGACAGCCTAAACAGAACCAATCACCTATATAATCTAAATTCATTAGATACTCTGTCCAGTGGCACTGCTAGTTTATACTTGCTGCATGCCTAGCAACTCTATACACCAGCCATTTCCATGTAGGTGACGCAGCAGCACGGACCATACCTACAAAGTGATGTGCAAGGGGCTTCGCAAGAACCCGAAATCAGGTCATGCGCTGTGCCATACATCTGCCTTCACAAGTTTTGATAACTAGCTGGTTGTGGCACTGGCAAAATGCTTTGCAGTGGTCAAAAAATGGACACATGATTCCACTGTGGTGTCAGGAAACTGACAAGTGGGTAGCACTGTCCACCTGTCAAAGTTGGCCTGTTGGGGGGATGATTATCTTGTCTGCCAGCTGCATCCCGTTCCCCACCTCCCCACTATCTGCAGAGCAGATAGATATGACTTTGTGTGTTTTCTCACAAGTTATGTGCAATCCTAGGCCATTTGAACAGTTATAGCATCTGCAAAGCAGGCTTACCAAAATGAAAGACTCAGTTACAATAGATACTAGAGCTCTTAACATTTCCACCGGAAGCTGCTGCCACCTAGCCTTCAAAAGAACAGACAAACAAAAAACCAGAATGCGAAGTTCCTCTTCACACAAGTCCCTCATCAAGCAACACAAAGTGCTATGACAGTGGAATTCAGGTCCACATGTGAGGCTCTTGGTTAAACTTGACAGAGGAGTGTGCCTTCTCCTGAATTTATTCTGTAGGCGGACCTTAAAACTATCCAACCCATTTATTACACACCCAAATTGTGTTCATTGCACTCTGGATACTCTTGTGTTAATTCTTTCTCTCCTGAATCTATATATTTCAAATGCAAAAAATGTCCTCCTTGTCATTTACAAGCTAATTTTGAATGCCGCTTCCATAACCATTTAACTCTAAACACAGGGTTCTTTTGAATATAAGCTGACACTAGTGTCACCTTAGTTTTGCTTAAGCCCAGTTATGGGCCCAGAAATGTTAGCTAATTATAGAAATCATGGTGCAGACACATCACAGTAATTTCCACAGAGAGTTCCTTTTTAAATAACAACTTTTCAGAATGAACAAATATGGATGAAATATTGACCTTTCATTTCGGATTTAAAATCTATGTTACACAGGTTTTCAACAACGATCGCCTATATATATATATCCATATATATATATTTGTATATTTTACAATTATGCCTGACCAACTTGAAAATTTTCACCAGGTATTAAATTCTCAGCTGTCCTTCTCCGCTAAATACTGCTAGCCTCCAATATTGTGAAGAATGGAGAAAATGACCCCCACACTTTGAAACCTAAATCAGAGGATGGACTGGGATGGATTTTTAGCTGTCAGCACAAGGCATCACGGGCAAGCATAGTTCTTAACCTACCACATAACTGGAAAAAGCAGAATTATGAAAAACAAGGTATTAAAAAAAATTAAAATATATACAGGTCCCAGATTTCTTGGCACAGAATTATGAGAATTATCTTGGCACAGAATTATTAGTGCACAGTATATATACGGTAGATACTATTGATAAGCAAGAGACATAAAATTATGGATTGATGTATTATCCCAGTGGAACAAAATGGTTCAGTGGACACTTCAGTCTGCCAAATTAGACTGATATGGTGAAAAATCTACTGACTGCACAAATGTATTTGGACACAAAGATTACTTAAATAACAATGCTCTTTCATACTGTGGTTATTTCAAAGTGGTTGTTTTAATTTTTGGGGGTGATATTTAATGTTAAAACATACTAAGAACAGGCACACTGAAATGGAACGTTCACTAATTTCAATGAGTCTACTCTGAGTATAATGAACATTGAATATCAGCCACTGTAATTCTAAGTTTTTGTCAGAGACCCTGGGAGCCTGTTGAAAGGCAGGTTATACAGCCCTTAAATAAAATAGATAAATATCAAGGATTCTCAAGTGCTCAATACAATGTCCTAGAGTACTATCATCCCATACTGCTGATGGAGGCTACAGCTGAGACACTTCCATGCCCAAGTCCACCTGGTGACTTTGTGACTGAGGCTAGACTTGAACCAGTGATTTCCTGGCTCATACTCTTAGCCACCAAAGCATACATCAGACTGTCCAAGAAGTATCCTCTGAACCATTCTGGATCCTAAATGGTGTTATGGCAGGTTTATTCTATTCCGAAAATAGGGACTGTGTTAGTTAGGTTAAACGTTTCCCTCAGTGGAGAGTTCTAAAACACAATTCACCTTCTGTAAGAGGAAGGTCTGCATTTTGCAGGGAACACTGTGCCGAGCAAGAGGAAAACGCAATTAAGAATTTCCAAAGTAATACAAGAAGCTCACTTAATTGTCACAGATAATTCAAAAGTACATTACAGGGAACCAAGGGAAACTTGTTAAAAATGATAGGGAGAAACAAATTGTCATGTCAGTATTGCACCACGGATGGGGAACCTGTGGCCCACTGAGTGTTGTCAGACTACAACTCTGGGCTCCTCACGAAGGAAGGGTGGGATATAAATTCAATTACCGTATTTTTCGCTCTATAAGACGCACCAGACCACAAGACGCACCTAGTTTTTGGAGGAGGAAAACAAGAAAAAAAATATTCTGAATCCCAGAAGCCAGAACAGCAAGAGGAATCGCTGTGCAGTGAAAGCAGCAATCCCTCTTGCTGTTCTGGCTTCTGGGATAGCTGCGCAGCCTGCATTCGCTCCATAAGACACACACAAATTTCCCCTTACTTTTTAGGAGGGAAAAAGTGAGTCTTATAGAGCAAAAAATACGGTAATAAAGAAACTCCCTGACCATTGGCTATGCTTACAGGAGCTGATAAGAGCTGGTCCAAGAATATTTGAAGGGCACCTTACGCCTCTTCTATATAGATAGATAATATATATGATTGGAACATGACATTTGTAATTTTGTCATAGCTACAGGCTTCACATCAGTTACTTAAGGAATCCGCTCAGAAATAGCCCTGGTTGTGAACACTCAACAAGATCCCCAAGACTGTGTTTTGAAAGCTCATATTCACTAGGCAACTGGCAAACACAGGATCACAGCACCAAACAGATCTTAACGTCACCAATTCCGAGTTGGTGGTGTGAGAAAAACATTACAGTAACATTCAAATCAGATCTCACCATCTTTCCTTTTTACCTTAAGTCAGCTTACGTCTCCTCTCCAGGAATACGTTGTCCAACTATTCAAGGTTTTAAGAGGTGAAGTTAGCAATACACCTTGAGTTACAATAACATTTGAATATTCAATTAAAATAAAGTTCATCAATAAATATAATTTAATGCTTGGGGTGCTTGTGCAAGACCCTGTCACCAGCTGCAATTTAAGGGCTTGGTGATAGCAACATCTTGCAGAGGGAGCCTGGTTCATTATTCATTTGGAATGTTTTCAGATGGGCTGTTTCAATTCAGAGCTGGTTTGGGACTTTGATATCTAAAGAGCCTCCCTCTACCCATATGAACCTGTCTGCACACTTCAGTCTCCAGAGGAGGTTCTGCATCCCACTACCATCAGAGGTGCATCTTGGTGGTTGTGGCCAAGCTATGAAACTAGTCTCTGCCTTGAGAAATCAGGCCGGATCACTTTATCTCCAGGCTTCAATTAACAACATTATTATTCTAATGAATTTTTCAGTAAGGCATTCTTGAATGTGTTATCTATTCTCAGTGTGCTGTCCCTGTTGCTTTTTATTTTCTGGGATTGTTGCTTTTATAATTATAATTTTATGATCACTGCTTTTTTAGGGGTGGGAAGGCAATTTCTCCCTGATCTGTATCAAGCTGTATCTCACATAGTTGTTGTAGAACCTTCTTATGATCCATATTGGCCAGTGTGGTCCAACAGATATTTTGGACTTGGACCAGATTGCAATCCTTTTTCACTCAGGCCTGGCTCCCTGGATGGTTTGTAGGCAAGTCAATCTCAGTTCTCCATCTTACAGTGGGAATAACTAGCCTACATGACAGGACTATTGTAGTGACGAAGAGGACTGCTACATTAGTAATAATGAAATATTAAAATGTTGGGATGGGTTCATCTGTTTGGACTTCAATTTCATCTTCCAATTTGTGCCCTTCCATACAACTCTGCATTATTATCGTATTTTTTGCTCTATAAGACGCACCAGACTACAAGACGCACCTAGTTTTTGGAGGAGGAAAACAAGAAAAAAAAAATATTCTGAATCTCAGAAGCCAGAACAGCAAGAGGAATCGTTGCACAGTGAAAGCAGCAATCCCTCTTGCTGTTCTGGCTTCTGGGATAGCTATGCAGCCTGCATTCGCTCCATAAGACGCACACACATTTCCCCTTACTTTTTAGGAGGGAAAAAGTGAGTCTTATAGAGCAAAAAATACGGTAATTATTGTGGTAAACATTGCATTATGCAACTCCCAAGGTCTACGCCTTCCTAAAACATTCCAATAAAAATCATTTCCAAGTGAAGAATTTGATCTTTTTGAATTGCACCAAGTACAGATTAAGCAAATACTTCAACTACTTTAGGCTACTGGAAAAACTTTTCAGATTTTACACAGCATGTAAAATCAGAATTACTTTTTTAAGGCCTTTTTTTAACCAATGTAAGTCAAATAAAAATACTAAGTCACATCCTTTTCAGTTGAGCAGTGTAACTTTTTCAGAGATTTTCCAGTTCAAATTTTTATGGAAAACCCACATTACCCTCTCTTAAAGATTTTAGATGCTGTAAGTGCTTTGAAATGTTTTTTTAGCTGGTTCCTAATTAGCTTTACAATATCTCAAATATCTTTTTATTCTTTTTTAATATTTTGATGTTTGCTGCACTGGGCTCTTTTAGAAGAAAAAAGAAGAATGGCTATTTAGTAAACTAAGTAATAAATTTATAACATCTCTAGGTTTAGTTATTCAATGGTCAGAACATAAATTAGTCCAATATTTGAAAGAGAAAATAGGTTTTTAAAGGTTACAAAACTAGTATTTTCATCTCCAAAATATTTTGAAAAGCTTACAAAAACCAGTTATCTAATTATTTAAAGGTGCATCTTTATTTTAGCAGTCTTACAGACACCCCCTTGTATCTGCTAATGAAGTTGCATAAGCACATCAGTTCATTTTTCTAAAGTTACTAATGCATGTTTAAACAAGTTCTTCAAGTATAAATGAGGAACACAATGACTGGCTATTAACACAAAAGTGTTTGATCTCATTCTCCTAGCTCTGTTGGAGCTAGAATGTAATTAATCAGGACTTTCAGTGTGGTATTCAGATAATTTTTATTCAGAGAAGACCCATTGAAATTAATGAATAAGACTAAGATACATTAATTGCAGTGGGTCTACTCTGAATAAAAATTACCTGAATACCTAAAGGAATGAATGATTTGCAACCTATAAATAAGGTTCTAAAATATGTATTCTAAGAAATGATAAAAGGAATGGAAGTTTTGGCATTTAAACATTTGATCTACAGTCATACCTCGGGTTAAATTTGCTTCAAGTTGAGCGTGTTCGAGTTGCGCTCCGTGGCAACCCGGAAGTAACAGAGCGTGTTACTTCCGGGTTTTGCTGCTTGCGCATGCGCAGATGCTCAAAATGACGTCACGCGCATGCGCAGAAGCGGCGAAAAGCGGCACATGCATGCGCAGACGTACCGTCGCTAGATACGTTTACCTCTAGATGCGAACGGGGCTCCGGAACGGATCCCGTTCGTATCTAGAGGTACCACTGTACTTGTAAGCTGTCTAGGAACATTTTACAAATGTTTTGTAAAAAATAAGTAGTTAAAGGAAAGTATCTCCCAATTTCTTTGTGGACAAAAAGAGCTAATATTTAGCATGCATACTGTAATAAATGAAAACCTCAATCTGATTTTGTAGTTACAGATGGATATTGAACCTCGCTATGTATTAGTCTTCCTAACCTACAATACATTGACAAAAACCTAGTTCTCTTAAAGCTATTGAAGCCCGAGCCAGTGTAATAGACTGTACTTCAAATGGACCCAGAATCCCACAAGCCTAGCAGAAGTAAACCTCTCACATTATAATATAACAGCTTAAGACTCAGTTAATATTTCTGTGCAAGAAAGAGCAGATACACTCATGAGGAACATGTTATGTACCTATTTTGCTGCATGTGTACATGGTAAGAAGCTGTGATGCACTGCAGACTTCTATCATGTATACCTTTGGTGAAACAGATACATTCTGCCAATTGTGATGTTACGATAAACACAATGCAAATACTTTCCTACAGAGAAGCAATATTGGTGTGGGGAAATCACTGTGCATGAAATGGTCCTTCCAACTTTTAAAAAGGTTTTATTTAAAAATAAATAAATAAAAACAGGATTCACTTTTCTTTGTCTTTTCTGCCATTTGTGAGCAAAATAGAAGAAAATGTTTTGCTTCTATGAGGACAAATTGCATTTGAATTTGTAAGTTTGGGGCGCTAGTCTGGAGGAGTACATGAGAAGTTCCAAATGTGCAAGAAAGCTATTTTTCTTTAGAACACTAGCAGCTCATCTACACAGCTTTGAAAGGTGCCTTGAAGAGTGGAGAATGAAACTTATGGACTATGCAGAACTGGATAAACTGACTGGGAAGATTAGATATCAACGGGATCACAAGTTCATCGAGGACTGGGGAAAGTTTACAGATTATCTGAAAAGCATATGTGATGAACAGACAACGCTAGTGGGATTTAAAGAGGCTTTGTGAAAGTTAAAGATGTATTACAGGCTTATGTATGTATACAGGCTTACCCCCACTTACGCGTGTTCTACTCGCGCACAACTGTGCATATGTGCAGCACTAGAAAATAAATAAATAGAATCATACAAGGAAATGGTGGGAGAGAGCTAGAGAGTCCTCATGGCTCGTAAAGAGGCCCTCTCCAGAGCCTGAAGAGGACGTCAGTGAGGGCAGAGGAAGCCCCAAAGAGACCTGAGGTGCAGTGGGGCTTTGTTTAGGCTGCTCAGCCTCCCCACCTAACAGCTGACACATGGGGCAGTGCAGCAGCCATTGCTGTCCCACGCGTCCTCCAGCCGGCCCCAGAACTTCAACTAGTTGAAGAGAGAGAGAGTTGTGTGGAGAGCTGGAGAGTAGGAGAAAACAGGCATTTAGAGGCTTTTTAGAAGGTGCTCCCCACTTGACGTGATTTCCCTTATGAACAAACCCCTGCGTGAGTGGGGGGACGGCTGTATCGCTTTTCTGGAGTGGGAGCCTTAGTAAACTGAATACAGTGAATAATTTGATAAATGATAATAGGATGCTTATGCAGAATGTGTATATGGAACTATTGTTTTTGTGTTACAGAAAATGGGCAGTGTAACAGAGATACCTATTTAACAGTGGGGAAACAACGGGTTCATAAAAAGCCCTAAAAAGCCATTAATTTGGTGTCTACTAAGTGACTAGGAAAGCCTACTATTCCGAAGCCAATATTACTTAAAAGTACAACTAAACGTTCTTTCAGAGATCAACAACTTATTGCTATAATTCTTTACTCACAATGGCATCAATTTGTTCCAGAATCTTCATAAACTGTTCAGCAGTTCCCTTGATCCGCTTGTCCAACTGGTTAAGAGCTTCAGTTTGAAGATTCTTTGCTAGAAATCCCTGTATGGAAATTGTAATTTCTCATAAAAATTTATTCATAGCATACCTGAAGACATCTTATCTAGATAATATAATTTATCATGTTGTTTATCAAAATACTATTATACACCCTTTATTATTTTGAAGGATTAAAAGAGGAGTCAAGAAATAGCTAGAGCATTTTTCTAGAAGAAAAATAAATATAAGATAGGTGACCGACCTTTTGAGGTAAATTCATTTAAATTAGGAAATATAGTATCAACAATTAAAAATTATAACGCTAGGTAAACTATTGAAATAAGAAATCATCTTACTTTTTGAATACCTCCAAGCTCTTTATTAACATCTTCTATTTTTTTTGCTATTTGTTCCACAGATTTCTCCAAATCTTTCAATTTCTTTAATTCAGTTTCTTCTTCTGGACTATTCTGGGTAATTTAGAACAAGATGGCACAGGTTTACATCAATCCTAACATTTATGATACATTTATTCTAGCATACATTAACAAAGATTTAGAAGCTTGCTATTACTCCATTCAGCACCCTCGCTTCTCTCTACTTCTAACAGTTATCAATTTTCTTCGTGTTGTTTTTTTTTTTTTAATCAATAGGCTCACTATTTCAATGGATGTGCAACCAAGTAAAGATGGTTACTGCTGTTGGCAAATACTAATATGTACCTAGAAGTTATTATTTTATGTTCTTCGGCAAAAGAAAACAGTATCCAAAGCAGTAACATACAGCTACAGTTAAGATTTTGGAAGATGAATGTATTTTAAATTGCGTCGTTAGGAAAAGGAGGGGTTCCTTTTCAAAAAGCAAGTTCGTTTAGATCAGGGGTAAAGAATATGTGGTCCCCCGGATGTTGCTGGACTCAATCAGCTCCAGCCAGCCTGGCCAATGTTCAAATATGATATGAGTTGTACTCTAACAACATCAAGGGGGGGCACAGGTTCCCCACCCCAATCTAGATGATTTGGGTTCCTTCCAGTTCTGTTTGAGAGAGAAGTAAGGATTGTCGCAGATATGCAAGGCACATAAAAATTTCAGTAGAGAACAGAGAGTTTATTGGGTAGGAACAAGTACAGTAAAACAAGGTTACTGGTTAATTAATGCTCCATTATTTGAAGATGTTTTGCATACTGCCCTGTGAACGATTTTTTTAAAGGCAAAATAATACATTTTAAGATAAACAGAACAAAAGAAGAGCAACATGGGAAGAACAAAGAGGACAGAAGGCAGAAAAGACATTAGAAAAGGGGGAAAGAATCCACAGCAAGTTAGGCACTAAGTCCTACTAAAATCAGGGGCTTGAGTGGAAGAGCTGCTTCTAAATTAGTGGAGGAGTATTGCAGGATAGCTGACACTAAATCTAGAGAAGTTCATCTGCTTGTGCAAGCTCCTTTTCAAAATCTTTTTGTGATCCACTAGGGTTCACTAGCCTTCCTTATTTACCACCTCTCATCCTGTAACACATTGCAGTGCGGCATGGAGAGACATCGTCTGCTCATGCTTGTGCAAGAGGCTGTGCAGCAGTGCAAATAGTGGATCCAAGCCAGGGATCGGATAAAACTACCCCCTCCAAAAGTGAAAAAACGGGGAAACAAAAGCATGGTCAGTTTTCCTTACTAGAGAGCAAGGAGAAAGTGCTCTGCGCTTGAGAAGAAATAGCAAGTGAGCAAATGTCTTATTGAATACCAAGGGGGGGGGAAATATTACTTCTCATATTAGGAAGCGCAACGATACATGTTCATCCATGTGTGTTTCTGTGTGTGGAGGGAGAGAGAGACAGCCTTCATAAAATGAAAGTTACCCTTTTTCCAATCAGCATGACTTTACAACCGTTTTTAACTCCAAATGTTGCCAAAGGCTGTTCCATTTCTTTCAGGGATTTTCCTAGGAGGAAAAACAAAGAAACCTACAAATTTATTTTGGGAAACTTCGGCAAACAAAATGAAGAGTCAGTTTTACGTTCATTTACAAATATGGAACAACTTGCATACCTTTTATACACCTATACCAGCATAAAGCTGAAAGCATCACCTGATTAACATAAAAGGCTCCACAAATGTTCCGTTGTTGATATTGATACAAAGTATCACTTGGAAGCCTAGGGCACACCTTAATGACATAACAACAGTTGTTCATAGATTTCAAAATTCACATTCGAAGGTCTTTGCGGTCTCTCTGAGCCAGTTGCCCAGCTGTCCAAGCACCCACTGACATCACAGCAGAGGAGCTATGACACCCCAGACTGCCAAAGTATATTGTGACATCACAGAGAATCAGCTGCTTATACTGGAACAGGCTGTACTCATTCTAAACATTAAACATAATTTTTAAGAGGCTCTATTTATTTGATAAAATATCCAGCTTAGTTCTCTTTAAAAGGAAAGCACAAAACAAAACTTTTTCAAAACAAAACAAAAACAGAAGACAAATGAAACCATCTGAAAAGGTTTTTAGCGTTACTTTGATACTCAGTTTAATAAAATAAAATAAAATAAAATTCAACAATTGGCAAGAGCCAGTTATTCTTCTCTCATAGGTTCCTAATACCTTAAAATGGTTACAAGAATCCCGGAAATTAGTGTAGCAGTAATACCATTCATGTTCCTTTTCAAACTACATGCACTATAATAAATTTGAAACATTAAAACTGGCCCAGCACACTGTAACCCATTAATGTGAACAGAGCCCACCATCCATTATAGCTCTTTATCATGGGCTCAACAAACCTCTCATATCTCCTGTGTAATGCATGAAACTGTAAAAAAGGGGAGGTGTGCCAAATATCATACATGCCTAGTAGGCTGCTGTGTTCAGGTTGATGAGCCAAAAGTTGTGTAAGCTTGACTCAAATACACAGTGCCTGGGCAAATATATTAGTAAGAAAAACCAAAGAAAGAATATTGGTGATTAATTGTTCTCTCTCACAATACATGCACGTACTTCAGCATGTGATAAATAAAACTCACTTTGTAGTTTTAACTGATTCATGATCTGTTCTCTGGATAAATCAATTTTTAAAAAGAGATGAAATTAGCATAGCTATTCAGCAAAAATAAATCCTCACCCAATTGTATATGGTTATTTAAGACCAGTTCTAACTGATATTTTGCATGTAATCCTATACACACGAGAGTAAGCCCCATTGAACTCAGTGGAGCCTAATTCTGAGTCGCCATGCATAGGATTGTGCTGCAAATATAAAAACGTTACTTACCTTTATATATCAGTTTCTGAAAAGAAATTGGAACTCCAGTTACTTGTTCAATTAAGAGAGCCATATCACGTACTGTTGGCTGACTGTCTTCTTCTTGAGAAGCAACCTGAAGACTGTGTTTTTCGCTACCTGAAAATACCATAATGAAAATATATTCAGATTACAAACTGGGTTTAGCTCAGTCCATATGTGCTGCAAACTACAGTCTTACAAGCAAGTATTTAACAAATAAAGTTTACCTAACATGGAGATAAAGCAATGGGGTAAAGCTTCACACATGAAAGGTTCAACCATAATCATACTCAGAGTAGGCCCACTGAAATAAATTGGTGTCCACTGATTTCAGTGGGTCTATTCTGAGTATGATGACTTAGTTGAATATGGCCCCTAGCGTACACTCCCAGGGGCTCAGCCTTTGCCATCCTGATGCCTTTGAACTACAACCCCATCAGCCGCAGCCAGAACAACAAAGAAGGCTGTCTCTTCTTTGCCTGCATCCCTCAAATTGCCTTCTTCCCCCTGCTACAAGACTGTTATCCACTGGCCAGTCTTTATTACTGACCCCAGTAGAGCCATGAATCATAGAATAGAATCATAGAATCATAGAGTTGGAAGAGACCCCAAGGGCCATCGAGTCCAACCCCCTGCCAAGCAGGAAACACCATCAGAGCACTCCTGACATATGGTTGTCAAGCCTCTGCTTAAAGACCTCCAAAGAAGGAGACTCCACCACACTCCTTGGCAGCAAATTCCACTGTCGAACAGCTCTTACTGTCAGGAAGTGCTTCCTAATGTTTAGGTGGAATCTTCTTTCTTGTAGTTTGGATCCATTGCTCCGTGTCCGCTTCTCTGGAGCAGCAGAAAACAACCTTTCTCCCTCCTCTATGTGACATCCTTTTATATATTTGAACATGGCTATCATATCACCCCTTAACCTCCTCTTCTCCAGGCTAAACATGCCCAGCTCCCTTAGCCGTTCCTCATAAGGCATCGTTTCCAGGCCTTTGAAGGTCCTTCTCATCCCTGAATTCACTGAACAGCCAGCTTGCATTACCCACATTTATCAGATTGTGCTGCAGAGGTTCTCTTACTGACCTTACTCCTAGTAAAATACATGTATATATAGTGGCTGATAATACAAGAGAATGACTTGAGCCATTTGTATATAATTTCAGTGGCACTTGCAAATAATCCTCTAACTTCAGTTCAATATCCTCTCCCCACCCCCGTAAAACAGATTTTGGGAAGAGGGCAAGAACAGCTTGCTTAGGGTCACCCTGCTGAGCTCATTGCAGAGGTAAAATTCAGTCTCTCCGAGTCATCAGTTGCCCCCCTGTCCGGGCACCCACTGACATCACAGCAGAGGAACTATGACGCCTCTGGCTGCCAAAGCAGATTGTGACATCACAGAAATCGGCAAGAGCCAGTTCTTCTTCTCATAGGTTCCTAATACTGTGCACATTCACACATGCTCTGAGGCACTCTGGCCTTGGAACCTCCTGGGTTTCAGGAATGGGGTCAAGCTATGCATGTATGTATGGAGGAAAGCACACGTAGATGTACAAATGCATGGATGGATGTACGTATGAATGAATGCACGGGTGGGGGGATGGATGCATGAATGCACAACTGCACGGGGGGATGGGTGGATGGGGGCGCGAAGGCGTCTGGGGGGCCCGTCTGCGTGTGCCGCCCCCCTCCACCGCCTCTCTCATCTCCTTCCACGGGGAGGGAGCGGCTGCCGGGGGCGCAAGGGCCGGGGCGGACGGGGAGGCCGCCCCTTCCCCGCTCGCCTCCGGGCTCCCTCCGCCCGCTAGGCCCGAAGCCCCGGCCTCGCCGCCCGCGCTCTCACCGTAGGTGACGGTCACCGTCAGGGCCGAGCCCCCGCCGCCGCCGCCGGGCACCGCCATGCCCCGCTTCGCCCTCACGGAGCCCGCGCCGAGTGCCGCCCTCCGGCGCCGGAAACTGCCGGCCGGGGAAGGAGGAGGCGGAGGCGGCGGAGGAGGAGCAGCCGGAGCCCGGCGAGAGAGGGATAGACGCCGCTGGCTGGCTTGCTTATTTATTTACCTACTTTTCAGTATCTCTTATTATCATTTATTATTATTCCCTCTTATTATTGTCTTGTTTTTATTCTTATACCGCCCCCCTCACAGGGACCGAAGGCGGTTGTACTGATTAAAAATAAGATCAGCTGAGAAATGTTTGGGGTGGATGGGAAACTATTTCCCAAGCATCCTTTACAGTATTATTAATTCAATGTATATACTGCTCTTCTTGCGAAGATCACAGGGCGGTGTGCAACATTAAAAATGTAATTCATACGGTATAATAAAAAGCCCAATAAAGCAATTACAAGAAATCACCATCGCACTCTTCCCCGCCCCATTTAAAAGGCCAGACTGTTCAATGGCTGCAGGCCTGAGGGAAGAGGAATGTGTTCACTTTGGGCCGAAGATGTAGCAAAGGCACCAGGCAAGCCTCCCTGGGAAGAGCATTCCACCATGAGGAGCCACCACAGAAAAGGCCATTTTTGCCCCCCCCCCAGTGTCTCGTGGAGGGGGCACACACAGATGGGCCTTGGATGACAAGTGCAGGGGTCCGGTTGGTTCGTATGCAGAGGTATTGAAGTCCTGAGCTGTGTAACAGAATTAAAACTATATAAAACTATTTGAAAACAGGCAATCACAACAAAAGCAGCGTACCAGCCCTTTCATTAGAAGCAGCCCGTTCCTAAAAGCCTGTTGGGAACAAGGGGGTTCTACAGTACACTATTATTTTTGTGATTACAGGCAACTCTTGACTTATGCAGGGGTTACATTCCAAGGAGTGCACATACATTCAAAACATATTGGCAGGTGAGACTGCCATTCTTTTTTCTCCAGACACCTGCCATTTAGGTTTTTCTGCCAAGCAGGTAAAGCTGAATGCACACAACTTAAATGTGTATCTATCTACAGTATTAATTTTTTTTATTAAAACCATACAATCCACCAAAAACAGCACAGCACCAGCCCTTTCATTCGAAGCAGTTGGTTCCCAGCAGCCTGTTGGAACAAGGTGGTCTTCACCTGCCAGCGGAAGGACAGCAAGGAGGGAGCACTGTCTTCTCCAGGGAGGGAGTTCCAAAGTCTGGGAGCAGCCACCACCGAGAAGGCCCTCTCCCACATGCCCACCGAGTGTGCCTGTGAGGGTGGCAGGGCAGAGGCTTCCCCTCTGAAGATCTCTGAACCTGAGCATGTTCGAAAGAGGGAATATGACATTTCAGACAGCTTTTCCCTGTCTATGCAGAAGAATTTGGGGGTTGTGTGTTTGGTGCTGCTCTTGTGCCTTTAACAGCAGCCTGACACGCAGAAATGTAGAATGAGCACTTTCCCCCAGTGCCTGCCCTGCTTCCCTGTCACAAAAAGCTTCACCAGTTTTATTTCTGAACAGGAACGGTCTTGGTAAATAAGCATACCATTTTATGGAGCATATGTGATTATTACCTGTGATACCTCCATTGCCAGCCAGCCAACTGGTTTTTATTGAACATTATCTAGTTTCCTAAAGGAATCACGGTCAATCTTTGCTACCTTTTAGGGAATCCTTCCCGAATCATCATGGCTGCTGAAGACATCACTCACCCTACAGTCATCTGCAACAACCCCTTGCAGGGAATTATCCATATTCATCATTTCACAAGATGGAACTTATTAAAGTGCAACATCAAATTTCTACACAAAAAGACTACACAAATAGAAACTGTCTCATTGGGGTGGAAGCCTATTCACACTGACTTTGGACAAGTGTATCCTGTTTAACTTAATGAGGAAGAGATGGCAGGTGACATAGCAATGTGGATTATTTTCTTTACCTGGCCAAGTCCAGCCCTTTGAGTATTAGCAGCTGGCCAAGTCCCAGCTGCCAACCCACACCAACGTACACAGAGGGAGTAGTGGCTTTGACAATGGGACTGGTTTACTGTCTCCTGGGGGCCGACTTGTCCCACCCTCCTCAAAGTGGCCCTCCAATAAAATGAGCTACTGATCAGGCTTTTAAACTAAGACATGGGGAGGGACAAAGGTCTTCAGGCTTTTTGACATTTGTGGATTCCGAAACACATAAATAGTTCCCATGCAGAAATGGAAGAAACAATAGTTTCACAAGCACCTGTACCAGCTGGAGACCAATGACATCAAAAAGTTGACATCTTGATATTTAACAATAACTGAGACAGAAGGAACTGCACCTTAAAAAAATAATAATAACACTATAGAGATCAAGCAACCCTAAACGGTATATAATTTAGGTCAAAATGGATTATACAATGTAATCTCCTTTGCTTCTTTTTGTTACTCAGCTACATTTAAGGGCTATAGCAAATATATCCACAATAAATGGCAAATGGTAGCATTATTAGAAAATATGCATGATTAAAGCAAGCACAATAAAGTTAGTCTAAGAAATACCATCACAGTGCCCTTTGTAGTCCGGAGAAATATAAATCAAAGAAAACCATAAATAGCCCAAAGTAATTTTCAGAATAATACTACAACACTACAGGAGTGATGAAGCCAAATTTCAGAACTTGTGAACAGATCCCACTGCAGGAAAGAGTTGTACCAATTTCTTGCTGTTAATACAAAAGCTAGTAATAAAATGTCTTCAAAAGGAGGGGAATTTGTCACTCATTCACTCTACATTCTGTTATGTAGTGATATCAAGTGGTACTGGAAAGCTTTATCTGCACCACCCATGGTATTCTTCTTAAGAAAGATGAAAAGCAGCAGTCCCTCTGAGCTAGAGAAGTTATGTTGCAGGGATCTGTGGCAATCCAAATTCATCCACCAGTACACCATCCTATGAGAGGAAAAGCAAACAATTGTGGTTAATAGTATAAAGTATATAAAATATGTATGTTAATCTTACTGTCTATATCCTGAGATATCAGCACCAGCAAACAGTGAACCTACCAGTGCATCCACACCACAGGAGCCACTTGTTTATTAATATTTCATCAACTGTCATTCTAACACACTCAAGGAGGCTAGCAACAAAGGCTGATATTATGTTTGCTTGGCAAAGATAATGTAGAAGGACAACAGCTGGCAAGAGACCACCATTTAACAGGATTATCTATAATACAACCAAGATTTAGTTTGAGGATAGCCAGAGAAATATTTCATTTTGTTTTCATATATAAATGGAGAAAGAGTCAGCCTCATTTGTCTGCCCAGTGAAGGTGTAATATAAATACAGGACCAGGGTGTTATACTGTGTCATAAATTTAAATTAAGCAGCAAATGGTACTTAGAAAGTGTACATAACATAAAAGGTTAAGGCACAAGGTCAATTTAAACAAACATTGAACTTTGCTTTGCACTAACCATAGTTGAGAACCCAAGCTAGGATTTGAGCTTCCAGGGAAACCATGGTTTCAAGCTACCTGTCTGCTTTTATTTTCCAGCCTCTCAGCTTTGTGGGTTTACTCCTATTTCCATGGTACAGCAACCTTGAGGTGGCATGATGGCAACAGATAGCTTGTCAAATCAAACACTGTGCCAAACTATAGCTAGCCACAAACTGTGGTTTGCAAACTTACTTCATACCAGGGTTCTCATTCTGTCTTGCTGGCTGATTGCAAATCCTAATTTTTCAATTCCGACACCATGCAAAATGATTATTTATTAAATTTATATACCAACCTTCATAAGATGATCACAGGGCAGTTTACAACATAAAACCACATGCCAAACCATAGTTAAGTTTTCTTCAACATTGTTTGCCAACATTGTTTGCCTTATTGCCCTGCCCACAGCTGTTCAATCAAATACATTACCTGGGAAAGGGCCATAACTCAAAGCACATGTTTTGCATGCAAAAGGTCCCAGGGTTTAATGTCTGGTATCTCCAGTTAAGGCTGGGAAAGATTCCTGCCTGCACCCCAGAGAACGGCTGGCAACCAGTGTAAGCAATACTGAGCTAGGTGGACCAATGTCCTGACTTGCTTTATAATGCAGCTTCGAATGTTCCTTTGCACTTATACCGCTTAATTATTAGTACTGAAGATACAGATATATTTCCTAATAAATATATTGATCCCCCCCAAGATAATTAAAAAGAAAGAAAGAAAAGGATGAGGGCAATAAACCTATCCAAGCACTGTATTCTATTGGGTCTGATGTTGGTGACGCTGTTGTAAATGTATTGCGCATAATATGAGGTGGGAAAGAAGACTTACTTTGTTTTTTGCTTCAGTTGGCGTTCCTTCTGGAATTGATGGAACAGATGCAGCTTCATCCAGATAGGAGCTATCCTCATCAGCTAGAAGTTCATCACCTAGTGCCTCCAGCTCTAAAATTGTTGTTAGGACACAAAATGTCTATCACTAACAGGAAAACTGAGGGTGGCTGAACTTGTCCCTGAACTTGAAATAGTATTTCAGTACCTATTGTACAGCACATAAAATGAACATTTCTGAAGAGATTGCCCTCAGATAGCATAAACTCTAATACTTAATTTATATCCCTCTTGAAGGAGCCCAGGAAAGCAAAAAGATCAATAATGTAACATCTTAAAACAAAACACACTTTAAAGATTCCCTTAACCGATAATCTCAGGGTTGCCATGAACAGTGCCTTTCAGCCATCAACTGCCTAGTAGACAGGAATGTTTTGAGATTCTTCCTGAAAGTCAGTAACAAGGGACACAGGTGCACCTGGTTTATCAATTTGGACATCACACTAATCCTGGGGTTGCCAACAAGGTGCCCATGAGCACACCTGTGCCAACAAAGTTCTTCCCAGGCTCCTGCAGGGTCTTCTTCCCACCCCCAACCCAATGGCTGCTGATATGTTGTTTAAAGGAAGCCATATATTTTAGCTAACAAAATACACTTTTCCAGGCCTAACTGCAGTCTTCCTGAGGACAGTATTCACTCCTGCAGAAAATGTGTCTCCCTCCGCACCAAAAAAGATACAACAGAAGGCATATATCAAGCCTACAAACCTAATCTCAATAGAGAAGGAACAATGTGAGGGTTGCAGGAGGGAAGGCAAGGAAAGGATCACACAATTAGTCTGTAAAACAGTTTTGCATTGTGGTCGACGGAATGCTTTTTTTCCAAGCTGAATCACTGCAGAGGATGATCTTCATGGAGGCTGCAGCCAGGGAGGGAAGGTTAACATTTGTTACCCAAACTACACCCTCCAGGAAGACCATCCCCTGCGCACAAACAACAAAAAAAGACCTAGGGAGAAAAGTGAAAACTTTTTTCAAACTCTACTTGCTGACAGAGAGGGGAGTGTACACAGTTGTGGTGTGTGCATGTAGTGCCCCAAACAGTCTCTCCAGTTTCCAAAGATTTGCAAATCAAAAAAGTTAAAACGTCCTTAACCTAGATTAACCAATGTTAACCTAGTCTTAACCAATGTTGGAATTGAGCCTGCATAATCTGCCTGAACCCATTACATCCTAGCTTTGCAGTTAGAATTAATTTGTAACTCACCTGCTTCCAAGTCTTCCTCATCAATTTCGGGGGTTCCATAACTACGACCCAATGCTTCCTGAATTTCACTAGCATCTTCCATCATATCTTCTAATTGGTCTTGCAAGTCCTGAAGTTTATTATGAAATATAAATCCAAATGACAGGAGGTAAGAGGTCTATTTGATTGTGAAACAATGGTAAGCATTCATTAGGTCCTATTTATTTGCCTAAAATGAACAAAATCTTTTTAATTAACTTGACTGGTATGCAGTTCAGATATACATTCTGCATTCTGCCTTTCTTTTTCGCTCACAAAAAGTTTTAGCCTCAAAAACAGTTTGGCTCATACAAAATACTACTGGTAATATTTATTCCTTGGGACAGATATAAAAATAAGACACATTCCAAAGGGAGGGAGAGGCATTATAAAAGAGGTACTCTAATTCAGATTTAAGTGTAAACATGCTTGTAGAGTCATCAGTGATTATTTTTCATGTAACACTGAAACTTACCTCAATCTGATCTATTTTTACTTGCTTGTAAGCCTTTTTCATTTCCTTCGCTCCCAGTTTCATGGCATCAACCTAGAGAAGTAGCCAGGTAAAATATTAAGACCCACTAGAACACATAGATAAATGCAAGTAAAAATTTAAATGAAAACCAAAATTACCGTTGTTTTTGTATCTTTCAGAGACTGGATGGTATAATTGGCTTGCTCCATATTGAAAGACTGTTGAGCGAGGTTATCTCGTTGGTTTTCATACCTATGGTCAAGACACAAAGCTTTCAGACCCTGAGTCACGGTAACTCACAAACTAGAGCTGCTGTCTGTTCTCCATTCCAGAGATTACTGTTATTATTATACTGTATATTTATTTATACCCCACCTTTTTCCATGACAGTGGATCAAGAACACTGTATGAAATCTGAAGTTTGATCCCAAAGAAAGGAAAAATTGTTTTTTTAAGTGCATGTGCCCTTTAACTATGACAGTCATACTACTAGGTGACACCAACTGTACTGTAGACAACTTTATTCTCCAGTTTCAAATCAGTGAAGGAAGATGGTTAAGCTGAAAACTGTGAAATGGGTTGCTTATCCTCCGTATGTCCAAGGAACATGGCTGCTCCTGCATTTTGAGTTTCCTCCCAGTGCCCCATCTTGGTGTCCACTTACATCTCTCTCTCTTTCTGCCAGCAGGCAATGGTGCAGCTGGCTGGGACTGAGGCCACAGCCTCTGCTAGAAGTGGAAGTAGGTGGCGTGACTATAGCCAGGAAACATCACAGTGTGAGAAACAACCCATTATAGCAACTTAGGGCTGGCGGGGTTGCTCTTCCTTATTGCCACATTCTCTGCATGAGCCACAGAACTTGGGGAATGGTCGAGTAGCGGCAATGGTAGTCTAGTTAACTAAGAGAAGCCAAAAGTTAAGGGCATGTGTTTCCACTCCTTTCAAATTAATACTCCGTTTCAAAAAATAAAGTTGAAGAGAGTATGAAACTTACATTCGCTTCTGTTTCAACACTCTCAGGGCTTTCTGCTTTACCATGTTCTAGAGAAAAGGTAAAAATCAGATGTCAATGCCAAGGATTAACTTGCAACATTTAAAAAGTCAAGATTGCTTACTTTTAAGATTTATATACCATCTTTCCACACCAACATCCAAGGAGGTTTACAAGCACAAATGAGAATGTACTTCATGCTGAAGTCTACCCAATAAAATTTGCAAGCTAAATAACTAATAACTCCCTAGTATTACTTACTTATATATATATTTGAACCCATCCTTCCTCTGTTTTCCCACCTACTTCCTTTCATCCTGAAAACCACCTTGTGAGGTAAATCAGAGAGAATGCCACTGGCCTATGGCCACCCAGTGTGTCTTACACATTAGGTATTTCTTGAAGCCCTGCATGGCACAGGCCTCAGACACTGATAAAACAATTGTGGACATTCACCAACATTTTTAAAAACCTGGAAAACTAGTTTTAATGTCACATGGCTTGAGTGGCCTCACCCTAAATTGTTCACATCTTACCTTTGCAGGCCCCTCCCTCATTTTCTTCATTTGATCTTTGTATTTCACCAGTTCTGCATCAAGCCTGGAAATTTTCTTGTCAATAGACTCTGCTCTGCTATCCACCTTTAGCAAAAGGAAAGATGAGGAAGAGAAAAAAAAAGTTCAGTTATGAATGACAAAAGAATCAGTACTCTCTCTAGCCAGGCAAGGTAATGTTTGGAAGCATCCTCCTACCATGCAATGGTACCACACATGCAATAACAGGCCACTTGGGGCAAGAGGTAAGCGGGGACCACCACTGCTCACTCACCTCGTTAAAAGAAACTAGTTGCTATATATGTAAACAAGGCAACATCCTTTGCCGTGATCTTGGCTTGGATCCAAAGAGCTACATAGGCACATCCAAGGGGAGGAATACGCCCAGTGAGATATTGATTACTCTTTGAACAGTAAATCTTCAACACCTCCCTTTCCATGGAGGCGCAGATTGCAGCTACAACAAAGGTGGCATTTTTCCATCTCCGCCAAGCTAAGCAGTTGGCTCCTTACCTCTCTTGCCCTGACCTAGCCACTGTGATCCACGCGACGGTCACCTCCAGGCTTGATTACTGTAACTCACTCTATGTGGGGCTGCCCTTGAGACTAGGGCCCTGCGGGATTTGACATCTTTCCACAGGGCCTGCAAGATGGAGGTGTTCCGCCAAGCTTTTGGCCAAGGCACAGTCTGACCCCCTCTCTCCTTCTGTAATCTTCGTAGAATAAGTTGTTAATCTGCCAGGGTATGTGTGTTTAAATGCTTTTTAATGCTTCTCTCTCTCTCTTTCTGTTTTTAGTTGTCCTTATTTTTACCCATAAGTTGTGTTGTAAGGGGGACAAGGCATAGCAGAGATGTATTAATAGTAGTAGTAGTAGTAATAGTAATAATAATAATAATCATCATCATCATCATGGGCGGCTTCCCTTTGGGTACCCCTTCCAGCGCTCTGCGATTCCTCTGGAAAGCTCAGATCCTGGAGCAGTCGGGATCAGGTGATCCACTGGCGATGGGGGGCCGTGATCTACTTTCTACCCCCTCACTCCCCCCCCCCATGGTCAGGCCTGGCAAAGCGAAGGCTCCGCATCATTCCTGCAGGACCCCGAGGTGGGGGGGGGGTGCTGGAGGCTGGGTTTCTATAGCAACGGGACGGAGCCCCGCCCCACCCCCCGAAGCAAGGGCGCCCACCGTGCCGATGCAGTCCGTCAGGTTGGGAGGCGGCGCCTTGGGCTTCGACTTTCCGAAGAAGCGGTTCATCTTGGCGAGACGAGCAAGATCGCAGTGGGGGCCCCTCCGGGAAGACCGACGCCGCCGAAAGCAACACAGAACCCGGAAGCAACCGGCGGCGCCCGCCAATCACAAGCGCGGAAGAGGGCTAAACAGGGATGCCACGTGATGCTTTACGTCATCGAAAGCGACGCCTTAAGGAAAGGCGGAAGGAAGGAGCCTCGCGCAGACGAAGCGACGCGCCCGCCCTGCCCTCGGGGGAAGGGGCTCGGAGGGCGGGGCCTCTGTTTACATTATTCACTATATATGCTTTATTTATTTACTGTTTATTTATTGTTGCCGTTTGCTTGTACAGCCCTAGAATGACGGGGTTGTGCCCTATTGAAATACCGTAGTTCTGTTATGGGAATCCGACCTGAGGAAGGGGGAGAGACTGTTTGGCAATGATCGAGGAATGTTGTTAATATTATTTATTGCATTAAGATATCCCGCCTATTTTTCTTCAAGGAGCTCAAGGTTCTCTCTGCCCCCCTTCCTTCTCATTTAATCCTCCACAACAACCCTGTGAGGTAGGTTAGGCTGAGAAAAGGAAGCGACCGTGGCCCAAGGGCAAAACCAGCGAACTTCACGATGGCCGAGTGTGGGGGGGATTCGAACCCTGGTCTCCCCTAGGCCAGAGCTGGACACTTTAAACACTGTGGCACCCTGGCTCTCAAGCAGACTAGTTTGTGTCTGTCCCGAACCCTCTCTCTCAGCCTCTTTGGACGAGCTTTGCTTGTAGTATTATGTTGAGGCTTTTCCTAACCACTCTCTCCACAAATAATGTTTAATATGCCTCTTTGTCACAGGGAGTAAACCAGTCTTTTTCAACAGTGGGTGTGTTACAGGATTTGAAAAAGCTGTGAGCGCCAGTCACAAAATGGCTGCCAGAGAGTGGAGCAGAATCAAGCAGTTTGTATGCTCTCACAATGCTGCAGTGGAGCTTTGCAGATATTCATAGCGGCCCTTGCCACCTGCTTTGTATCGTGCTGTTCTTCTCCCAATATTGTATTCCCTACTACTACCACCACCATCTTCCAAGAGATCACTCTCCCCCACAGTGATGGAGTAAATGTCCTGCAGATGAGTGACAAAAGCACAGGTTGGCTCATCACTGTCTTGCAGCAAACATGAAATACAATTCAGGTTTCTAGTGCACCTTTACATTGTTAAACATATTTCTCTCTCTTGATTGTAGAAGTTCAGCAACAAACCTGGAGAAGGAGGAGGCAGCTCTTCTGAGTTCTATGCAGATGAAGTTCATTTATAACAATGATGCAGGATAAGAGCCTTCTCTGTGGTGGTGCCCCATTTGTGGAATGCCCTCCCTTTATGGGTTCATCAGGCACCAACACTTGTTTCAGGATAAAGCAAAGCTATACAGTGTTGGTGCCTGTCTAAGGGTAGGGGACAAAGAATCATAGAGTTGGAAGAGACCACAAGGGCCATCGAGTCCAACCCCCTGCCAAGCAGGAAACACCATCAGAGCATCATTCAGCTTTTTAAGGAGTGTCTGTTTTAACCACTGCGCTTAACTGCCGCTGTGTGCTGGTGCTTATGAATGTGTATATTTTTAGTAAAGACACGTTGAGTTCAGCATGTTATTGATTTTATGAATACGAACAGCCCTATAAATTCAACTTTGCAATAATTTGAGGGACCGTTTTAAAAACACTGCTGTCTGTAAATAAGATGCATTTTCATTAAGATATTTGAAGTACATACAAAGTTATATACCTACCATAGAAAGCCCCACCACTTCAGAGACAAAATGCAACTGGTTTCATAACAGAAACAGATGATAAAATTGTTTACTTTATACAATTTATTTATTTTCTGTTTGTACTACATTTGTCACAGTTACTTAGGACCCAACATATCTTCTGGCTTTACCCACTGATCAAATTGTTCTGATGTTAGAAATCCGAGCTTGATAGCAGTTTCTTTTAGTGTCGACCCTTCTTTATGTGCCGTTTTGGCAATCTTTGCCGCCTTGTCATAACCTAATGTAAAAGTCAGTCAGTCAGTTCCATTTATTATGTTTAATGAACAGCCTTTACACACATAATGTAAAACGAAAAGTCATATGAGATAATTTTTAGATCAATGAGAAACCAAACGACGAAGTCACCTGCTTTCTAAACTTAACAGTAACTGCTACTACAGTGGTACCTCTGGTTACGAACTTAATTTGTTCCGGAGGTCCGTTCTTATCCTGAAACTGTTCTTAACATGAGGCGCCATTAGCGAAAGCGTGCCTCCCGCTGCACGTGCGCCTCCAGCATGCAATTTCCACTTGCATCCCAGGGCAAAGTTTGCCTCTGGGAGCCACTATTTCCGGGTTAGTGCAGCTCATAACCTGACGTGTGCACAACCAGGTACCACTGTACTCTGTGTCCTTGGGAGCATGTGGATGCTGCTCATGAAAATGCAGACAATGAAACCTGTAGCATAATGACATCTACACTGTACACTGAATCCCTAGTGGAAGAGGAGAGAGCCTGAGACAGCGTTGCTATTTCAGTGACAGCCCTTTATCTATCAATACATTCATTTGGGCCTCCACTCCCAAATGGAGATTGTCTCTGAGCAGTCAACATCACACCAATTACAAAGTACTGTATATTAATGTTGCAGCTACTTCTAAGCAAGAATAGCTGTCGTAGCTCAGCAGTGGAGCATCAGCTTCATGCAGGTTCAGGCAGCCACTGCCAGTCAGGGTAGCCCAATACTGAACTAGATGGACTGAAGGTCTGACTAGCTATATGGCAGCTTCTCATGTTCCAGGCCAGCACGCTGTTATGTTCCTCTCCTTTTTTGCAATCAGTATCTGGGTGTTAGATCAGAATTCAAATAGTGAAACAGCTGTGTTAACTAAAGCTCTGGGAAGTGTGGCACAATTAATGCTCTTACCCCTTTTATTACATTTCTATGTGTAGTCTTTACATTTCCCATGGGACCATAACCTACCCTCCTTCCGTTACAGACGTACCAAGGCCAGCATTCCAGGTCTCTGGAAATCTGCTCAAGCAGGTAACTAGATTCACTTTAAGCACTTCACATGAGTCAAGACTGGCATGTGTTAGACACTTACCTATGTGGGGATTAAGGGCAGTCACCAGCATGAGCGACTCACTCATTAGTTTGTTGATCCTCTCTGTGTTGGCTTGTATTCCAATCACGCAATTGTCAGTGAAAGAAACAGAGGCATCTCCTAAGAGTCGTGCAGAGTGTAGCACATTTTTAATCTAAATGAAATATTAAAATACAATTAAAAATCACAGGTGCTGATTTAGAAGACTAGCTGCTATACAACATTTTCACTTTCTGTTCAATAAAAGTCAAGACGGCAATATTTAACCCTTTTAACACAACTGGATATGGAATCTCAATAGCTGATATTTTAAGAAGCCTATAGTAAAGCAACTGGTTTGTGGTTTTTTTGACAAGGACTCCAGAATTGCAGCTTGACAAAATAATAACCAAGTTTAAAATTTTTATGTCCGTAAGTTTTTTGGAACAACCCTAGCTCCCAGATCCACAGAGTTGAAAGGAGTTAGGATTGCATGGAAGTGTCCCTCCCATAGCACAGCCATTACTGCAGAAATCTGCCCCTCCGCCTGTGGAAAGCTCAGTGGGCATGTGCCAGTAGGGATTTCCTCTGGCAGTAGCTGGCATTAGGTTCCAACATGGGAAGTTCTAGGGATGGGGCAGGGGAGGCCTTGAATTCACTGGATTTAAGACTTGTTCAACAGGAAAGACCCCCTTTCCACATCCATAGGCCTGCGGTCATTTCCACTCATCCACACACTAGAACCAAGGAAGATTGGGAGGGGAGGAAGTCAACAATGCAGGCATGGGGATCCCATGGAAGTAGCCAAACATTTCTTTTAAATGGTAAGATAAGGCTTTCAGGCTAGCCACTCCTGTAATGCAATGCTAGGGCCCAAAATTAAAATGAGCTCGTGCATAAGATGCGACTCCAGCAAAACTCAATTATCCACTCATTACAATTACAAAGCCCCTCTAACCATGCACTAAAATATGACATCTACGTCGTGTAATTAGAACTTCAAACGTACAATCATGGGTTTAAAGACGTTCAGCTCAAAGTGGCCACAGCTGCCTCCTACTGTAACAGCAACATGATTCCCCATCACCTGAGCTGCCACCATGGTTATGGCCTCACACTGAGTAGGATTCACTTTTCCTGTAAAAAGCAGGGAGGGAGAGAAAAGAAGAGAAGGAAAAGACCTCAAATTAGCATCTCTCCAACTTTTTAAAAACCATTCATTTCTTCTCTTAAAGGGAACTCTTACAAATGAGCTACTAAAGTATTATTTAAAAGATTTAGTACCAAAAAACCCCCAACTCTGGATGTGATCATACAGAACCTGGGGCACATTTATGTAGATAATAGAACAGTGAAGATTCTACTGAAAGCAAATAGCTCCAAATGGCATGGTTTCAAAGGCAGATCTAATTACAGCAATAATTTGAGAAAAACAATTACCGTAAGATAAAATACTGTGTGCCTGCCAAATGTAAATCAGTCCTCACTTGAATTCACTAAAAATACAAGCAATTTATGCAACATGCAAGTTATGTTAGCAGTCTGCAGCTAGAATAAATTGTTCAAAAATACAAGCCTGATATGGTTCTAAATGTTGGAACATCTGCCAGAATTATTGAAGACACAATAATATCATCTACTACTCATGAATAATCTGTTACCACAGTTTTTCCAAATGATCTTGATATATAATTTTTTGTGTCGGTACAGACTGCTCCACCCCGTTTCCATAAACTGGCAGCAAAAAACAGTACTGCTTACATATATATTTGAAGGCAAAAACTGAAAAATATGTAAAGTTGTACGTTAAAGTGTATGGTCAAAGATGCTAGCTCATTATTTATTAACACAAAATTAACAAAAACCACATTGTACCTGGCATAATACTGCTTCCAGGTTCATTTTCAGGCAAGATTAGCTCCCCCAAACCAGATCGAGGTCCAGAACCCAGGAAACGGATGTCATTAGCTATCTTCATCAGGCTGCAAGCCACGGTATTCATTGCCCCACTCAGTTCAACCAGGGCATCATGAGCAGCAAGGGCTTCAAATTTGTTTGGAGCAGTAACGAAGGGCAAGTCTAATGAAAGAATGATATATATATATATACACAGGAGCATCCCATCCATCGACTCTTGCATTTGATGCACATACTGATAGCTCAAGTACTCTTAAAAAACAAAAACATTTTATATTGACCGTTCACTTTATAATCAGCTCTGGGCAGATATCTATAAACAAAGTTAGGTCCAAGGGCTCCCAGGCTAATAATTAATGGGCAAAAGAAAACAATTTATTAAATACAAAATATCTAATTACCTATATTAAATCTAATGCTGGAAACCGGGGTGTTAAGAAGGTATTGCTACAATTAGACCATTACCCTCCAGTGCTTCAGATCCCAATGCTCCTATGTCCTCCCCCAGCAGTTGAAAATCTTTGGATGGTCCATTTGAAGAATATAGTTCAAGCTTTATCTGTTCATAACCTTGTTGATGCAGGAAATAGGCTGATAAATCCAGTCATCAGCTTCCTTTGGTACAGCAGAACTCCAGTGTACAAATAAGCTTAGGTAGATGAAACATGGAGAGAAGGGGCTACAGAATATAGCACTGCTTTTTCTTTCTAGAAAAGGCAGTTACTCTCCCATTTCTTTTGCTTTGTTGTTTCCTCTGACAATTATATTTCAATTCTCTAAGAGGCTATCAGAAGTTTCCTTCATGTCCTCCCTTACTTGTAAGTGCAGCCACCTTAGCAGCCACCTTCTCAGCGAAACCAATTCTTGTATTCAGTCCTGTGCCAACAGCAGTGCCACCAGCTGCCAGCTCATAGACCCTTGGCATGGCTGATTTGATCCTAGTGATTCCATATTTGACTTGTTGCACGTAAGCACTGAATTCCTTCAAAGGAGAAAAAAAAGAGGGATAGCCAAACAAGATCATATTATTGTCCAGATTATTCTCATTCCATGTGAGAATTTAACATAAATGAGCCACTTATCACTAGTCAAAGATATGCCTTTTGACTGGAAACAAAGTTAATGTTTGCAAGAGATAAATAGAACTTTCATACAATATGTCAAAATGTTTTTTTACCTGCCCAAGGGTAAGGGGAACTGCATCCTGTGTATGAGTACGCCCAATTTTAATAATTTTGGAAAATTCTTTTGATTTGGCATCAAGGGCATCCTGAAGCTTCTGCAGCCCCGGCAACAGCACTTCATGAACTTCTTGTGCAGCAGCAATATGCATTGCTGTTGGAAACGTGTCATTTGAGCTCTGAGAAGATGCAAACACAAGATGCTTGTTATCTGAACATCTCTTTTACTATTTATCTGTTCCTAGACTGCTCAATGTAGGAAAACACTCAAAAGCATGTAAAAAGGACACTTCCTCCTATTTATGATGCCACAACCAGTAACAAAATCAGGAACACAAATCGTAAGAGTCCCAAGCTTGACACAGTATAGGTCAGTTAATGGAAAGAAATTCCATATAGGTAAAAAGGGGATGATTTTATGTACACACAGTATGTGACATTTGGATGTAGCAATCGATTAGTGATTCCCTTATCACTGTTTATATGCAACAACACAAAGAGCAATTCAGCATCCCAAGCAAATAATCATATGATAAGTTTTAATGATCGGATGCCACATTTCATAGTTTATTTTTGTTCAAAAATGTTTTGGTAGCTGGCAGCATGCCAAGAACTGAAGTGATATTTCCCCCCTTTGAAACACCTTGCACCTAAGCAAACAAAACCTATTTGAAAAATAAATATTTTGACCTTTTAGTAGATAATATGTAATGTAAACACACAGCAAGAATATTTGGAAGGAGCACATAGTGACCTGGCTTTTATTAACATGGTCGTTCGGATGCACTGGGTCCTTGCTCCCCAGTTTACCTCCCAGTATCTCAATGGCTCTATTACTGATGACTTCATTAACATTCATGTTCGTCTGTGTTCCAGATCCAGTTTGCCACACCACTAGAGGAAAATGATCGTTCAATTTACCTTCAGATACCTACAAAAACACATTTATCATTGTTACACATTGTTTTACAGTGCCATCAATTTATATGAAACACTACTGAACTACTAAAGGAGATAACATTGAACAGACACTAAATAACCTTTAAAGCTCTAGGTTTAAAATCCATATTGTACACTTAAAACATTCAGTTTCTGTGATGAGGTGTGTTTACACCCCACTATGCTTCTTCCTCAAAGGAGTCATGCAAACCTTATATCATCACATACCTCTGCAAAATATCTTAAATAAAGCAGGATGAGAAGAATGGTCCAATCTAGATAGGTTTTTCTGCTGTGTTAACTGTTTCAGACTAATTTTAGCATAAGGAAAGTACTAGTCAAAAAAATATTTAAACTACCACAAAGAAGGTTTACACGAAACAATGATACTGGAAGGAGCCTGACAAGAGTTTTTTAACTAGTTACAAAGCTGTTTCAAAGAGCCTGCCTCACTCTTTGCCACTTTGCATAGTGTCTGTGACAAGTATCATGCAACTGACATTGGGCAGCACCAAACATTCTGACCAATGCAAAAGGACCATGGGAACATTATTTGCATCTCAGGCTGATGAAGGCATTATCATTTTGAGAAGACAAAATATCTGCAAAGAATTCAGTACATCAATCCTGGTTCAATTATGCAGAGCTTTTATATTAAAATATTACCTCATCTGCTGCCTTCACAATGGCATTGGCAATCTTTGGCTCCAGGCCATAATCCTGATTTACTTCAGCAGCTGCTCGCTTTAGGATACCAAAAGCTCTTATTACTTGGACCTAAGATTTTAAAAAATAAGAATGGTGATATTGTACATGCATATAAAATAGAGAAAGCCATTTTAATTGCATTATTTCCTTCTAAACAAGCCCAATTGATACAGCCAGGCATTCTTATCACTTCCCACATTGTACTCTATTGATAGGACCAAAAATTGTTGCAGTTATATGTGAATCAAAAAAACAATATTAACCAGTAAGAAAACATACTAGGGCAACACATTCCCCCATCAGTCTCAACTTTCAAAATAGAAGATTTTTGACAAAAATCAACCTCTTTCAGTTCTAAGTGATATTATACTGCACGAGACACCAAGCTTGCTTTTAGAGCACTGGCAAGAAACAGGATTGACAGTTCACAGATAATTATGACAGCTGGCCAGGGTATACCACCTGTCAATCATCTTGATACCATAATCATGTCAGGTGCTTCCCCTTGTGCTTACAGTAGCGATGCAAGTGCAGATCTGAGAGAGCTTCCTGAGAGCACCGAGTGCTTACAGTGTGGAGAGCCAGTGTGGTGCAGTGTTTAAGAGCGGTAGACTCGTAATCTGGTGAACCGGGTTCGCATCCCTGCTCCTCCACATGCAGCTGCTGGGTGACCTTGGGCTAGTCACACTTCTCTGAAGTCTCTCAGCCTCACCTCACAGAGTGTTTGTTGTGGGGGAGGAAGGGAAAGGAGATTGTTAGCCGCTTTGAGACTCCTTAGGGTAGTGATAAAGTGGGATATCAAAACCAATCTCTTCTTCTTCTCTTCTTACAGGAAGCCCACAGGGATCAGGCATGCTATGAAGTTCTCAGTGGTGAACTTCATAGTGTAGCCAGTAGCAACCAGCTTCCTGAAAGGGCCAATCGGCTGGTCGGCACTAACAGCAAGTCTCCTTTGCCAAGCAACAATTGGAAGCACTTTAAGGCACCTAATTCTACCTTGACAGCGGCATTTCTACCTGCCCCACTCCTGATGTCACATATAATGTTAGGTGTGGGGCAGGAGAGAATTGTTAGGGGGAAATGGCCTCACCAGCCAAGTTGGGACCCATGCCAGAGACTCTCCCACGCCTGTTGTAGAGAATAAATTCAACTTTGAATTACTCACTGGCATCCGTTCTGTTGCTCCACCAATCTTAAAATTCATTGTGGATCTCACAGTCTGTGCACCGTAATACTTGTCATTTGGAACTTTGAGTTCACCAAAGGTATCATATTCTATTCTAGATGAGTCCTGACTGGCCTGAGGAAGGAAAAAAAATCAAGAGTTAAAATGAAGAAACCGCTCTCCTAGTAACAATAGAAACACTTAAATGTTAGCACAGAATGCCAGAAAGTTACTGTTTTTAAAAGAATCTTATCAGAAAAGGCACCAGGGTCATAATACACACCATGGTTCAAATTCTGTAGATCAATGGGCAGAAGCAGAACCAAAATGAAAACTTCTGCTGCTAGGAGCCAGAGTTCTGTGATCAAACTAGTTCCCTGAGCCCAATAGGGAAGTATTTAGATGTAAAGTCCAAAAGCACCCACCCCAGCTGCATGGGAATCTGATTTTGAAACTGATGGGAGGTTCAGAAGTAGTTGGTGATTATATCATGGGTTCAAAGGGGGTGGGGAGTCAGCAATTATCCTAGGACAGAAGAGCAAGGGCCTCGCATAAACAATTCTATGGATCCTAGCCAGGTAATGGAAGAGTTCACCGTTAGAACATTTTATTTCTGCCAAAAAATATGTCTAGTAATGTGATTCTGCTTGAACAATAATTGAGCAGTAACAGAATCTTATGTACAGGAGACAGCCTTGAAAGTGGGGCACATTTTTCTTTCAGTCTTCAGAAATATATATTTTTTAATTTAATGATATGCAGGCCACATCTGCTCTATATATTTAAAGCAGTATCATATCACTTTAAACCTTCATGGCTTTCCCCCAAATAATTCTGATTCCTGGGAAATGTACTTTGTTAAGTGTGCAGAGAGATAGATAAAATCTTTATTTGCGTCAGCCACAAACCATAGCAAAGGAATCAAATACAGTAAGATACAGATATAGCTGGATGGCTGGCTATACAAAATATGTTCTGAAAATTTACAACTGTACAAATGAAAGAGTTAAAAACTGTCCTTGACCACAAATAAAACATGAACAGAGAGCTGTTAGGAGAGCACTATTCCCTACACAAAGCTACAACTCAATCTCTCTTCCCAGGGATCTGTTACTTAATAAGGTTTGCATCATTTCCGCTGTCTAGACATCCTGCTCCACTCTAGTCATTTTAGTTAGGCAGGATAGGAAAGCTCAAGCAAAGCTTGTGATCAACAAAACATACCCAGAAATCCTGTCCACATTTCTCAGGCTGAACAAGTCGAATGCATGACAAGAAGAGAAATTCCATAGAGATGTCCAAAATTCAGCTGGATCCACCAGTCTTTGGGATGGACCATTCTGATCAGGTTATCTCAAGTAGTACACACTTTCACAGGGACAATTGATCATGCATATAGGTTTGTAGAATTGTTTTACCTCTCAGCCACAGATTTTACTATGAAGTTCTTACAATTTGCTGTTCTCAAACTCAGATAACAATACCAAACAGACATGTTTCTCCATTGTGCCTTTTTGCCAAGATACAGTTCAGAGGTCAAACAAGTTAACCATACTTGTACTTTTGCCTTTTAAATATTAACTGTTGTGACGTAAAAGATTGCATCACAAATTACATGAGATTAGCAAGGTTTATTGGAAAATGCAATTGTTGTAAGTTTAACTTTCAAATACAGTGGTACGCTTCAGGTTACAGACTCCGCTAACCCAGAAATAGTACCTCAGGTTAAGAACTTTGCTTCAGGATGAGAACAGAAACTGTGCTCCGGCAGCACGACAGCAGCAGAAGGCCCCATTAGCTAAAGTGGTGCTTCAGGTTAAGTACAGTTTCAAGTTAAGAACACACCTCCGGAACGAATTAAGCACTTAACCCGAGGTACCATTGTAATTTAATAATAATAATTAGCAGGATTTTGAATCATTATTTTTTGGGAAATGATAATTTTTCTCACTGCTCTACAATAAAAACATCAATCAATATTGGACTAGTATCAGATAGTGAGAAACAGACCTCTTACTGCAAACAAAGGAAGAGTTATCTCTGGCTCATTTATGATATATAGCTTAGCTTTAAAGAAACAGAATAGTAGTGACAGAATACTCATCATATATGTTCAATATATTAAGCCATAGTAAATGTGTCATAGCATATATTTAGTGATATATCTTCAACACTGCTATAAAGTCACACAGTTTTAAGGCACATTTCTAAATGCAATATTGTTATTTCAGAAACCTTGGGAAAATGTCACACTATTACTAAGTCATGGGAATGTGTGTTGGGGTGGAGGAGAGACATCAAGAAAAGGGAAGAGACACAAGCCACAGACTTGTCCAGGGTGATCATGTCAGAGGTTGGAGAATTACTTTCAAAAGACTCCATTTCCTACAACCAAGTTAATGTAAAGGGATTTTTAAAATAGCATCTTAAGTAACCTATTTAGCTTAGAAGATCAGAATGTTATGCTGTAATGAGTTTCTAACTCTCCCTCAGAAAATAATGTTCAATAAACGTCAAGAACTAGTGTGACCTGTCGCTCAGTCGCTGGAACAACTGCTGCATTTGTTACTGTTATTGTTACATGTTATTGCTGGACAGTTATCAGGAAGTGCTCACCTACAACTGTATGCATGCACAGCCTAAACAAATAACCAAAAAGAATTAAATGCTGATGAACTGATGAAAACGGTTATTTCATTTGACAGTTGGCTTGGAGCGACAGTGGCCAAGAAGCCAAATCTAGCCTTATCAGTCCCCAGTGATGTAGTGTAGGAAACCTTGTGGGGGGGGGGGAATCAATTTTCAGAAATACATCACTTCAAAAATTAATTCCTAACACAATGAATGGATACAACCCCATTCAAACTGGGCAGTTTCAAAGCTGTAGTTAACTTTTTTAGATTATTATAAAAAATTGAATGCACTGCTCTGCTTAAAAGCAGAATGTTAAATTTTCTATGCTTCATTTCCTTAACATTCATTCCATGTATGGTATTCTCATCTTAAAATATAAGTATTAAATAAATACAACTGTACTTTACTAAATTGGTTTTTAATAAAATATTTCAGTTTGCATGGCGTACCAGAATATTAATATACAGTAGTGAACTTTTCCTAGTTCTACCACCTAAGGGGCTCACCCTACTTCAAGTTAAGTTGCTCAGAGGCAATTATAACATTACCATTAACACTGAAGGTGACCAGAAGAAACCCCCACAAATGCAGCCCAATCCCACTCACATTCCCTAAGAAACAAAGGTTACAAATACAGTGGTACCTCGGGTTAAGAACTTAATTCGTTCTGGAGGTCTGTTCTTAACCTGAAAATCTTCTTAACACCACTTTTGCTAATGGGGCCTCCCGCTGGCGTGCAATTTCTGTTCTCATCCTGAAGCAAAGTTCTTAACCCGAGGTACTATTTCTAGGTTAGCAGTCTGTAAACTGAAGCGTATGTAACCCAAGGTACCACTGTACCACGTAATGTAGTTTTGTGTTTTTATGTTGTAAACCTTGGGTGTTTAACAGCCGCCACCACCGCAGGCCCTTAAAAACAAGGTACTTTCATATTCATCTTTACTTGGAGGCAAGCCTCCCTCCTCCTAAGGGGCCACTTCCCAATTCAGAGTGCTTGGCATCCTAAGGAGGGGAGCAGCGCTGGATTTGGGAAGCTGCTGGCGGATCCCACGCACAGGGCGGCAAAGGGGCGCAAAACAACAACACTGAACAGATCCGCTTGAGAAAGCAGCTGTACCAAAATGAAGTATTGTGAAAATGAGGGGTATTTGAGGGAGGGGCCGTCAAATGTTGTCCTCGCCCAGGACGCGGCCCCGGGTTTGAATCCCGCCCGGCCTCCCTCACAGGGTTGTTGCGGGGGCTAAATGACGGGGAGCTCCTGGGAGGGAGAAAAGGGACAGGAATGCGAAAGCAGTAGTAATAAAAGCCACGGAAGTTTTGAAATTTATATATGTGGAGAGAGAGAAACCTGAGGCGGGAGGCGGGAAGGGGCCCGATCCTCCGCCGCCTCTTTCCCTCAGCCGCCGCGCAGGAGGCGCCTGTCCCGCCAGAGGCCGGCAAAGGTCACCTCTCGCCGCCCTTGCGCCTCCCTCCCTCCCTCCCTCCCTGGAGCGCGCGCGCAGCGGGGGGGGGGGCGGCGCGGCTCACCATCCTCCGTGGCTGCGCGTGGCGGCTGCAGGTCGGCGGGCCCCTCTGGCGCGCGTGGGCGGCGGCGCCCCTGGCGCAACTCAGGCGCTGGAGGGAGCGGAGCGAGCGGTACATGGCGGAGGCTGCGGAGGGAGGCGCCGCGGGCGGGAGGGGGAGGAGGACGGAGTGGGCGGAGTCGCAGCCAATGGGGTGGGAGAAAGGAGGGTTTCGCCCGCCCCCATGTTACCTGAGCGAGCCAATCAAGGAAACGGAGCAGGGCTTTTTAAAAAAAAAAAAAAGCAAAAGGGGCGGGCTCGACGAGGACAGCCAATGAAACTGCGGCTGCGCGATGCGCCAGCTGCAATGAGCAGGCGCGGGAACCACTGTCGCAGCTTTTCTGCTGCGCTCCCTCCTGGCTGCCAGCCTGCCACAAATTCCCTGGTGGTCTAGTGCTTAGGATTCGGCGCTCTCACCACTGCGCCCCGGGTTCGATTCCCAGTCAGGGAACACTTCTTTGGGATGCGGGTGGTGCTGTGGCCTCTTGGGCTTCCCAATCAGAAGGTGGGCGGCTCGAATGTGTGTGACAGATGTGAGCTCTCCTTCTTCTGCCCAGCTTCTGGCAGCCTAGCTGTTCAAAAGCACACCAGCACAAGTAGATAAATAGATATACTGCTGTGGCAGGAAGGTAAACAGCGTTTCCGTGCGCCCTGGTGCGCCCTCACGGTGTTTCGTTGCGCCAGAAGTGGTTTAGTCCTGCTGGCCACATGACTCAGAAAGCCGTCTTTGGACAAATGCCGTCTCCCTCATCCTGAAACGAGATGAGTGTCATAACCCCTTTGACTGGACTTAACCGTCCAGGGGTCCTTTACCTTTACCAATTCCTGCCACCTGTTGCAAAAACTGTGGTTCTTCCTGAGTATGTTATATTTGAATTTGAAGGAAGGGCCATTATTTAGTTTAGGTTCCCCCCCCCTTCCGTTTATGGTTTTCTTGCTTCCTATACTAGTATTGCTGCCAGTTCTTTTCTGTAATTAAAGGGGGGAAAGTACTAGATGCAGAAGCTGTTTCGCAACTAACTGCTTGTTAAATCACTTTGGGTTCCCCAGGCAAGACAAAGCCGCCCTGAGACCTCCGGAAATTCAATAAATAATAAATTCAATAAACAACAATAATAAAGCAACTAACAAATTAAATAAATAATAACTTGTAGTTGGGTCCAGATCCCAACATGGCAGAAAATAGTAAAAGGGCATTTTAACTTCACTATGCCTAAAGTTAATCAACTACCTTACCCCATGTGCCCACTTTGACTGGCAGAACTGGTACTGCTGCAAGTGCCACATAATACCAGTTCTGTATTTGCAGCACCTGCACTTTGGAACTCCCTGCCTATTGAAATCCAGCACTGTACGCTTCACTGAACACTTTTTGGCACCTGCTGAAAGCATCCATTTTTAGGCAAGTCTACCCAGACGCTTGAGGTGTAGTTTAATGTTTTAGTAATTTTAACTTTTTGTATGTTTTAATGTATTGTTTTTTCTTGATTTATCTTTTTGTAAACTGCTTTGAGGTTGTTGTTTTTTACAATCAAGTGGTGTATAAATTTTATGAAATATAAAATCAAAATAAAGGCTGTTGTATAAGCAACCATGTCCTTATTTTTCAGTTCAATCGCTTGCCTGTTTGAGCAGGAAATCACAATTGAGTTCAACAGGGTTTATGTCCAGGCTACAGATTTGCAGCCCTGTTCTTAAGGGAGTCTGCTGCCTCTTCCCATATTTCATCTTATGGCAGAGACCCACACAGGTTTTATTTCCATTTTATTTTTATTTGCTCCACTGGTTGCTTTTCAGAGCCAAGCTCTCAAACCAATATCCAGAAAGAAATAAAACAGAACCCTAGGCAGGGTATGAAGCACAGAGTAAATACAGACAAGAAGTAGGTGCGTGAGAGATACTGAATTGGATTACCAAAACTATCTTAAGGGCAGTGGTAAAAATAATTTTAAGGACTTACTGAATGCCAGAATGGAAGGGGCCAAGCAAATGTTAACTGGAAGAGTGTTCAGCAACTGGAACCTAACAGATCTTACCAGCTAGCATATCAAGTAGGACCTCAATCTTATATGACATTAATAATAATAATAATAATAATAATAATAATAATAATAATCTTTTATTTGTATCCCGCCCTCTCTGGCCAAGACTGGGCTCAGGGCGGCTTCCATCAAATATATAACACTGGTATAAAATCAAACAAAAATTACCTCCTAAAAATAAGCCAGGATCAAATTAAAATCTAATTAGATGGCTTTCCGCAGGATTAGGGTTGGGAACAGTAAATGTTCATTAGGCTTAACTGTTTATGCTGTTCTTATATGGGCCTGTGAGAATGCTGGGAGGCCTCTTTCATACTAGTTCTTATACAAAAAGAGAAGGGGAGTCAGGCTGAGCCCTGACCAAAGGCCTGGCGGAACAACTCCGTCCTACAGGCCCTGCGGAAAGATGTCAAATCCCACAGGGCCCTGATCTCTTGTGGCAGAGGGTTCCACTAGGCCGGGCCAGCCTAATCTCTCAGGGGCCCGGGATCTCCAAGCTGTTGTTATTTGCAGACCATAAGGTCCTCCGTGGGTGCATACCAGGAGAGGCAGTCCCGTAGGTGCGAGGGTCCTAGGCCGTATAGGGCTTTAAAGGTTAAACTAACCTTAAACCCGATCCTGTACTCCACTGGGAGCCAGTGAAGCTGGTATAACACTGAATGAATGTGATCCCGCGGCGAAGACCCCATATGGAGTCTCGCCGCAGCATTCTGCACCCGCTGGAGTTTCTGGGTCAGCTTCAAGGAGTGAATTACAATAATCAAGCCTGGAGGTGACCGTCGCATGGATCACAGTGGCGAGATCAGGGTGAGAGAGGTAAGGGACCAACTGCTTAGCACGACAGAGATGGAAAAATGCCGCCTTTGTTGTAGCTGCAACCTGCAACTCCATAGAAAGGGAGGCATCGATGATTACACCCAAACTCTTGACAGAAGGCACTGGCGCTAATTGCGCACCCGCAAGACATGGGAGTCATAAAGGAGCAAACAGTCCTTAGGTAACCCAGTCCCAAACTGTTTAGGGCAGGCTTCCTCAATCTTAGCCCTCCAGATGTTTTGAGACTACAATTCCCATCATCCCTGACCATCATCCTAGCTAGGGTTCATGGGAGTTGTAGGCCAGAAACATCTGGAGGACCGAGCTTGAGGAAGCCTGGTTTAGGGCCTTACAGATTAATACTAATGCATTGAGTTGGGCCTAGAAATACAATGCAACAACAGAAATGTGTTCAAACCTTCTGGCCCTCATTAGCATCCCAACAGTTGTATTTTTCACCAGTTAGTTTCTGGGCTGTTTTCAGAGGCTGCCTCACATAAAGGGCATTGCAGCAGTCCAATCTGAAGGAAAGGAGAGCATGAGCGACCAGGGCCAGGTCTTACCACTCCAGATGGGGCCTGAGCTGCACTACTGGCTATTGCCCTACCTGTGCCTCTCCAGGCAGCAGTGAGTTCAAGAGCAGTTCCAAGATGTATACCTGGTCCTTCAGGTGTTTCACAAGTGTCCCAGATTCCCTGGGAGTTGTAGGCGGAAAAGAAAGGTAAAGGTGTGTGCTATGAGCATATTCATGGCAACACATCCCAAATATTCAGTGACTTCCCCCAGCTGTTTCATGTAGATGTTGAGGAGTATTGGGGATAACATGGACGCCACAAGGCAGAGGTGGCACAGAACTCCCAGCTTTATCGCTTAAACATAAAGCCAGCTATTTTCTCTTTCTCCACCAAACCAACATTGTGTAACATCCAGCCTGATGGAAAAGTTCTGGGGAACTCTCACTACAGTGTGAAATTTTGGTGGATCTTCATAAAAGGTATTGTCTTACTCTGAATTTTAATTAAGCAGTATAAATAGCTTAAATAAAAGATAGGTGCAAATGCTCCATTTATAAACATAGCATTTTCTCTCTCCAGAGCAAGCCTCTCAGAAAGTGTGTTTGGGAGGGTACCAAACCAATCAGTCAAACATGTTCTTCTCTGCCCTTGTGGTGTGGAACCTCTCTTTGGCCAGTAGTCCATCATGGTACAATATTGCAAGCCTTTTCTGAAGACATAATCTGTGTAGCCAGCCATTCACTTCTAGTATTCATTCTCTTTTTAGCCCAAAACCTTCAGCAGGAAGGAGTAACAAACCACCAACGGTGTGCTACCAAGAGCCTCATATTCACTTGCAGTGTGTTCAAAGCCGAGTGTGGCAGTACCATTTTTCCTTATGTGAATCAGCAGAAAGGGCTAACAGTCAGTGGGCTTGATAAGCTTTCCAGTACATCCTAGATGTATATACCAGAGAGACAGCAAACCTCACTTATAAGTTGTATGCAGTTTTAACAACAACAGTTGTTGTTGTTGTTGTTGTTGTTGTTGTTGTTGTTGTTGTTGTTATACCCCACCCATCTGGCTGGGTTTCCCCAGCCACTCTGGGTGGCTTCTAGCAAAATATAAAAGTATAATAAAACATCAAATATTAGAAACTTCACGATACAGGGCTGTATTGGGAATTTATACAATTAAGCCTCTTTTTTCATAATTTCCCCATGAATTTTTGTATTTTAAGCTTTTATTTGTGAACTAAGACGCGGGTGGCGCTGTGGGTTAAACCACAGAGCCTAGGACTTGCTGATCAGAAGGTCGGCGGTTCGAATCCCCGCAATGGGGTGAGCTCCCGTTGCTTGATCCCTGCTCCTGCCAACCTAGCAGTTCGAAAGCACATCAAAGTGCAAGTAGATAAATAGGTACCACTCCGGCGGGAAGGTAAACAGCGCTGCTCTGGTTCGCCAGAAGCAGCTTAGTCCTGCTGGCCACATGACCCGGAAGCTGCACGCCGGCTCCCTCGGCCAATAAAGCGAGATGAGCACCGCAACCCAGAGTTGGCCACGACTGGACCTAGTGGTCAGGAGGGGTCCCTTTACCTTTACCTAGGACATGTATAGCCAGAGACGTGTGTATAAAATATTTATGTTCTACTATTTCTGGGGTGTTCTTGGATTCTGCATAAAAGGGGATTCCATCCCTTTTTAAACATCTTCAGAGAGGCAGGGGTGAATAAAAAGCATGTTTGCACTAAAGATATCTGGAATTCTTACTCATGGAGAAAAGCCTTCTGGAAAGAAATTACTCCGCATATGCTAAAATTCTAATTACAAAAAATTAATCTGTGAAATCCAAGAACACACACATGTTGAACAACATTAATGGAGAAATTGATAGAACTGTTTCAGTGCTGGCACACGCTGTACTTATATTCTTGTCCTATTTAATGTGCTGGATTTTTACAAATACAAAGTAAATACATAATATGCACACTTCTCAATGAAATCAGAAAGCAGTTAGGAAAACTTTGTTTCAGATTTTTCAGACGATACTGATACGACAGCACTGAAGCATCGGAAAGAATATCCATCTATACATTGTGACCCTTTTCAGAGACACACTCCAAACAAAGAATGCCTTACAAAGAATGCCAGATATACAACTTTCAATTCTCAACAGTGTATTATTCACCTAGGTAAAGATATTTAAGGGAGAGAGAGCTGGATTCTTTAAAATTTTAGTGTCTGCCAACAGACAGAAAAGTCCTACCAAGCTGTTATGGATCTGCTATGATATTTGGTTTAGGCTTGACACTGTTCACAAGTTATAGTTGCAGCAACTGTGATTTAAATAAGTAATGTGAACTGTAAAATGTAGAGAATTATAAAGTTCTAAGACCACAATCCAATAGTTAAGTCCACTTAAACCCTTTCATTTCAATGGGTGTAAGTACTTCCAACTATTGGATAAATGCTGCTGTTTCTCTTAACCACCATACTGCATTTACTCTTTTAATGTATCGCTCTAAGAAAGTCAATACAAAATTGCACAGTCAAAATAAAGGTAATACATACGAATTGCGTGCAGAGCTCCAGCTACTTAGAGAAACCTACAAACTCAAGCAGAGACAATATGAGATTACTTTGCTGCATGAGCTCTGTATTGCCATGATATATTAACGCATGAAGCAATGGGCCAGTATACTAAGCTGCCTGGATTCTGCTGCAAATGAAGATCCTCTCAAACTTAATGCATTACAGTTGTCTAGTAGTAAGCTGCATGATGTTCACTTCTGTACCAGGAAACTTACAAGGAACTCAGTGATAGTCACTAGTAGGAACGAATAGCTGGTGGCACTGTTGCACAGTCTTCTTCATTGAGGGTTTTGTCGATTACAGGCCTATAATCCAGAGTAACCTGAAAAAAACCAGTTGTTTGTCTTTGTTAGAAAGCTGACTGCACAGCAAGAGTCAAGCTACAACTTTATTATTTTGCACTTAAAATTAATCAACTTCATTACAATCCAAAAGAGAAATCAAAATTTCTTTAAATTGAGTTCTTTTAGTTGGAAAACAAGTCCCACACTACCAAAAGCAGTATGCTGGATATACAGGATTCCTAATTTCAAAGGCCAAGGTGGGGGGGGGGAATCACATACCTTCCCAGTCTTGACATCTACATAAGAGAGAGTATGCTTTCTCCAGTGCTGATCAAATGATTTCTTCTGCTGCCCTTGGATTGGTTTGGAATAGTCATATTCGTCAATCCTTACCTAAGCAACACAATGTAAGAGTGAGATAATGGCAACGACCCAAAGCTCTGCTCAGAAGATGACACCAGCCATGTGCCAAACAGCCTTAAATATTAAAGAACATTCTAGTTTCTTTAGGAATTTAGAAGAGCTAGAAATGAATATGGAAGCACTACCTATTCTTCTACAAATGTGCAACTCCTTAGGTTCTAGCTTTCATTACCTCCTCAGTGAAACCAGCTTTTTTGTTGTGTCTGTGGACACGCATTGCCTTATCTTTTATTATATAGAGATCCTGGATTAAATATTTTAGCTGCATTATAAACAACTGAAATGTGGAAGTGCTGTCCTGAAAGCCCAATAATTCTGATTTTTAAAAGGTGCTGATAGTACCCACAACACTCATTTAGAAGAGATGTCAAAAAGGGCACTGATAGAGACATCTCCGTGAGATTGTGGAGCAGCTGAGGCTGTGCTTCTTTCTTACAAAATTAATTACTGAGGTACCTCCAGTTCAACATGTTGGTACGTGCAATTCTGCTTTAAAAATAAATTGGCTCATTGGCAACGAAATGGAAGCTGGGGTGTGACTGGGCAGCGATGCGCAAATTTTGCTTTAAAGCTCAAGTGTTTCTGAACCTGGCCCACCCAACTCCCTTAATCTTCCCCAGCCCCAAGCACTAATAATGTATCACACTGATTAATATGTACATATGCAGTCACATGTAACCTGCTGCTACAAATGTAAGCATTTGTAGACTGGAATACTTCTCCAATACCGACATTAGATGTGGAATAAAACAGGAAAATTCTGATGCTTCTCCTAAAACCACACAGGAAGATTTGTCCTTGCAACAAAGCAGCAGTCCTTTCAAGGTTTTTTTCTTTCCAAATCAGGTTGGGAGTACCAGGGGTAGCAGCAACACATATATACCCAATATGTTTCAATGAGAACTGTTCAACACACTCTGGCTGCTCAGAAGAGGAAAGCTCCATTTGTCTCAGGATTCTGCACCTTCCTGGAACTGTTGCCACTATTTCCATATGCCGTTCCTCTTTCCCCCTCCCCAGCCAACATGATCAATGTTCAGGGATGGTGAGAGCAGGGGTGGGCCACAGATGATACATAAAGAAGTTGTGCATACCTTAAAATCCTCCCTAGCATGAGCACCACGTGACTCTTTCCGAGCCTCTGCACCATAAATAGTTTGTAAAGCACAGAGCATTAGATTTTGTAGTTCCAAAGTCTCCACCAAGTCAGTATTCCATACAATACCTAAAGGTACAATGAAATGTTAGGGGCATTTCAGCAGTCCCAATATACAAATCAGACAAAAGAACAACTCTGCTTGTAGACCAAGGCTGCAATTCTATGCACTCTATCCTGAAGTGAACACTGGCTTCTGAGAAAACATGTCTCTGTGGGTTTCTCATATAAAACTGTTTGAGTCATGGCCTGCAAAGCTGTCTTGCATGCAGCTTAGAAACTATAACAATTGTGTCAGTGTCATGAGCCTCAAGTCTGTGCTATATTCCTAGTTAAAAATGTGAAAAAATATCACAGGAAAAAGGGCAGCACTCTCCCCTCTGCTCTCTTCCCCACTAATATCGGGGGGAAATGATAGAAATACAAAAAAGTCATTAATTCAACTGTACCACCGGTGCTTAAATATATGTGATGAAGGCACCAGGCAAGCCTTCCTGGAGAGAGCATTCCACAGACAGGGAGGCACTGAGGAAAAGGCCCATTCTTGCGTTGCCACCCTCCGGACCTCTAATGGTAGAGGCACACAAAGGGCCTCAGATGATAACCGCAGGGTCTGAATTAGTTCATACGGGGAGATGTGGTCCTATCATCTGTGATCTGATGGAGTAACATAATTTGTCTGACTGATTTACCACCTTACAAAATAGCTCTTCCAACAAGGCAGAATGTATTGCATTTGAGTGCACAGATAAGCACAGAAACAATTTTTAAGCTAATTATTAGACCTTATATTTACAGAGATGACCTCTAAGTATGTAGACAAAGCCTGGTGAAATTCCACTTTAGCTAATGGGGCCTCCTGCTGCCGCCGCGCCGCCGCAGCACAATTTCTGTTCTCATCCTCAAGCAAAGTTCTTAACCTGAAGCACTATTTCTGGCTTAGCGGAGTCTGTAACCTGAAGCGTATGTAACCTGAGGTACCACTGTACTTGTTTTTAAGTCAAACTGACGTTACATTTCTTAACATCAAAGTTCTCTGAACTGCATATGCTGATAGATGCCACAATCATTTACTTGCACACCTCTAAGAAAACGCCACGCTTACAATGCTACATTCAGACAGTCTACCTCTATCAAATGTCTTCAAATCATCCATGCTGTTATAGAGACTGCTAATTTGCTCACAACCCTCCTGTAGGACAGGACCTGTACGGAACACTGCAGCATGGGTTTGCATTGTCTATAAATAGAAATTGAGAAACAATACATTGATTGGAAATTCGAAGAAAAAATTAACCTCCTACAGCTGCCAGAATGTTCAGTCGTCAAAATCTGTTTGAATACACCCATATCACTTTCTACAAACCCTCAAGTCCATACTCATGTGCAGTAACACCATTGTCTTCGGTTAAATCACCCTGGTGCCTAAGCTGCCCTGGCTATTTCTTAATGGCTCCATCACTTCCAAGAGAATTTACTCTGGGCTGCAATATGTAACCATTAACACATATCAACACAGCCAGCCTGCTATCTTTCATAATCTGTATAAATCTGAAATACTCTGAATGCAACTCTACCTATGTATAAAAAGGAAGGAGTAGAGTGCTGAGGTTCTGGACATGAAAGCAAATTTAACTTGAGAAGTGCAACAGCCCTTAGGGATGGAGTGTAGAAGCAGGTTCCATTTGCAGAGGAACATCCTGTTTGTATTCTGAGCACAGTTTACTACAACCATCTGAAGCAGCTTAAGCTGAAAGTTAAGGAAGGTCACCTAGGAAGCTTTGCACCTGAACAGGAGTTTCAACCTAGGTTTCATGGGTGTTTGCCAACTTTTAGATCATGAATGGATAATCAGCCCCTCCATCTCGAAAATACCAGAGCACAAAATTTTAAAAAGAAGAAAATCATTTTAGAAAGGCCAGAAATCCAGTTTTCAAGTCAAAACATTATATATCTGTTTTAGCAATTCACATTACATGTTATTAGCCTAGCCTCCAAGCAAACCTTTTATATACCTTTTGCATATTAAGTCTCAGATCCGAAGTTCTTAAGCTTCCATTGGCAAAGCGCAGTTTGTCAAGATTTGCTACAGATTCTTCACCTGCATTTGGTTTAATTGACGGAACTGGTTCTCCTAATTAAGAGTAGACACAAGCATGATTCAGCTAAAGTTAAGTCTACAAAAATTAGATAGCAGTCAGGGTGAGGGGGGAAGGCAAGGAACAAGAGGAATATATTGCCAATCAGCAATTCCATTATTTCCTAGTAAAATTCTCAGTGCCTGCCCAGCCCCTTCTGATAAATTTGGTAGGAAGGGAAATATTTTTTCATAGGCATTAATAGAGTTTCTTGACCTTGCTGGTCAAGTGAAAAGCTGTTACCAGTCCCACTTCTCCATGCAAGCCCCAATTCCTCAGCCTTTCCCCTGGGAAGGAAAATGTGGAAAGAGTGGTCAGCTGCTCCCTGCTGTTTGAAGGTGCCCCTGCTTGAAAGAGCAGCACCAACCTCTCCTGACTAAAGGGCTGGTTGAGAGCATGCTGGTTTGGGCTCTAATGCTCAAAGGTACCCAGCCCTTTCAAAGCCTTTCGAGGGAAATGAGAAACAAGCAAGGAGACCTACCAGGTTTGCAGGATTCCGCAATGCTAAGAGCACACGCACGGCCAAAGACCACCAAATCTAAGAGTGAGTTTGCTCCAAGACGATTAGCGCCATGTACAGAGGCAGAGGCTGCTTCCCCACAAGCATACAAGCCAGGTACTATTTGATCTCTGCCATTTACATGAGTAATCACCTGCCATTAAAAATAAGTGTGAAATCAATATAAGCATGACAGTGACTCTATTCACGCACTGCTCACATGAAGAGGGCAAGTGTGGTGACAGAGGTAATGGGACCACGCATTTACCCCACTCCAAAAGTCACCCAGCTCCTCCTGTTCCTGGCACTGTTATGTTCAGCATAACTTCATGTGTGGAGAAGACTTCTCACTGCAGAAAGATCCCTGCATGATTTAGAACCCTGATTATAGTGGGTTCTAAAACCATGCAGAGATCCTCCATGGACAGAGAAGTCTCCCCAATGCAGAAGTTAGTGAGAGCACAGCAAAGGTAGGAGCAAAAGGAGCTACACAGTTTTGAGGGTGGGATACACACAGTCTTTGTCACCATTTTTACTACTGACTTTCTTGTAGTCATTTTTAAAAAGCTGTTGGCTAACACAAGGAGTGAAGGTGGTGATGGCAGAAGGCAGAGAGAGAAGGGAGAACCAAAGACCACAGGCCAAATTAGGTCTGCCAGGCCTTGGAGGTTGGCATTCAGGCCATTTTGGGCTAACCAAACCTACGTTAACAAGGGAAAATGTCACAAAACATCATGCTCAGGAAAGGTGGACCTGGTTAGCCCTGAATACCTGCAAATTCTTCATTTGCATTCCTGGTGTGGAGATGTGAAGGGAAGAGCCAGGACTACAAAGGAAGAATCTCCCTTTGCAGCTACAGCTTGAACTTTTAATCACCTAATGTCAGGTGACTAACAGGAAGGCAGACCCGTCCACCTGTCAAAGTGGGCTGTGAAGTTGCTATTTCTTCACAATTATATCAATCAGTATGCAGAAAACACCCACAATATTCAGTTTAGAATACTTCCTATTTGAATATTACTTCTGGAAAATTACCTGTCCTTTGTAGTTTGTAGGAATACCTCCCATATTGTAATGAACAGTGGGCAGAACAGGAATGGGTTCTTTGGTAACATCCACACCAGCAAATATCATAGCAGTTTCTGAAATCCCAGGAAGACGAGTTGCTAACTGCTGAGGTGGCAAATGATGCAGTTGCAAGTACACGTGGTCTTTGTCAGGCCCACATCCTCTGATGTTAAAAGAAAAAGTGTTATAAACACATTCATTTTCACAGTCCTATCTAGAGGCAAACTTTTAAAGTCATTCATCATCTTATATAGGAAGCAAAACAAGAACAGCTCTCTTGGTGACAGGAACTAGCCATCTTTTTCAACCCACATTTCACTTTCTATTTACTAACAGATCGTAAAGTTTAAATAAATAAAACACATTTCTTACAATTAGGTCTCATATGAGGTAGCAAGTCTGAGGCTTGTCCATGTGCCCTACACCCCCTTCTTCCAGTCTGTAGGTCATAAACATCCCTACATTTGTACGCACTCACCTGTCTCCTAAATCCTGGGAAGAACTGTATTGCCAGGAGGACATGTTCAATATGGTCTGAGTGAAATACTATTATTCTTTAAGATAGCTTTCCTTAATCCTGGGTTCCCAGAAGCTGTTGGACTACAACCATCCACCATCCCCCGTCAGCACTGCAAATGGTCCAAGATAATGGGGGTTGTGGTTCAACAACATTTGGGGAACCAAGTCTTTAAGATACTGGATTGGTCAATGTTTACAAACTGAGCAATACCACATCTTCTATAATCATATTTGAAAGGTAGCAGTTACAGAAAACCAGACTTACCTTCCTTCTCGGATCTCAATAGTCATTGAACGACACACAACATCTCTTGAAGCTAGATCTTTGGCAACTGGTGCATATCTCTCCATAAACCTTTCACCTTCACTGTTAATCAGAATGCCTCCTTCACCACGGGAGCCTTCTGTAATAAGGCAGCCAGCTCCATAAATACCTGCAAAACAAGCAGTCACTACATTATAAACTTGTTAGGGACTATATTTTACAGATGTTCCTCAATGTCATAGTACTAGAATGAGACACCAACATTTTAATATCCAATATAGTGTATGTACCAGCTTCAAATCTTGGCTTTGATAATCAATCAAGCTTGTTCTTTGAATGGCTTTTGAAAAGCCAGCATTCTCTCACATCTGCCAATATAGGGATGGCAAACTACCAACTCTACAGGGCTCTTGAATACTGAAGATGTATGGGAAGTGCTTTGAACACGTAAAGCAGGATATAAACACTTCTGCTAGCAGAATATTAGTTCCAATTCTTCCTTCAGTGAAATCACTCAAACTTGTTCTCTCTCTTTCCACAAAACACTATTTTACACTTAACTGGAGACTGGTGGTATTTTGTTGCATCCCAAATAAATACTAAAATATGGCAGAGAGTATTTCACTCTCCTAAGACATTCTGCTGCTGATTCTAAGGCTGCCATTCTTCAGTGGAATTCTCTAGCATGAGGCTGCCAAGATAGCATATCAGAAACTAGTAGAGTATTATAAAAATCAGACTACATTATGATTTAGGTTAGCTTTCACTTTATGCAAAATAATGCCATTTTTCTTGTTATGACATTTGTTTGTTATTTTATTTACCATGAATGGTTGCTTTTGTGAATATGCTGGGCCAGCTTCCACTTTTGTAGGGCTCTGAACAGAAAATGACAGCTGTACTGCCTTGGCTTTTAAAAGGTTTTTAATCCCAAAGTACACAAGCTCTCCATATTTACAACTGCCAACATAAGATGCCACCTTACGCACCTGACAAAACAAGTACTAGTTCACAAAAGTGTAATCTTTAGGGTAGTACAGAACTCTGCTACAACAGATTAACTTGTCTATCCCTTTGAAAGTTGACAGAATCTTTGGTGTAGAAAGAGTAGGAACCGGCAGAGGCAGAGTTTCAATCTTGAGATATAGCAAGTGGCTTAAACTACTGTATATTATACAGTCACAAGGCTGCAGCTGGTTCAGAATATGGCAGCTCAGCTGTTGAGCAGAGCAGCCAGAGGGCCAGCAACAATTCTGACAGCACTGCACCAGCTGCCAGTAATACAAGGTGTTGACATTGGTATACAAAGCTCTAAGTATACAAAGACTTTCTCTGTATGTCCCAACACACAGTTTATGATCAGAGAGAGAAGCTCTTCTTGAAGTATCACTGCTGTGGGTGCTAGGAGGTTGCAAAGGAAAGAGAGAGGCATTCTGTCTCTGGAATTTCTTCCCAAGTCAAGTCTGGCAGTTCCCTGATTATTTTCAAAAGGAATTTGAAGACATTTTTATTTGTACTGTATACGCATTTGGAAGCGGATAATTACATACAGGTAGTGCTGTTTTTATAACTCACATTTTAATTACTACATATCACATATGGTTTCATTGGATTTTATGATAGCACCCTCTGGGCACTCTTCAGAAAAGAAGATCAGGATACATTAATACAAGACACTTAATAAATACATTAAAGTATTTCCAAACCTGCTTCACATTTTTACATTTACATTGGGGTTACGTTCCGAGACACTGCACGGCTTAGTGAAATCACATACATGTGAAACACGACTGAAAAAGACTGCAAACACTCTGTTCTGCCATTGCCCCACCCCGTTTTGTAACGTTTTCGTGATTTTTTGAGCCACTTCTGGGTTCAGCGTGATGCACGCATGCATGGTCGCACACATATCAGATGCGCCTAAAACAGTCACTGCCTGTATAGACATTTTTCTTAAATGTTTCCAAGACAGTCATTATCTATAGCTAGCCTCTTCAGACAACCATTTCTCATCTACTTTCTAGGAGGGATCTAATGTTGTTGTTTCTCATGAATATGTCCCTAGCATGAACAAGCTAAAGATGTATTATACTTTTTCATGGTTGTAACACAGGCAGAAAGCTATCAATTGCTTTAAGATTCAAAAGACAGCTCCAATAATCAGATATACAAGCTTGTGTAAATCCTTTTAATCTGATGGAACTGTCATCCAAACTACGTACCGCAAGAGAGAACTACTCATCTGCCATGAGAAAGAAGTTCAGCAGCTGTAGGCTGCTCCAATCCCAAATGCCCACCCTGGATTTAAAGGTTTAATGAGGTATAATTTAAAGGTTAAAGAGTTTCACAGTAACCTTAGTTGTCTGTAATGTTATAGAACATCATTTTACCTGTGGGATGAAACTGCACAAACTCCAAATCCTGACAAGGCAGGCCAGCCCGTGTTACCATTGCTGTGCCATCTCCAGTACAGGTGTGAGCAGATGTACAGCTGAAGTAGGTGCGCCCATATCCTCTAGGAAAAGAGCTCATTATTAGTATCTGGCCAGTACATTTCACACACACAAAGAAAACCCAACGATTTCAGCTGCATACACTTACCATGGAAAGCCATGGCTAATGATTGACCATAACGTGCAGATTTCTCCTGATTCAGTTGCTCAACTATGCGAGCAGGAATAATAAACCTCTGTTATAAAAATCAGGTATTTCTGCTTTCTCTTTAGCTAATTTGAATTGGTGGGTTAATTTTTCTCCCATCGCTATTTGCCACAGTTCTCTGTACCAACAGTCCAATGTCAAATACTCTGCAGTTTTTCAATTTTTGGTTATCACCCTGCAAGCAGCCATCAATATGAATACTATTTGTTCCACGGGTCTCACTTTCTCATTTTGTTCTGCCCAAATTGTTAAAAGAGTTAATGTTAGTGTGTGATTGTTTTTGATGTGTGATATTTGCCATTTCTATAAAAATATCATAGTACATGACTATGATACAAAAAATGGCCACCACACACACCCACACCCACACCCACACACACCCCTTGTCAATTACAATTTCTCCAACATTTTGTATTATTTGCATTTGCAGACATATTAGTGTAATATACCACTGATGTAATAATTTTAAAGAATTCTCCCCATGGGTTGATGATATTGCTTTCTTTGATAAAATCATCCATATTTTCTCCCATACATTTTGTTCTTTTGCTATTCCAGTATCACTCACCCATATTATTTTCAAACCATCCAATATAATTTTATCTCTATCAAGATGTAAATAAATGTTAGAGATTAATCCTTTTGTATTGGTCCTATGTTCCAAATTTTGTCTTGTTTAGTTTGTTTTCCCCCTTTTGTCCTAATCTTTCAACCATGATTGGCTTCGGATCGTAATTCGTTGGTGTAAAACAAAACATAGTCCCTGGTTTGGGCACAAGAACTGTGGTTTGTTGCTCCCACATGCTAACTGGGAACAGCAATCCCAGTTAGGAACAGCGCATTCACTGTAAACTAGACAGAGGGAACCTCTGGATTCCTGTAAAGCAGGCATGGCCAGACTTGGCCCTCCAGATGTTTTGGGAATACAATTCCCATCATCCCTGACCACTGATCCTGTTAGCTAGGGATAATGGGAGTTGTAGTCCCAAAACATCTGGAGGGCCAAGTTTGGCCATGCCAGCTGTAAAGCAATTCACTCTTCAGCCACATCCACCTACACCAGATGCCACGGCCAGCACTAGACACGGGGGATGCAAAGACACAGCTGCAAAGCATCAAAGGATAAAGACTACATTCCCAACTGTTTCTCTGCAAGAGCAGCTTGCAGTTCCCACCTTTTAAATATGCACCAGCTGGCCTTGGGAAACTACAGCACTCTTCCTTCCCATTCCCTTCTAACTCAATGTGAGTCATTAGAATAAAAATACAATTAAGCAGAGGTAATTTCTTTTTTTATTATGTTTAGGAAAATTATATATTGTATGAAATTGCTACTTTAAAGTGTAAAATGATCTTAGAGTAAAAGTCTGACTTCATAATCTTTTGTAAGCAGTGCCCATCTCTGCTTTCCCTTTCATCTTTGCAAACAAAGTGTTGGGAGCATATGTTTGTTGACATGAAGTCTGATTTCCCCCTCATATTCAATAGGAAAAGGGAAAGAATTGTTTAATGGGCACGATGCAAGGCTCACAGTATTAAGGGCAGGAAAAATAACCCAAAGGGAGGAGGATTTTGAGGCTTCCCAGTGAGTGTTGGTGGAAGCACACTCTCTCTGTGGGGGGGGGGGGAGAAAAGGATAACAGCAATAGACTCCTCCCTGATCTAGCCCGAGGCCAGAATGACAGACAATTCCAGGAAGTACATTCACATATCATCAGTATGAACAGCTCATTAATATTACCCAGTGGCGATAATCGTATTTTTTGCTCTTAAACGATGTATGGTTCCATCTTCTATACAAAGTGCAATAACACCACAACATTCTCCATTTTCCATAAGGAGGTCAAGGGCAAAATATTCCACAAAGTAACTCGTGTCATATCGAAGAGACTAAAGGGGGAGAGGGGAAGAAACATGTATTATTATTATTATTATTATTATTATTATTATTATTATTATCATTATTCAACAACATTAGGTTTTTGGGGAGACTGTAACCCTGGAAGCAAGTCTTTACTAATTTTAATTTGTCAGAACCAACCTATTTTAGGCAGTTCATAAATATCACTCCAGTATGATAATTCCATTAGTCAGGGATGATGGGTGTTACAGTTCAACAATACATGGAGAGGAAAACATGGGCTACTCCTTTCCTTGTGGATTACCTGTGCCAGGAAATGGACAGGGAGAATGCATCTTATGCTTGCTTTTTTGATGTTTTAAATTTTGTAGTATACTACCTTCTGAGTGCTCCCTAACAGCATAAAAGGCAGCTTGTAAAATGTTTTTTAAAACAACACCATTTGTCAATGAAACATAGAAAAACATATATCGTGTAGCGCGTTTCATGAGTGCTGCTGTATCTAGAAATGCACGCTGTGTTGTTAATATATGAGGGTGCTGGAGGTGAAATAGTTAAACAAGTTACCCAATCAGAACCCAGGGGGTGGAGTCAGAGGGACTATAAAACCAGCTCTGGGAGGGGCGGAAGGAGTTCGTTGGGAGTTGGGTTGTTGGTTGGAGTGGGAGTGAATTGGGATAGAGTCTGTGGGTAGGTTGAGTTAGTGTAGCAAAATAAGCTGAGTCAGGAACAATTAGGAACTAGGGTAGGGAGACAAGGAAATATCTGAGAGGTGGTTTAGTGAGTGAGAGCAGGTAGTGGAAGTTATAGGTCTGGATAGGCACCCCATGATTGTAATTGACTGATACCGTTTATAAATCCACACGCTTGTTAAACTGCAATAAATAAACAGTAGTTTATGTTCCAATTTAACCGTGGCTGGACTCAGTATTGTACCAGGTAGGGCCTGGGTGGTGGCAGCGAGAAATAAAATGGTGGCACAGGGATCAATAGACGGTAAAACAATCAGGGACCCTGTGTGATCGCCACACATGCCTCCTGTTTGTTTTTTCTGACTGTGCAGAAGACACATGGATGTGCTGGCTAAGAGTTTTTCTGAGTCAGTTACTGATAGGAGTGCAACTATCAATTTCAAAAGTGATCCTACTAATTAAATTCAGTGATCTTGATTCTCTGCCCCACCAGCATCTTCTTACCCGACCATAGAGTGTGTGCAGCAGAGAGTGGCCTGTCCTATCAGCCACACAACAGCATCGATGAGCTTGTCCCCCTTTCCCAAACTTTAGGCTCTGTCCTCCAAAGGCACGCTGATAGATCTTCCCATCTTCTGTCCTGCTAAACGGCATGCCATAATTCTCCAGCTAAGGAATCCAAGTGGAACTTATTAGCCATTTAACCATCAGCATGAAAACAAGGAAAGTCTGCTTTACACATATTTCAATTTTAGAAAGAATCTGCCATGTGAAAACAAAAAAGTTAACTTAGGCTAAATAAACTTTTGATTTGCACACACTGCGTCCTAGTTTCAGGAATCTGGCTTATGAACATTTGGGAACTTTCTAAAAAATAGGGGGAAATTAACTAGATCAAAGCAGGAGACCTCCACCAGTTAATGCGAGTTGTGTTCATTCTCCAAGCCACTGTAAGAAACTCTTCCCTCTGGAACAACTTTGTTGTGGCTCAGTATATCCTCAGGGATATACAGGCAGTGTCGGCATATTCACAGCTGTAATGCACCCTATAACAATCTGCTGGAGCACCACATTCTATAGAATGAAGTAATACTGTACCATCTGACCTTACTATGAAGCAATAGAGTTCTGGAGCAGTTTACAGAATCAGAACACGCAAATATAATGAAACACTGCAATCTTCACTATGAGAAAACTGGTTTCTCCTACAAAGAAAAAATGGTTTTGAACATACCTCAAGAGGAGGTTTGTTCATTTTTCACAACTGCTATAGTAGTCAGTCATGAAAGAGTATTTCAGAAAGACTCATTTTATACGGTGCTACTTATACCTCAATAACTGAAGCAGGAGCCTGTTCTGTCATATAATGAATTGCATCCTGGTCTCCCAGCCAATCAGAGCCTTTGACAGTATCATAGAAATGCCATCTCCAGTTATCCTCTTCCATATTCCCCAAAGCAGCATTGATTCCTCCCTGGAAATTAAAAGCAAACATTTACTTAAATGCAATACTTAGCAATCAGTTCCTTTATAGTTTAATCTAGGTATGGCTTTCGTTTTATCCATGGCTTCTTCCAGCATCTCAATCAGTGCTTTATCACCAAGCAGTTTACGGCCACAGTACTGGAAAGGTTAATCTTACAGCCTGCATCCAGGTTCAGTGTTTCAACCACATCATTCTCCTTATTGCTCCATTAAAACTGCAATGGGTGCATGGCTCCTTAAGTACATCTTCTTCCCTGAAGCAGGCATTGTGCACAATTTTTAGTCATGTCCCTAATTCATTAGAACAGATGCAATTCCACTTTGAGAGTCTTCGTAAATACCTCATGTAAACATAATGACTCAGTTTGGCCCCCAGGACCTGGGATAAACCTCTTGCCTAAAGGCCAGGAGTGGGAGTGGGACAGGCAGCCTGATCTTCCCCAAGTTCCAAAATAGTTACAGCTCTAGCAAGAGAATGCTGCTTTAAGGCAGGGTGCCTCTTTATTGAACCACTCACTGTCCTCTCTGTGTAAATAGAGGACTGAAAGTCTGTGTCCTCTCTAGCCAAGAGATCATCTGATCATCGGGTCTTCGGTTCCCCCACAGCTTGGATGATGGGTGCAGCTCTAAGTGTTGGATCCCCAGTCGCTAGTGCTTAGGAACTTGCAGCATCCTGCTCAGAATTGTTTTCCTCTTTTCTTATCTGTGGGAACCTTCAGATGCCCAATCCAATTTGTCACAGGGATGCACCTGCCTACAAGCCCATCTTGCCTGCTTCTTCAAATCTGAAGAAAGGGGGATAGAGCAGGAGTAGAAGAGAGGAAGAAAATTATCACTTTATGATAACAGCTTCTGCTACTCAATCTCAGACCTAATATCAGGTGCACCTGTAGAAGCTGCAGCCACAAACACGTGGTTTAATTTATAGTACCCTAAATGGTTGAGAAGAAGATAAATGCATTAAAACCAACAAACACTTGACGCCAACAGTTAATGAGTCCTGCGACTTTATCCCTTCAAGGATTAAGGTCTGACATTACCAGCTGGGACCACAGCAATCACAGCAACCCAGAAGTGGCTGGAACCGGTGTGTGTGTGTGCGCGCGTGCAGGGGGACATAACAGGCTTATGCATGCTCCATCATTGCGTGCAATGACCTGGAATGCAACCCCCATATATCAAGTCGTTTACAACAATATAAAAACATAAAACCAAACAATATCATCATAAAAAGTTAGAAGCAAAAATAAATTTAAAATAAATATCCATAGACCATTGGGGAGGGGGGGTGGGATGTCCTCTTCCTTGCCTTGCATAGGATAGGCCTGGAAGAACAAAAATGCTTTCAAGATTTAAAATTTCACACAAAAGGCACCTGCTGAATCTCTATTGGCAGGGTGTTCTACAGGGCTGGGTCAATGCCACTAAAAGCTTGATTTCTCTACTGTTGTCAAATAAGGCTCACCAACTTGGGGCATGATCAAAGACACTTCTGCTGAAGATCTCAGTGATTGAGCTGGAATATAAGGGTTCAGGCAATCCCTAAGGTATCCTGAACCCAAGTTGTTCAGGGCTTTGCAAATAAATGCAAGAACCCTGAACCTGGCTCAGTAGCAGATGGACAACCAGTGCAGTTGTTTCCACAGTGATGGAACCAGAAGCTCCCCATCAGCAATCTGGATGACTACCTCATCCAGGCTCAACTAGAGACAAAACACTAGAAAAAGTCAAGTAAAGTTGAAGACAGAGCTTAAGCCCCAGAGGCCAGCAACTGGAAGAGAACCGTTACCTCTCCAACTGTCAAGGAGAAGGATTCTAAAGCTAATCTGCATAAGTCCTGCTTGTTGGAGTAAGAGGAAGGGGTAACCCATTCCAGGATAGCAACCTTCACAGATGGAGAAATCATTGTTTCACAATCCAGACCTGAGAAAGCGGACATTATTCAGTGGATTCCTTGTGACCCATTCAAATTAGTCTTACACCTGCCATTTCCTGATAAAATCTGTCCCTCATGCCTCAAGGTCCAGATGATTCTGAAACAAGTTTTCAGAAATAGTCAGTAGATAGCATAAGAACTGCAATTAGAATTAGAAATTTAGCTGATCTGTATCTTCAAAAGCTGTATGGCTTTTTCCCTAGAGCATTTGGACAAAGGACCAGCCATCCTAAAAACTAAGCTTAGAACAAAGGCACTCCCAAGGATCTATAAATAGCTTGATATATTTCATTTGCTTTGTGAAGAGAGTATGGAATAATTTGTAAGTGTAGTATTATCTCATCTGATGTTTTAGGTAATAGTAAAAATAAAGGATTATACACCCCAAACTCGTGTTTTAACAACATAGCAAAGTATGCCAAGGAAAGAGATGGGCTGGAACCTTCTCCCAGACATGCTATTTTTCTAAGTGAAGAGGGGCTTTTTGGTTGGTTTGTTTGTTTGTTTGTTTGTTTGTTTGTTTTAAAGGCAGAATAGTGAGTTCCGTGACCCCCACGTGCAATGTGAAGTGGTAGAGTCCAGACACAGGGTTGCCTCTTTGAGAACTAAGAATTTTTTAAAAGAGCAAAACAAATATATGAATGCACTTAAGTTGCATTCTGCTTATCACAATTTCAGTAACAGAGTTTATGCCCGCAGATAGCAGATGGGCTCATTGGTTCTATACAATGTAACCCAGTGTACAACACCCAAATCTAGACAGCACACAGCTTACTCCATTCGCTGTCTATAGTCTATGAACCACAAATTGGAATTGACTGGCCTCTTACCTGTGCAGCAACGGTATGGGATCTGGTAGGGAACAATTTTGTAACACATGCTGTGTTAAACCCAGCTTCAGACAAGCCAAACGCAGCTCGCAAACCTGCACCACCTGCACCCACCACAATTGCATCAAATTCATGGTCCACTACAGGATACTGTGTTGAAATCTGGTTGAGAAAAAAATATAAATGAACAGCCACATCATTTGCAACACCTAGCAAAATAAACCATAGAATAATTATAATGAATATACACGTACACGTAGAGAGCACCACACTTGAACTCACTGTATTAAAAAACAAATTTCAAACTCTGTAGTTAACGCTGCCCACTGTTGATTTGTGACCCTCCATGCTTTGGTGAATCAGGAGCAAGCAATACGATCAAGTGCCCAGTCCACTCTTTTCACACGTCTTAATCAGTGTTAGAAATTCAGCTATATAAGCTAATTACCAAATGGCACCTTAAGCCGAGGTTACAGTCACCGCAATGCAATGTCTAGGCACCATTTCCCCCCTCCCTACAATGAGTTCTATTATTATTATTATTATTAATTTCATTTCTATGCCACTTTATATTTTAAAGAAAAAAATCTCAAAGTGGTTTACAACACATGAAAACATCAACTAAAACAATGAAACAAATTCAAGATTCGAAGAAAATATTTCAGTTCCTTCTCTAAGTGACATTTTGCTTTCCTTGTATTTATTCACCTACTTAATTTATATAGCTGCCCCATAGCAGAAGTACTCTAGGAAGCCAGAATGATGTAGTGGTTAGTATGTTGGATTAAGCCCTAGATCAGGGTTCAAATCCCCACTCAGTCATGAAGCTTGGGCCAGTCACAGCCTCTAAACCTACCACAGGGTTGTTGTAGGGATTAACTGAGGAGTGAACCATGTACCCCTGGGAGAAAAAACTGGGATATAAATGTAATAAATAAGCTCTTCTGCTTACCTGCTTAAGAAAGCTGGAAGGGCCAGCCAGATGGAGATGTCAGTTGCCAACCTGGCATCCAGAGATCTCCACATGGTTGCAACTGGACCCGCGCCAGTCGCAAAGGGCACCTGGCACATGGCTAATGTCTAACGCCGGCCTTCCTACAGACTTCCGCAACCTGGCGCCCTCAAGATCTTATGGAGGACAACTTCCATCAACACAGCCAGCACAACCAATGGTTGGGGAAGGCTGCTATTAGAATATGTCCAATATGCCAGACAAGTAAGAACTTACTGAATCAGATACTTTGGCAGACGCACTTTTCTTTCCATAAACAGTGAAGTGAAAGTTGCGAGAGAGTGCCTGGCAAGCTGCTGGCCCCTGCTGAAGCAAGACAAAGGAAGTGTTATAACTTATGTGATAAACAGTTATCTACATGAAGTACACTTTATCCTAAGCATTCTAATTATATACTGTAAAATGTTTAATATGAAGTAAATGCATGCTATTCCAGGTTACAAGTGGGATTTCTCACCTTTTTGTGGCATTTTTCCCCTGACACACAGAAACTCACCAGGTATAGTTTCCACACAATTGTCAAGAAAATATTGAAAAGGGAGATGGTCTATACGTAGAAGTGACTGTCATGAATTTATTTCAATCTTCTTTTTCCAATGAACAGCATCAAGATTGCCCAGGGAAACTTGCATATTATGGTTACAAAGTCTAGCCAGAAAATACCATATCTATTACTGGGCATCTCCTAAACCCAGGGACAGCCAATGCCATGCCCTCCGTCATTCCATGCAAACACCTGAAACTGATGAACAAAATATAGGCAACATTCACACCACCACTTTTAATCACTATAATTACCGTATTTTTCGCCCCATAGGGCGCACCAGCCCATAGGGCGCACCTAGTTTTTTTTTGGGGGGGGGGAATAAAGGGGGAAAAAATTATTTCCCCCCCAGGCGCAGGGCTGGGGCGGGGGAAGCCCGAGCTTCCCCCGACCCCAGCCCCCAGAACAGGCTGCTCTCCGCAAGCGGTGGGAGGGCTCCCGCGGCTTGCGCAGAGCTACCCGAAGCCCGGGGCATGACTGCTCAGTGCACCCCAGGCTTCGGGATGCAGGCAGCTCTCCGCAAGCCGTGGGAGCCTGGCGGGAACTCCCGTGGGCTCCCAAGGCTTGCGGATAGCTTCCTGAAGCCTGGAGAGCGAGAGGGGTCAGTGCGCACCGACCCCTCTCGCTCTCCAGGCTTCAGCGAAAGCCTGCATTCGCCCCATAGGACGCACACATATTTCCCCTTCATTTTTGGAGGGGAAAAAGTGCGTCCTATAGGGCGAAAAATACGGTACATTTTAAACAGTTGTGGTTCCCTGGAAGTAGGATTGATTGTTAAATCACTCTGTCAATCGTAGCTCAGGGAGACAAATAGGGACCTTCCAACAAATCTCAATATCCTTAACGAAATGGTTTCCAAAATGTAAATGTGGCCACAATGTAACAACCAGGGTTGCTTTTTGCATAGTCTCAATTCATAGATCAAGTTTGCTATTATGTTTTACCACACCATCATATTTGCTCAGATAAAGTTAGCATAACTTTACTTTGTTTTATTGCTTAAAAGTAATTCACAGGAATGTATAACAGTACAGAAAAGCAAATCATTAACCTGCAATTAAGCTGTTCCAAGCACTTTAATGCACTTCTGAATTGCCCTCTTTTTCAAAAATCAAACATTGGCAAGAATTAATGTAAAAGAGCTCAAGGATAAGCTAACTGTCTTCCTTCTTCAAATGTGACTTTACCTTTTAAATTCATTATTCACAGACTGGATGGAAAGGCACTCTGATTCTATGTATATATGTATATATGTTCCCTTTGAAGGGAAGGAAAACCCTCGTGAAAACCTCAACTGGTTGACACAGAAATATTAGAATATTGGATCCTCTCCAAACCTTTTGTAGGATTTTCTAGTCATTTTGCAGGGCTACCAAACTGAGTAATTGCTACATCAAACTGGGGTTCGTAGGTAACACCCAGAAATCCAACACTGTCCTAGTCACTACGAACTGGTGCCATGTTTCATAGCCATTTTGTAGCATTTGGTAGCTTGAACCCTGCATTTTGTAGGGCCCCCAAAATGGAATAACTGATATTCAAACTGGTATCCTAGGTATCCCCCCCAAACCCCAACATTGTCCCATCCACTCCAAACTGGTGCCAAAGTTCTGTAGTTGTTTTGTAGGGATTCTGCAGTGAAAAGCCCACCTTTGGCAACACCGCAAAAAAGCACAGTAACTGATACATCAAACCAGGGTTCCTGCTTAACAAAACTCAAAATCCAACACTGTGTGATTTACTCCAAAGCAATGCCAAAGTTTTGCAATTGTTTCGCAGCCTTCTTGTAGTTAACCCCCACATTTTGCCAATCCCCAAAAGTGGGTTACTATCTTACTCCGTAGTTAATGAAACTACACCCAGTTTAAGTAGCAATTCCTCAGTTGGGGTGGGGCAGACCTACCAAACAACACCCTACAAAATGTCTACAAAACTTTGGCACCACTTTGGAGTAAATGGAACAGTGTTTGGTATCAGGGAAAACCTATGATCCCTGGTCTGAGTATCAATTACTAGGTTTGGGAGCACTAAAATGTGGGATTCATGCTACAAAACCCTACAAACGGTTTGCAGGGAATCTCAAATTTTGTGGTTCATAGTTAATGAAGTTCTAGATTTCTCTCTGCTCAGGGCAAAATGCCCTTAGGTAGTAGCCCTGTAATAGCAGCTGAGGGTGGGAGAGGTTTCAGCATTCACAAAGAGTCTACAGCTATTAAGCAAAACAAAGTGGCAACTGCCAACAAGCATTTCAGCTTGCTTTACAGTAAGCACAGAATTTCCTAAACATGTAACTGGTTGTGGAATAAGAATAACTAAAGCCTCCCTCACGTTAAAGAGAAAGCCCTAGTCAACCTTGAATCTAACTTTCAGCTAAGAAAGAGTATTCAATTAAATGGTAAAACACAGGTTAGAAATGGCTTTGCAAAGAAGTCCATAAGTTATTCCACCCACCCCAGTTTGTTCCTTCAAGCATTTGCAAATGCCTATGTTAGTAATTCATGACCTCAAATAGTTAGTTAATTAGTTCATTTATATGCCGCCCTTCATCACAAGATCTCAGGGTGGGTCACAGAATAAAATACAAGACCAAAATACAATAATCAAAAACAACAAAACAATAACCCACCTTCCAACTTTTGAAATGCTTCCATTGGTATCAGGAAACACATTAGAAGAAACAATTTAGATGACAACTTCTCAAACTTCAAGTAGAAGCTCAGTAGTTGGACTTAAAACTGCTTCATATTGGCCACTGAAAGATAACCTTTCAGTCCTCAAGGTAGTTTGGGTGAACTGCCCCACATACCTACTTTATAAGGAGCATTTTGGGCAGTGTGGATATGACACAAATGAAATGTTAAGTGTAGTTTTGATAGGGGACCAGTTTGGAAAGTCTTCTTAATACACCTTCTCATAAGCCCTATTTGACTTCCACAGCACTTGTAAGCACTGCCCTGCCCCTCAGAAACACTTTAAGCTCCAGGGCAAATGTCTGAAGCAGGGAGACTCCTCACTTCATGGAGGCTCCCTTCACAATCTAAAATCCTGCAAAATCAAGGTTTCTAGTTGCTCAAGCGGTCTCTATGAGTTGAGGAGGCTTCCCAATGCAAACCTTTGCCCTCAAACTAGTGGAGGGCTGAACAAAGAATAATATGATATTGTAGAGTTGGAGAAGGTTCAGAAGAGGGCCACCCCAATGAGTCAGGGGGAGGGAGCAAGTGCCTTATGAAGAAAAGTTGCAGCATTGGGGACTTTTTAGTTTAGAGATAAGCTGAGTAAGAGGAGATACGATGCAAGTTTATAAAATTATGCATGGCATGGATAAAGTAGATAGAGAAAAGTTCCATCTCTCATAATACTAGAACTTGTAGACATCCAATGAAACAGAATGTTTGGAGATTTAGTCAAACTATGGAACTTGCTCTCGAGGAGACAGTGGCAGCCACCAACTTGGATGACTTTAAGAGAGGATTAGACACATTCATGGAGAAGGAGAGGGCTGCCAATGGCTACTAGCCATGGTGGCTATGCTCTACCTCCACAGTTGGGGGGCAGCAATACTTCCGAAAACAAGTTTCTGGAAACTGCGGGGCGGGTGGGAGAAGATTGCTCTTGTGCTCACGTTCTTCCCATAGGCATCTAGTTGGCCACTGTGAGAAGAGAACGCCAGACTAGATGGGCCATTGGTCTGAACCAGCCGGGCTATTCTTATAAATGCTTGAGCATCAAGAGAACTGGGTGCCAAGACCTGTTACATAAAACAGAAATTCAAGGGACACCATCTAATTCACCCCGAAAGAAATGGTGCACCTGTAATCATTTGTACATGTGCCAAAACTAGCTGAGAGGCAGCACATGGAGATCCGCACTGATCCTTGCAATGTTCCCTAATTGTTCTTAGAATCATAGAATCATAGAGTTGGAAGAGACCACAAGGGCCATCGAGTCCAACCCCCTGCCAAGCAGGAAACACCATCAGAGCACTCCTGACATATGGTTGTCAAGCCTCTGCTTAAAGACCTCCAAAGAAGGAGACTCCACCACACTCCTTGGCAGCAAATTCCACTGTCGAACAGCTCTTACTGTCAGGAAGTTCTTCCTAATGTTTAGGTGGAATCTTCTTTCTTGTAGTTTGGATCCATTGCTCCGTGTCCGCTTCTCTGGAGCAGCAGAAAACAACCTTTCTCCCTCCTCTATGTGACATCCTTTTATATATTTGAACATGGCTATCATCTCACCCCTTAACCTCCTCTTCTCCAGGCTAAACATGCCCAGCTCCCTTAGCCGTTCCTCATAAGGCATCGTTTCCAGGCCTTTGACCATTTTGGTTGCCCTCCTCTGGATACGTTCCAGTTTGTCAATGTCCTTCTTGAACTGTGGTGCCCAGAACTGGACACAGTACTCCAGGTGAGGTCTGACCAGAGCAGAATACAGTGGCACTATTACTTCCCTTGATCTAGATGCTATACTCCTATTGATGCAGCCCAATACTCCTATTGATGCAGCCCTACGACTGGAAGATTACTACATGATCTTAGAAGCGTGGCATCATCTTAGAAGGCTGTGACTATAATGAAGGGAACCTGAGCTGCCTTTGAAACGACCTCTTCATCTTTACTGGCTGTTGGGGGGAGGGGTTATGCTTAAGATTTATTTTTAAAGGTCTCTCAAAGTATGCCATTCACATTATTTATGAGGACGCATAAATGTTTCGTAACTTGCTACGACATGTGACCCAAGTGGATCGCTCTGCTGGTTTGAGTGTGGTGCTGATAATGCCAAGGTCGCAGGTTCCCTAATGGGGCAGCTGCATATTCCTGCAGTGCAAGGGGTTGGACTGGATGACCCTCAGCGTCCCTTCCAATTCTACGATTCTATTATTCTGTTTTAGCATAATACAGAGCTGTCTATATGGATTACACATGTGAGGAGAAGGATGGATCTATGCGTCTATGAGAGAATCCGCCGCTCCGCGGTGACCTTGAAGGCCGGCCCCCGGCCTCCCCCTCAGGCCAGCCAACCTGGCAGGGTTGTTAGGAGGATCGGGGCCAGGGGCACCGGGGTTATTGGGGGACCGGGGGAAGGGCGGCGGTGCGGAGCTGGCGAGGCAGCCGGGCAGCTGCCTGGGGAGCAGCGGCGCCGCCCCCCTCTCCCTCGTCGTCTCCGGACGGCTGAGCCTTACGGGAGAGCCGCCCCGCACAGGACTCTCCTCCTCCTCCTCCCCCCCAGGCTCCCGCCGCGCACTTACCGCGCGGAGCTGCCTCAAGCGCCGCCACGCCTGCGAAGCCGCCACTGCCGCCGCCATTTCGCACCGGCCCTCAGAAACTAGGCCGGGCAGAGAGCGGGCTCACTGCGCCTGCGCACGAGAAACGGGGGAAGGTCGCCCTGACCGAACAATTGTCGAGGGCGGGCGGGAGGAACCAACCAAGCGGGAGCTTTCAAAGGCACCTCACGGTCTAAAGGAACAGAGACGCGAAGTGCCTTTCTCGGTTCCCCCAAAGAGGAAAAGTATGTCTGCCTAGTGCTCTTTTGTACTCGAAAGAGTTTCCGAGGGGGGAAATAATCATTATCATCACCCTCCCCCTTGTCCTCACAGGGATGGTTCGTTCCAAGAGCGGGGCGGGGCTTGAAAGGGCACCTTGCGCAGGCGCAGAGAAACCTTAGGTGGTCGCAACCGCTCGGAGGTTGAGGGGGAAGCTTCTTGTTTCTGGTTTTCTCCCTCTTTCCCCGTGAGATGGGAGGGCGCTTAAGAATGCCCACGTTTTATAATAACAATAAGGTATGTTTGTATAGTAAATTTGTATTTATTGCCCGCCCTTCTCCTTAAGCCCCAGGGCGGATCACGGCACCAAAAGCAGAATAAAACAGTCCTTTTTGCAATAGCATTTACGTGTCTGCTTCTGCTACCAGGACCAAGAGAAAGCTTGACAGATGACAAGCGAAAAGGCAGAATCGAACTCGACCAAGAAGGTACTTGGGGGCCGGATTTTCTCCCTTGCTGGGGACCTAGTTGAACTAAAGGCACGTGGAATAGCAACACACCCGTGTCTTTTCCCCGTCGTTCCCCCACTCCTTTTCTTACGTCTCAAACATTAAGTGGCCCTTTAATAAGTCCAGTAAAAGGTTCTGCTTTTCAGAAAGAAAACAGATTTGTGGCTGTGGGTGGAGTTGGCTGGGCTTGTTCCACTTGAGGCTGCGGTTAAGGATTTGTGTGGTTTAAATGTTCTTCCACTGGAGCAGAAAAAAATTAAAAGTAGATAACAACATTAGCTAATAGTAGCTAATAACATTGAGGGATTGAAGGGTTCTAGACTAGGCTTTCCTGATAGGCTAGTTTTCTACATGCAGTGAACATTTATACTGCCTTTATCTAGGATCGGAGAAACCGTAACCCTCCTCCAAGTGTTGTTGGACACCATCTTGGCCACGCCGCTGGCTGGCCTCAAGCATCTGGAGAGCCACAGGTTCCCCATCTTTGCCATACATTGGTAATGAAAGTGCATCCTGGAAGGAGGGGTGTTTTCAGCTAACCCCTAGGATGGACTGGGAACAACATCATGGGAGGGGTTTTTCTAGGACCAAGGTGAAACTGTAAAGCTGGCTTGTTATTCTTGCTGTTGCATACTAGGTGTTGTTTACATAGTCTTCTTACATTTATAATGTACTGTGGTTTTTGTGTTTTAAATTTGCTATTGTGTTGGTTTGATATGTTATTATGAAATTGACTTTTCACTGTTTGATTTTGAAATTCGTTCCTGTTTTCTTTGTTGTAAGAGAGCCAGAGTGGTGTAGTGGTTAAGAGCGGTGGACTCGTAATCTGGTGAACCGGGTTCGCATCTCCGCTCCTCCACATGCAGCTGCTGGGTGACCTTGGGCCAGTCACACTTCTCTGAAGTCTCTCAGCCCCACTCACCTCACAGAGTGTTTGTTGTGGGGGAGGAAGGGAAAGGAGAATGTCAGCCGCTTTGAGACTCCTTCAGGTAGTGATAAAGTGGGATATCAAATCCAAACTCTTCTTCTTCTTCTAAGCCGCTTTTGAGCATGATTTTTTGTGTATGGAAAAGTGGCATACAAATAAAATGAATGAATGAAAGTGCATAGGTGTGCTGTATGTGTGTTTCTGTATCGAGGGCTTCTTAGAGCTTGGGTATATTTCTCAAATGTGGCCATGAAACGTTTAGAGTGATAGCCCAAATGTCAGTGGCCTCTAGCAGTAGTTAGTGCTTAAAGGAGTGACCCGTGAGCACCTGGTTTACATCATACAGTCAAAAAAACTGGGCCTCTTCTACATGTGCGTGCATCGCTTGATTCCTATAAACACAGGGCTGGTTCATAACTTCAGGTTAAAATAAAGTGATCTGTGAATTAATGTGATAGTGACTTACAGCTTCCTTTGTAGTTTACGTGTAACCTTCAGCGAGTATTTAATTGATACTGTTTTAGGAGCAATAAATATAGTTTTTGCAATGACCATGCTGGCTGAAACAGTAACTAAAACAAATAAATGAAAACAGTAATAGAGATGCCTGCGTGAATGAGCTACCACAGAGCTGGCACTGCCAGTAGAATTGTTCGTTAGCCTGATGTCATCTCAGGGACCCAAGTGCTTTTTGGTTTAATTAAATCAAATATTCAGTGGCCAGTCACAGTAGAGAAATTAAGTAATGTATGTCTTACATGTAAACATCGATACAGATGCACATGAAGCCTGGCAGCTATGTGTGAATTGACTCATTTGAAATGCATTTCTGGTGTCACCTGGGCAAATGAAATTTTGTCTGTAAATGTCCATTCACACATGGCTATTATCATTTGAACTGGCATAAAGTGATAAATAGTCAAGGGAAACTTGGGCCTTTTCAGACAGCTTCTGGATATGTAGCTTGTTAACAGTGGGATGTGCAGGTACAAATTATTATTTATTTATTTCTACCCCGCCCATCTGGCTGTGTTTCACCTTTGTTTTTGTGACAGTAGAAAAGTTATATAAAGTCAAGTTATATAAAGTCAGTAAATTTTTATTTCGTAACACCTTTGGGACTCTTCTGTCAATTATTATGGAAATATCCTCTCCCCCACTGTTAAACAGATTGCTGTTGAAATTATTATAAATACTGGCACAGGGCTTGCATTGGGATGAACTCAGATCTCATGATATTCCATGTCCTAAAAAGAGAAAAGTTCGTGTTTTCTTTTGAACCCTTGATCTTATCACTTTTAGCAAGTAAAGATAAAATTATACTTTGAACTAGCAACCTGGTGTTGCCAATTTAAAAAGTTCATCGAAATAAAAATAATTTTAGTACTGTATTCAGAAATGTATGCCTATGTTTCCTTAAAAACATGAACTGTTTAACTTAATTTTAGTTCCAAGATGGCTTTGATCAAGAGGCTTTCCCCTTTATCTTCTGAGTGATCAAATTTGTTTGACTGCTAAAGAGAAATTAAGGGTAAGGATTTATTTATTTCTCTTGTGTCCTTGTCTTTCATGTTCATTTAATGTTTCATTTAGAAAAGCTGTGAATATTCAAAAGTACTGAAGTGCTAGTAAACCTGGGAAGGGGAGTCCTGTGGCCCTACGGATGTTGCTGAACTATAACTCCCCTCATCCCTGGTCACTGGCCATGCTGGCTGGGGCTGATGCAAATGGTGGTTCAGCAACAGCTGGAGAGCCACAGGTTCCCCATCCCTTTTGTACATGCACTATGATTGAATTTTGGAAAGTGACTGCCTAACCTCTGCATGAAATGTTCCATATTTACTGGGCTGGCCATTTTCTTGTGAACTGCTTTGCATTCCCTGACAAGAGGTACCTTTGCATAGTTGAGATGGAAGTGAAAGTAATAGGCTGGACTGGCCAAATGCAGGCAGGGGAGCATGTATGCTTTCACCCGAGAGAAAGCCCTCTGAATGACCCTTTGCTCCCAGGAACACCAGTGAGTAAAAGCACAAGGCCAGTTAGGTATTTCCTTTGTACTATCAGTACCAAGGAAACAATTCCCTTTCTCTTATCCATGCCTGTTACCATGATTATTCCCACAGGAATGTGTAAGGAATATGTCTATATGGACGGGCTATGAGTGAAAATGTGAAGGGAAATCAGCAGGAGAAGCAGAAACTAGGGCAAAGTTGGGGGCAGGAAAGTAGTAGTAGGTGAGGAGCAAGTAAAGGGTCAAATGATGCAGCGGAAAGAAGGAAGAGGGCAAAGAGAAAGGAAGGTGGACAGAGCCAACGCACAGGAGGGAATCTGAGACTGGCTCACCTTCATGGCCACATCCCCACCCCTTGGTGGGCGTTGAACTATTCCACCCCTTCCCTTGAGAGTTGTATTGGTACTGTGTCAATTTAAATGCATCTGTTGAGAATGAATTTTACAGTCAGGTATTAAAACAACCTAAATGTTTTGTTTCCTCTAATTTTAAAGGTCTGTCCATGAATAATTTAAATGACCCTCCTAACTGGAACATCCAGCCTAATGCAAGGGATGATGAAGGCCATGGAAGCAAATGGAATTATGCTTTGTTGGTTCCCATGTTGGGGCTGGCTGCCTTCCGTAAGTGACACTTGAAATAATATTAGACTTTCTCCTTTTTGCAGTTTGTTGGGTGAGTTATCTTGACAGGAATTGGTACAAACTGGACTGGGTGATTTAATGGAGCAAGTTCTTAGAAACCTTACATTTTTACGCTGTGAACCGTCCTGAGATCTATGGTTGAAAGACAGTATACAAAGTGAATAAATTGTAAAAATAATGTTTTTTAAAAAACTGCAGTGGGCTTCACCTAATGTGGGATAAAGTCAACCAAAGCCAACATAAACTTAGGAAAAGAAATATGTGTTACTTTTTAAAATAAAGAGTAAGAGTTATGGCCATACATAGGAAATGTGCAAACCTGGTGTTAGATGTGTTTATTATGGGTAAATAATTTTCTCCTTAAAAATGTAGTTTTCAAGTTCTTAATGTAATATTTCCTCTGGTCCAGAAGTATAAAGTGCATATAAAAAGTCAAATCACTATAATTGTTTGTTTGTGTTGTTTTTTGGGGGGGAGGGGAGTTGGTGAGGCTCCAGGAGAGATATATTAAAGTAATGGCTAGAATCCAAAGAATGCTTTGACTAATTCCAGATAAGCAGGGAGTTTGGGCTTTGTGCTTTTTGCCACTTAAAAATAAAAAAGGTAAAGGACCCCAAGACGGTTAAGTCCAATCAAAGGCGGCTATGGGGTGCGACACTCATCTCACTTTCAGGCGAAGGGAGCCGGTGTTTGTCTACAGACAGCTTTATGGGTCATGTGGCCAGCAGGACTAAACCGCTTCTGGCACAAGGGAACACCCTGACGAGTGCCAGAGCTCACAGAAACGCTGTTTAACTTCCCGCCACAGCAATACCGCTACTAGCTGCTCTTCATATCACATAACAAGACTTTTGAAATTGAGGTGACTTTCAAACACAACATGTGCTTTCAGAAGTAATGGGGGTTCCTTTAAATAAATAAATAAGGAAGCCTAGGGTGGCTGTTGGAATGTCATCATAGTATTTATGTCTGCATCTCTATTTCAGAAAATAATAATACTGTAGTCAAGGGTCTCTTGCTTTCTTTCTTTCTCTTTGTTTGCCGTGTTGGCAACTTATTTTTAACTGGGGTCATATTCTAAATCTAGCAAGTGCCAAAACTTTCACCCCACCCATAGGCTCAACCCCCTGCACGTTTATGATGATTTATTAAATTTCTTAGTCGCTTTATCTTGCCCAAGGCAACCCAAAGCGACTTAAAAACAAAGCCACTTAGATACATTAAAACCAAGGAGGGGGAAATGCGTTAAAAACATCCCTGTACTCCCCAGTGGGACTTTGTCAGATCTAGGCATAATTTAACAGATAGGTATTTTCATTAATGTTGGGGCTATTTTTGGAAGTATTATTAGATATTTTTGTTGCAAAATTTCAGTATTAATCATGAGGTATTAATCATGCATTGCAGGTTGGATCTGGTCCAGGGAGTCTCAGAAAGAGATAGAAAGAGAGAGAAAAGATACCTATAGAAAGCTCTCATTAGTACAGAGAGAACTTGAATCTAAATATCGTGACATAATCACAGAAAACCGCCGCACAGTTGCCCATTTGGAACTGGAACTGGAAAAGGAACGGAACAGGACAGTAAGTTACCGTGAAGCCCTTGTCTCTCAGAGCCGTAAACTGGTAGAAGAAAGAAGAACTCTGGAACAAGAACGTACAAAATTAGAACAAGAGAAGCAGATTCTGCAGCACTCTGGAGCTGCCGGTGCTTTGTATCAGAATTGCCTGGAGAAGGAAGAGCAGTGGCAAAAGAGAGCAACTGCTTTACTAAAAGATTTTGAAGATGCTCTTACGGAAAGGCAGGACATCTACTGTAGCCTTGTGCTACCAAGACACCGGCGACTGGAAGTGGAGAAGAATTTGCTTATTAGAGCAGCAACTGATCCAGTTGCTGTGGACCTGGACCTGGAAACTGGCTTAAAAGATATTTTCAGGCATGATACCTATTGCAGTAATTTGCTTAACACCAATAAACGTCAGAATGGAAGGCTAATGTGGCTCTACCTTCGATACTGGGAATTATCTGCTGAGCTCAAAAAGTTCAAGAGGGTAGAGAAGGTCATGTTGGGAAAGTAGTAGCTAAAAATTACCCAGTATCAATACAATACACGTGTCAGATATGGCCGATTTCCTCTGGGATCTCAGCTTCACCACCATATATGTATTGGTCATTTAACAGACTATCTTAAGCACTTAATGTCTTTATTTGACTCACCAAGGTGAATGGTGATTGTGTGGTACCATAATGCTCAGGTTAATTTCTCTGGTGAGTTTTGATAACTGCAGCCCTCTGCATGTTTACTCAGAAATAAATTTCACTGTTTCAGTGGGGCTTATTCCCAGACAAGTGTGCTTTAGGGTTGCAGCTTAGATCAGGGAACTGGGCTTAAAAGACAATGACTTCAGCTTCTGCCACTTGCATGACAACACCTTTTCTGTAATAAATCTTACTATGCTACTTGGAAGCAACTATTCTTAATTAGTGTTTTTGCTGTTTTCAGTCTGAGAGTCTACTATTTATGGCTGAGAAAGCACCTCTCTATAAATTGTTGGAAGTGTGTGATCAAGTTCTCAAGTTAGTCACCTTTGTGATCTGAACTAAGCTACATGTAACACTGTAAACCCTGTGATCCTTGGATGAAAGGTGGTATATAAATTTAATAAAGAATAATAATAATGCTTAATGTCATTAAGTGACCTTTTATTAATAGTTGGTTTGTGCAGCATGAGATCAGAGTTTATTAGCAAGGCTTCCACCGAACTGATTTTCAAGGCCTATGGATCATGTGAAACAGTAGTCAGAAAGAGGATTCCCCAGAGCAAGTGCAGAGTGCCTTTTGATTACCAGTGAATGACCACAGTCAGCCCCCACCCATCTGCGATGAAAAGGGAGGAATTTCCAGGCTGGGAGGTGCCTTTCTCTCAGCCTAAAACTCTGGAGTCTCTGTTTTTAGAATAAAGCAGTGTGTGTCTGTGCTCTGTTTAACTTTGAAGTGAACTTTATTGAGACTACTTGCTTCATGTCTTTTAAGGTTGCTTTGTAAATATGTACTTCTCTGCTCACCTATCAAAAATCAGAATCTTCTCCTAATGACCAAGCAGAAGAGCTTTTATAAACTGGCAATACCTATTGGCACGTCACAACTAGCATAGGCAAGATAGCAGCATTTGTGGACTTACTTGCAAGGCAAATTTAAGGTGTTTTACATTAAAGGCAAAATAACCACTCATTTGTCATTTCATTTTGGTAGATATTTGCCCTACCTTCTACTACTACAGTGGTACCTCCGGTTACGAACTTAATCCATTCCGGAGGTCCGTTTGTAACCCCAAACCGCTCATAACATGAGGCACACTTTAGCGAATGGCGCCTTCCGCTGCCGCACTGCTAGTGCGTGACTTTCGCTCACATCCCGGGGCAAAGTTTGCAACAAGGAGCATCTACTTCCAGGTTAGCGGAGCTCGTAACCCGCAATGTTCGCAAGGAGGATGGTACGTAACACAAAGTTCCACTGTACTGGTAGTTGTGTCATTTGATGGTATCGGTTTCACTTTCAGCAGATAACATGAATTTCTAAAAAACTAGTACAGTATATTGCAGATACCAGTAAAGGCTAATACTTATTTTAGTATACATATCCAGCCTCTTTCTCTGAGTTTCAGTAGTGCCCAGGAGCAATGACAGCAGCACTAGAAAAGAGTGTCTAGATTAGATTGGAAGAAGGCTGTTGGTACTTCCATTGTTTCAAATGCCATTCTAGAGGAAAACATTGCTATTTTTAACTGGCTTTCTGCTTGAAGCTTATTTATTATCTGATACTTAGCTTAATACTATATTGGTGCATTTGTCTCTGTTTACACACACATGCTATTAGGCACTGTCTTCAGCAAAAGACCCAGTTGTGTCTAATGCAGGAAATGAACCCAGAGAACCAATAAAGTCTTCATATAGTTTTCTTCCCGGTCAACTGCGATCGACAAGTCGATCCCCGGGTGATTGTGGGGTCATTTTCCAACATGGTGGAAAAAGAGCATCCACACGCGCGCCGCCCTGACCTTGCATGAGTTGGTTGTTGCTGGGCCACCGGTGCCCTGCTATGCCGGCTTTTTGGAAGCCCCTGCCAGCAGGCTGCAGCAAGTTGGCTCCGGCAGGAGGCTTTGCGGATCCCCGGCCATGCCGGTCTACCCATGCGATCAGGCATTGTTAGACTGTTCCTTAGCACCTGTCCTCCCTTCAATGGCCCTAGCGGAGGTGATCAGGGAGCGGGAGCATCGCCCGTGACAAAGGCCCGCCTAAGCGCTGTGTCGGAGGTGAGCGGCAGTGCGTCTATTGTTTTGTGAGCGATTTATGGTGTGCTATAACTTTGGATTCCCCCCCCCCTGGGTAAAAACTGTTAGTTTTTTATTCCAGGAGTAGATCGCAGTCTCTTGGGAGCTGGACGTCCCTGTATTACAAGATACTGCCCTGAAGTGTGGTAGAGCGGCTGGAAGGGTTTGTAGATCTGTGTAAGATAGGGGCAAGGGGGCAGAAAGAGGCAGAACCTGCATTTCATGCCAGGTATAACTATTTCTCGTGAATATCTTTATTTCTGGTTTGGTGGTATAACATTTTTTATGGCCAGTATACCCTTTGAACATTATTTAGAATCTCCCCCTTCCCTCTGAAATCTCCCCTTCCACAAATTGCAGCTCTGCCACCACTTTTCCACCTCCTCTGGTTTCAGGTCTCCTTCTCTCCTGAATGAAGCTCATTCAGCTTGAACTGAATGCATGTGCCCTACCACATCTCCTCTTTATCCAGAAATCCTCTTCAAAATCCCACTCTTGCTTGGTTGGCAACTATCCCATGTTTGCAAGACGAGTTTGTTGCTTTCTCTAGGCAAAAGCAAGGACCCTTGGCTGCCCAGCTCTGAAAGCCTAGACAACTCTGTCAAGAGTCAAATTCACTCAGCATCTAAGTTCTCTTCTTAACCTCACAAGCTGAATCTGAAGGAGGGGAGGGGACTTTTCTGCAGGGCTGCCCATCTGCTGCACGATGGGTTCCCACTGCTGAACTCTCTTAGTCTTTAAGCTTCCTTAACCACAAGGGACTATGGTTGCTCACATTCTTCCCTTTTTCGTGTTTCTTGTCCCTCTCTGTTTTCTTGTTTTTCCTCACAGGTAGGAGATATATAAGCTCTTTACGGCAAAAGCTTGTGCTACCCTGTGAAAATCCATATAAATTGTTGATACTGTAGAAAAACAGCTACATAACAAGGGAAACTAGTTGGCCACTGTGAGAACAAGATGCCTTTGGCCTGATTCAGCAGGGCTTTTGTTCTTAAAACAAGCCTTGCAGAATATTTTATTATATCATTTGTCCATAGTTTCCCAAGGCAAATTACACAGTTTTTGATTACTGTATTGGCCCAAATATAAGCTGCACCTTTAAAATTCAAGGGAGGGGTAGGAAGAAAAAAAGACAATACCTAAATAAATCCATCCCTAAGTCGATCCTGGGAAAGGTAGATTCTCCCAAGGGGCGTTTCAATAGTTTCCCTGTGGGCTTCTTGGATGCGGCACTAGAGGGAGGTGCTAAGAGGCCTCTTTCTGTTCCCTGCTCCTGTTTCCCACCAAATTAAGAGTGTCAGCAGCAGCAGCAGCCAGGCATGTGGGTCAGGAAAAGGGTTTGGAGGGTGGGTGAATGGATGGCCCATGCTCCCAGGCTGCTTCGGGGGGGGGGGGGAGCCGCGCCGCTTTGCCGGCGGCATTAGGGCACAAATAAGCCACGCTTTTAACTTTTCACTGTCAGAATTTGGGGGGAAAGTGCAGGTTATATTTGAGCCAATACACTATATCGCCTCTAAAACAGTATGGTCTCAAATGAAAAACATATACAGTAGTGCAATCTGATGCGTGTCTTCACAGAAGTAGATAAGCTGGGAGTGAACTCACTGAGATTTACTCCCAGGAAAATCTGTATGGGACTGCATTCTTCTGTTAACTTCCATTGCATGTGTTTCTGAAATCATCAAGAAGATACAAAGGCTTCTAAAATTCCAGCAGCTTCCTGCTACCTTGGATACTGCATTACCTCACAAGGTACAGCACGTGTCTCAATATAGCTTGAGACATAAAACCAGAGCCAGGGAGCTAAATTCTCCCAGCTGGGAGATTATCTTAATGTGGGCGGGTCAATTACTGTGGTATTTCATTGTGTCTAGTATACAAAATATGGTTTGGTAAAATTATTTGAAGTTATATATGAGAGAAGTGAAAACTTTTGCTTGTGGTGAGCTGTATTAGAATCAATAATGAGTTGGTAGTATTTCTAATGCCAGCAGATGGCACTGTGGTGTAGTCTTCTATGAACAGAAAAGCAATAAAGTATATGTTTGCATAATCATTATTTCTGTGCAACTAAAACTGCTTGAGGTATGGTTTGCAAATACTGACTTCCAAATAAGTAGCAGTACAAAAAGGAAACAAAACATAAGCTACTCAGTTGTATCTCTCATTTCCAACTACTAGTCCAGGGAGGCTGTGGAAATCCTTTAGAAAGTGCCCAGAGGCAGTTTTGGGATGCATGTGGGCAATCAAGCTATGGCTTAAACTAGATAACTGCTGTGGGCACAGAAATCTGTTCTGGATGGAGGTGGGCAGCAACTGTTGGAGAGGTCCCATGAAGTACCAAAAAGGTCACCAACCCTTTTTGCACCAATGGGCACATTTTGAAAAGAGGGTGGTGTGGGTTCCAGTCACAAAACGGCTGCCATAGTGTGGGCATGACAACACAAAATGGCTGCCATGTGGAGGTGGGCACACCATAAGATCAGGGACTACCTGATTTCAGATGAACCCACCACAGCAAAGACGTATCCTGGTCACCAGGAAAAAAGGAAGGGCGGTAGGATGCTGTTAGAACAGTCCTTATCCACACAATTTATGACAGCCTCTGTAAAATATAAAATCATGATGTGTTGCATCACATGTCTCAGGCCAAGTGTTAGTTGAGTAAATCAATTATCCATGATTGAGGTCAAAAAGATAAACCATCAAAATATGGTCTTACTGAAATAGTCTCAGTAGGTATACATTAAAGCTCTTTAGAGAATAAGTCTTCTCTCCATTTCGTGAGAAATGCTTTATCAAGGTTGACAGGCAAAGTTTGGCCAAATAGTCTACTGGGCATCAGCAGAATGCTTGATCTACAAGTCAAGGTGACTACAAATTATCCTTGTTCAACTCCGAAATCCTTGGCTTGCGGTATACTTATTACATGTTGAGGAATAAGGCTACCCTCTCTCAGTAACATGTATAAGTCAATGCCTGCATGCCTAATTAGATTATGATGGGAAACTGTTGCACTTGCCTTGCATTAAACAGCACAAGTGCCTTCAACCCCCAAACATCCCAGGATGGTGGCAAGGACAGGCACCACTTCCTGCCTTTTAGGACTTACTGTGTACAAACGAGTCATCTTTCCCTTGCGGCATCTTTCTAAGCATCAGAGCTGTGGCTCTCATTTCCGCTCTGCTCCAAGTTCTTGACTTGTGCTTCCTTCTTGATGTTCTGCAAGGATTATCTTTGTCTGTATCTTTGGTTTAATTATTGTGCAAGTTTCCTTTTACTGCAGTTCCTTTGAGTCCTTTTAGCTTCATCCACCAAGCACAGGGCGTTCCTTCTCCCTCCTTCCCTCCTGACCATGTTTTTGTTTAGAGTGTGAGGCAGTTGTCAGGGTCTTGGTATATTTTTATGCATGTTCTGGACCTTGTCTATTTTAGTATATCTTATTGAACAATAACTGACAGCTCTCTGAAAGTAACAGGAATCTGGCAGAAGAAAGGGCTCGGCCCTATATATTGTTGAAAGTAAACAGGCTCCAAAGTTCTTAGGGAGCTCAGGGTTTGCTCTCCCTGTCTCTCTTTTGCTCCTTTGTACTTTTCGCTGAAAGGGTTCTGTCCCAAATTTTGCCAAGGGACTGGGATCTCTAGGCACCAGAGGAGACGGGTACTTGACACCCATCAATGATTTTGTAACCACATCCTAAGTAATTTGCCTCTGAAGCCAACTAAGGACAAATTCTCAAATGTGGAACTTCTTTCTTTTATTTTTACAAACGTTGCCTTCTGCTGTGCTGCTCTAAGAGGGGCTTTTGGTGCACTCAAAACAAGCCCTTTGTTGACCTAGGTCTTGGGGAAAACGGAAGCAGAGAGGGAGTTTAATGTGGAAGGATTCTGTAGAGAAAGGGGTTAACAGAGAGAAGACCTTGGAGCTTAATCTGGGCTCTCATAACCATAGAGCCAGTCCTAAAAAAAGATAGCAATTATTTTTTCCTTTTTTTTTTTTTTGTCCTATCCAGAGCCTTCTGGATGCTTAATCTTCAAGCGTGTATATGTGTACTGCCATGCATTTGACATATATATGACTTTCAGAAATCCAACTGATTAATTAGTACATTGGTGCTTTTCCATGCCAGGATAAGCTTGTACCAGTTACCCTACCAGAAGAAAAATGACAGCCCAACCATCACTTCTTCTCATATAAGATGTGGTTCTTTTACCAATGAATCAGATACTGGTTGGCATGTGGTAATCAGAAAGCCATTTTTATGGTGATTTAAAGCACAAATCTAATCCTACAACGGGGAGTTCTCAGGTGATGTTTATTATTTGTAAGCATATGGTTGTCAAAAGCATAATGAAATCAAGCATTTCATGGAAATAAATACTATTAAAAGTTCCTGTATATGTTTTGAATGTTCCAAAGTCTATGAGCTGTAATGCCAAGCTTAGAGTCATCATACAGATATAACTCCATTCAAAATCACTTAACTCCATTCTTATCTTCACTGCAGACTGTATCTTCAGTATTTGCCAGTTCATTCAAATATAACACAGTTTCAGTCTCAAAACTTCCTCATTCATCCAGCTCCATCAGTAAAAACAGCAATTCTCAGTTCAGATATACACAATTCACCAGTTGCCCTCATGTAGATTTCTCTGCAATGTTAAGGAGCTTGTTTGATCCCTGGTCTTTCAGCTTTTACCTCATGAGATAGTAGCTGAGGTTCCTTACCCACAGGCCCTGCCTCCCTCCCTCCCTCCCTCATTTTTAACATCTACCTTCAAATAAAAAATGCTTTCAAATAGCCATTTATCATGGTTAAAGTTATTCACAGCCATGCATTATTCAGATAAAATAAAATGGGATTTATTTGGAACAAAATAAAACAAAACAAAACAAAATGGGATTTATTTGGGAGCAAATTATATTTTTAGCTAAAACACTTCAGCACTTTGATGAGTAAGTGGTATATAACTCCTGTTAAATAAATATATTTAAAGGTGCTATTGAGTTGCATGTGGCTTAATCATGGAAATGTGTAGAGGATTGATGCTTGCATCAGCATGCTGGCTCACATTACGCTTCAGACCTACCACCCATTGTTGCAAAAACTCACAATTTTTTGTTGTACTCTAACCCTGGTGGTTGTAAAGCATATAATGCGATAGAAGGGAACAAAATAAAATAACAATCATCTAAAAATGCTAAATATATCTAATGACTGAGGAATCATCATATTTTTGCTTGGTTTATTTGACATGCCAGATACCAGACAATCCCTAGTGTAAACTAGAGAAGTTGCAAATCTGCTGTTATTTATACTGTTGGCCACTGTAATGGATCTCTTGTAACAGTCCCCTTTCATCGGCTGCACCCTTAAGTCTATGTTTGGCCTGTATACTGGGGCATCTCCTTAGGACTGCTTTAACCTTTGCATCTCATTTTCTTGTAAATACCCTAGGCTCCACTGCCTAATTTTTTGTATATCACAGAATCTTTCTGTTTCTAAGCCATCATCCCATGCTGCGTTGATAATGTCATCATCCCACTATGCTTTCTGTTCATATTTCAGTGCTCTTTCAGCTTGGATAACGATCAGTTCTGTATTTTTTTTGGTAGGAAACCCTTCGGGGATAATGCACACAGTGCTGTGTTTTCTTCGATAGGCACGCCACTTTCCAAAAGCACCCAGAGATGTGAAGAGTGTTGGAGGAACCAGCAGGTGCAGAGCACCAGCCAAACCTTTTCCTCGAATGCATCAGCCAGTTTAGAATGTTGGCAAAGCACAGAGCTGGATCGCCATGGGAACCACTTTAGTCACGAGATGCAAACTTCCTCCTAGCCCTAACATTTGGATCCCCATTTTATTTCAGGATCTAAGCATAACACTACTTCTAATGCTTATTTGTCTGATCTAGCAAAGGAGGGGCAAACATGAGCACAGCCTTCAACACATGGAACAAATCTGTATCATGATGTTCATACAGTCCCCATTGAATTGTTTGGATTCAGTTTTGATCCACATTCTCATTGGGTCACTCATGACTAGTTCAGTGCTAGATCAGGACCCATGTGGTAACTGGGTTCTAACACTGAGCTTGAGTGTGGCAGTCCTAGCACTATGCAATGTTTTTAAAGCTACAAGCTAGAAAGTAATCTTAAAACCCCAGCTAGGATGCAACAAAAGCAATTAATGCATTGATGGGCACCAGATATTTTGTTGGGGTAGAAGGCTGGAAACCTGGAAACCTGGCTTGGTGGACTGAGAACCGTTTGCCATTCGTCTGATTGCCTCTTTTTCAGAAGCAGGGACATTTCTGGTTTGACATCCTTCAGATGCATAATTATGTTTGCTTGGTAATTTGCTTGGTTTAAACAAGGGTACAGGAAGCACATTCTTGTAGGGAAGGCGGTACACTTTCATCTTTTCTCCCAGTCTCCCCATCTGTATCTTCAAGCTGGGAGATCTCTGCACAAGAATGGTGTCTTGGTGTTGTTTTTCATATTTCTCATGGCGGAAGCTATTCCATTCCAGCAACCTTGTCCTGTGGAGAATGTAATTCCAGACTAAACAAGAATACGTTTTCACAGTGCAGGTTAGTGGCTGTCAACATTCCCTGGATCAGAAACACATGGAGCCCTTTAAAATTATCTTATACATTGTTTTAACCTTTACTCTCTTAGGCTATCCTTTCCTTTTTCCTGTTTCCTTTCCTGTTACATTTTCTCTGAAAGACGGCAATGATGTTACTAGTACAACTCACCTTTGGCAAACTTGTGACCTAATGGTGAGTTGCAGTCTTCCAGTTAAAGAATAAAAATGGCACAGCAGTTACAACTTGTGAGGAAAATGTAAATGGTACAGAACGGGGGTGGAGGCTAACATTTTGGGGCTAAGGGCTGCATTGACCCTCCAAGGTCCACATGTCCACATGTCGAAGTGAGTGTAATCAATAATTGTATGCATGTATGTGTAGACAGATTATACACACACACACACAGAGAGAGAGAGAGAGAGAGAGAGAGACCCCACATATATAATGGGTGTGTGTGTTGAGAGGTCACAAAAACTGCTAAGCATCACAGGATCAGAATACTGGGCCCATGAGAGTTGACAGATTTGGGATAGACACAAATCTTTTGATATCAAAGTATCACAAATGGGGTACCTATGGGAGCAGTCAGTTAAATAATGTTTTAACGTATTATTATTAGTAGTAGTAGTAGTAGTAGTATTCAAAATGGACAAAATTGAGGGGGGGGAGCCTTGGATGCAGTCAACAAATAAATATATGCTGCTGCTGTTGTTCTTGCTGTCATCTAAATAAAGAAACTTGGCAGGATTAGGAGGACCCAAAAAACCTTTTGGTATCATACACAGCAGGGGACCCCTGGGAGCAGTCTGTGCTTTAAAAAAAGTACATAACAACAAAAACAACAACATATTTTAATTGAATTTTTTTTAAGGCCCTTGGCATCATGGCTTCACAGGAGGAACCCATAGAAGCAATCAATTTTTTTTAAATGCTGTTACATGATGTGGGGGTGCCCATTGCTCAGAGCAGAGGGAAAATAATAGAGAAGGCCATGATATAGAGCAGTTGCAGGCATTCTTCTATGAAACCCATTTCAGTCTGGATTCTGGGACTGAATCAGCCTTGGTTGCCCTGATGGATGACCTTTATCAGGAGAGGGACAAGGGGAGTCAACCTGGCACAGTCTCTCCATGCCTTTTGATACAATTGACCATGGCATCCCCCTGGACCAGCTTGGTGGGGGTACCATTTTATGGTAGTTCCAATCCTACATGCAAGGTCAGTTCTTCAGTCCCCTGGCATCTGTGATACAGGGTGCCACAGGGCACTATTTTGTCCCCAGTGCTATTTAACACCTATGGGAAGCTCTTGGGAGCTGTCACAAGGGACTTTGGAGCAAAGTGTCATTAATTATGCTGATGCAGGCTCAGGAACAGTGTCTGGGTGCAGTAGTGGCTGGATGACGGCCAATATACTGCATTTAAACAAGGGGTAGGCAACCAAAGGCCCGGGGGCCGGATGCGGCCCAATCGCCTTCTCAATCTGGCCCGTGGACGGTCTGGGAATGAGCGTGTTTTGACATGAGTAGAATGTGTCCTTTTATTTAAAATGCATCTCTGGGTTATTTGTGGGGCACAGGAATGCATTCATCCCCCCCAAAAAAAGTTCGGCCCCTCACATGGTCTGAGGGATGGTGGACCGGCCCACGGCTGAAAAAGGTTGCCACCCCCTGATTTAAACCCTATCAAGATGAAGGCCCTCTGGGTGAGTTCCCTGTTCTGGATGGAGGTGCATTCCCTCTGAAGGAACTGGTACTCAATCTGGGGTGCTCGAGTCCTGGATCCATTTTTATTTTTATTTTGTCATGAGGCACATGTGGCCTCAGTGGCTTCGGAGTGCCCTTGAGCATCACCAGCAGGTAAAACAGCTACAGCTGCTCCGGAGCTAAGATTAGGTGGCCCCTGTTTTCCTGGCACTGGTGACCACAGGACTGGATTATTGCAATGTGCTCTATCTGGGGCTTCCCTTGGGCTTAGTCTGGAAGCTGCAGAAGCTGCAGCTGGCGAAGAATGCAGCGGCTAGGTTGTTGACACATTAACCGTGCATAATGTCTCTGCTGAGAGAGCTGCCAATATACTACAAGAACAATTCAAGGTTTGGCTTTTAGTTTCAGCATTTTAAACCCCAAGAACATGGGACCAAGTTAGCTTTATCCCTGGTCAGCAACTGCACTACTTTGATGGGGCACTGCTGAGAGTACCACATGCTTCAGGGCTGCTCTTAGCTTGTACCAGAAACTGGACATTTGATGTTGCAGCACCAATACTCTGGAATCAATTGCAAAATTTGGCAGGTGCGAAGCATCTTGATATTTACATGGCTACTAAAGATGCTTTCATTTAAGAAGGTCTTCTCTGAAGCATGGCCCCAGTCATTGTCTATTAACTGCATAATTTTTATTATTGCACAAATAGCTATTTCCTGTCTCACCTATCTGACCTGACACAGGAGAACTCTATTTGCTAATTTTGATTCCAAATTTGCAAAAGTTACTAAAAATTGAAAGTCAGTGAAAGTGTGACTACCTATTTCCTTGGCTGCTAGTTTAGAGTTACTTGGCTCTTAACACTGGCTAATTAAGCAGGAGCTGTAGTCAAATGCATTCATCTGTTTTCATTTTAAAAAATAATTTAAGACTATTTTCTGGGGAAAAGTCATTTCTCCTGCTTCTCCCCAGTAAAAAAAATCAACGATGCTTCACAAACAGCTTCATTCCTGGATGACTCATTAGTTTCTTCGTTCAGATCTTTGGAAAAACTGAATCAATTGCTAAGAGAAGCAACACAAATTCTGCCAAGTTTATCATCACTAGAAAGATTAAACCATCTCTAAATTCTTAACTATAAAATCATAATGTTAAAGTATCACTGAATGTTTAATGCCATGCATTAAAATCCTGCACCACTCCCTTTCCCTTCCTCACCCTGCCCAGTTGCTACTCAGTTTGATTTTAGTACAAAAAAGTTGAAATATGCTGATAAACCCTAGGAAAAAAACACATCAAACCCATTATATATATAAAAATGTTATATCCATAAAGTAAAATAATGCTTAAAAAGTACAATAATGATGGGCTTATACCTCTCTTGCCGCCTTACTTCCATAGTCAGATCCTCCCAAAGCATAGAGAAACTTTCCTTCTTGGCAACATTTCTCTCTTCTACATCACAGTTAAGAATGTTGACTTGTAGCGTGTCAGGGCTACTTAGCAAAGGAGTCCGCATTGCAAAAAATGTATTTTATCACAATGGATAATCCAAATGCTTTCTTGATTAAAGGCTCAACTTGCTTAATTTTTTGATCTCTGTTTTGTTATGTGAGTTCAGTTCGGATTACCACTGCTTAAGTATTTTGGTGCTCCTATTTTTATGTTCATGAATCACTTGGGGGATGATATGATGGATAAACTGGCAAGCAGAATCCTCTGAAGCATTTAGAATCTGTGCTGGATGCTAAAGTCTTTCAGTAACTTACTGAAAAGGGAGATGACATGTGGTTCAGGACTACTTGACTGACGCCTACGTTTTTGCTGTGCAGTATGGAGTTTTCAAAATCCAACCCAGACTACTTGGCAGGCATGAAAACAGGACAACCATGGTTAGCTGAATTAAGTTCTGGAGCAATGCTTTATGCATGATAATTGCTTTCACATATAGCTCTGGTGGCAATAGTGCTTTATTCACGAAGCAGAATCAATAATTGCTTCCTATAATTTAGGCTATATACCATTATAGAAACCATTGCCCATAAAATTATACAGCACAAAAACAGTCTATTATTAAAACTTATAACCAATAGAAACAGACACTCCTCAAAATGGAATGGACTCCCTTGGAAGGTGGTAGACTCTCTTTCTGTGGATGGTTTTAAAGCAGAAGTTGGAGGGCTATCTGTCAGTTGTGATTCCTGCATTGCAGAGGTCCATAGAATCCTAGAATTGCAGAATTGGAAGGGATTCTGAGGATCATCTAGTCCAACCCCCTGCTAGATAAGGAACCTGTGGTCCTCCAGATGATGCTGAACTACAACTCCCATCACCCCAGGCTACTGGCCAGGGGTATCAACTGACTCTTTTGGTCTAGTATACTGTATGTGGATTGGGTCCCCTGCTGCACTCAGAAATGGAGACATTTTTATCATTTGGAAATTTATACCATCTTTTTTAGATGTGGTTGGAGTACCCAAAAACAAATCAGGGTCATTCAACGGTATTAAGATGTCTGACAGATAGAATATCAACGTGTTAATCTTTCTCCATAATTGTAGTTCCATACTAGGAAAGGCTTGGCCTGTTTAATATCTGTCTGCTACCTAGCTGTTAAAGGCATAAGAGCATTTTGGAGCATGATCCATGAAGAAATAAAGAAAATACTAAGAATATCATACAGTAAAAGGCCAGAGGCATTCATTTTAGGAATTTTAAATGATGATATTCCAAAAGACAAAACTAAATTGTTCTTATACGCGACGTCTGCAGCAAGAATCCTGGTGGCTTAGTACTGGAAAGGGAATCTGTTACCCACTAGGGAAGAGTGGTTACGTAAGCTTTCAGAGTATTTAGAATTAGCTAAATTGACAGATATAATAAGACAAAAACCAAAAAGTGAAGTGAAAAAGGAATGTGAGTGTCTAAATGAATACCTTAAATATCTAGATGCTAGGATAGAGGTGATAAGGAAAACCGGAAGATACAATGAGAGATAAAGGAGGTGCTGTGGGATTGGTGGAAGTCAATGTTTGTTTTTCTTTTTAGTGTTTATATTATTCACTTGTAAGAAATGGATTTGGTTTTTTTAAATGTTGGTTTTTTGTGTTTTGTGTATTGTTATTTTTCGATATTTTTTGTGTTGTTGTGTGGAAAATACTAATAATTTTTAATTTTTTTTTTAAAAGGCATAAGAGCCCTGCTCTCCTCCAATGCCAACCCTAAACCATGCAAAGAAGTAAAGCTTCATGAGCTGTACTTGTAAATGAATTACGCCTCTGGTCTTTCATCAGCTGATCTTAGGGCTGGCAGTACTCCAATAGTACAAGACCAGGTGTAGTATTTCAGATGGAGGGGGGCAAATGTCATTTAAGATTTATAGCAGTTTTGTTCAGCTACTCATGCTGTGATAAATTCAACATTTAAGTACAGTGGTACCTCGGGTTAAGTACTTAATTCGTTCCAGAGGTCTGTTCTTAACCTGAAACTGTTCTTAACCTGAAGCGCCACTTTAGCTAATGGGGCCTCCTGCTGCTGACGCGCCGCCGGAGCACAATTTCTGTTCTCATCCTGAAGCAAAGTTCTTAACCTGAGGTACTATTTCTGGGTTAGCGGAGCGTGTAACCTGAAGCGTATGTAACCTGAAGTGTATGTACCACTGTAGCAAGCAGTGCTCCACTTGTTGTGGTTATTTATTAACATGTTTCTGTAAACCACTTTGAGGGATTGGGGGGTTTATTTTACAATCAAGTGCTATAAAAATTTTATGAAATCAATAAAGTAAATAAATAACACACATATTTTTTTCTATGAAGACCTTCACAGATGGAACAACTAAATGGAGCAACGGCTGCTGACTTCAATCAAGGAGGAGAAGAGTGTAAACAACACAATAAACTGAAATGCTAGAAATTCAGCAATGGCAATTCATTGTTTGATGCCATGTTTCAAAAGTATCCTCTCAGTTAACAATGTATGCCAATGACTCAGGAGGCCCTCAGTGAGGGTTTAATTCTGCACATACCTATAAATTCACCACTGCTTCTTCCTTCCTTCCTTCCTTCCTGTCCTAGAGATTCCTTTGTCTTCCCCAAGCAGATATAGTCATGATATAGTCTGTTGTGGCGCCTACTGTAGGCCTGGGCAGCTGGGTGACCTGTTATTTACAGTGGCCCATTCAGGGGCAGCTCATCCCATTTCACCACTTGAGGCAAAATGAGAATTGCTGCTTTGGCCTGCCGCTTCTGCCACCGCCGCTATACCTGCTGCTCTGCCTGCCCTGCTGCCTCCACCGCTGGCGTAGAAGTGGCGCCAATTTTGGGCGAGATCTTGTATGCTCTGCAAGATCTTGTGGGATTTTTAACACAATTGCAGCTGATACTGGCACTGCTTCAGTGCTGGCTGTGGGGCAAGCAGGGCACCCGGGGGCTGCTGCCTTAGGGGTTTCTGTCACCTGGCAGCCGCCTCAGTCTACCTAATGGCAGACCCAGCTTCGGGTCCAGAAGAGAAATCTCCCATGTTTGTTGCCTGGGACTACAAAAGCAGGTTTTTGACTCCTACCTGGTCAATGGGCTGCATTTTGATTGACAGCACCCAAATTGTGCTGGCAGAACCACCTGCTACTGGGTGTGATTGTGGGTGGATAGAAGTTTGAATTTATTCTGCTCCTATATCTGCACAGCTCTGTCATCTAGCAAGTTAAGCAACCTTTTAATACTCTTATTATTGCCGATGAACTAAACTTTTGAATCCTTTTTAAAAAACAAACAATGAAAATATTCTGGAAGGTTCTCCGTGTTATCTAAGGGATACAGGCTGGAAAATAGGTCAAATGCCACAAGTGTGACCAGACTGACCTTTCCATGAGTAAAGCTGACAGACAGATGCTTCTAAGTTTAGACAGAGTGTTCTGTGTTTTCTTATTGTATTATCCATATCATTCAGATTAATGTGATTTTTCTTTCACTTTAAATATTATTATATTAGAACAGTCTTCCCTCTTCTGTTTTACAAAACATGTATTTGTGCTAACTTGCTTGTATTTTTACTTTTATCCCTGTTTATCAGCTTGCAGTGCAATCCTGACCTAGACATGGCAGCGGTTGAGCCAGGGGTAGTGGGATGGAGCCATCACAGCACAACCAGACCAAGGGAAATCTGACCAGTTGAATTTCTGCCAGTCACACACCTGTAAAAATGCAGAGCATCAGCCCTTTTAAAGGGAAAAATGGCAAAGATAAAGCAAAATTAAAAATTACCATATTTTCATTTTTCCAAGTACTATTTTTTTAAAAAATACCTCAGATTTTTTGGAGCTAAAATTCACTTCATTGGATGCATAATTCTTGGTAATTCCTGATATCTTATGGAATAGTGCATTTGCCAGCCTCTAAAATGCTGCTAGAGAATTGTTTCATTTCTGCTGTTAGCCTTGGCTAGTTGGCTACCCATTATCAAAGGATTGAAAGGATACCAGAGTAATGTACCCAACACCACAAAGTGAGCCAGTGACAGGAGGATTTCACGGTTAAGTTTCCAGGTCCTCTCTCTGGTGTGCTTTTTTTCTAGAGGTATGAATACATGGAGGTTGTGGCCAATGGGCTCACTGGGAAGAAAATGTGCAGGCAATATTCTACCCAAAGGGTGATGCAGCCTAAAGGATTTGCCTATTAGCACCACCAACTCCTCCTCACAAACCACAACTCCTCTCATGGAGAAGACATGAACAGGAACTATAAGCATTTGTGGTGGACAAGGCGATCTATTGAAGGCTACAAGCCATGAGAGCTCTGCTCTGCCACAACAGCCAAAGGCAGCAATGCTTCTGAAGGCCAGTTGATGGAAACCACTGGAAAGGAGAGGACTGTTCTTGTGCTCAGATCCAGCTTGCAGGTTTCTCAGAGGTCAGCCACTATGAGAACAGGGTGCTGAACGAGAGGGGCCATTGGTGTGATCCAGCAGGCTCCTCTCATGTTCTAACGATCAGAAACAAATGGCAAGAGCATGTATAAAGTTCACCTGCCTCACCAACGAAGAACCCTCTGTATTTAATAAGGTTTCAAGTTGTCGCTCCATATAATGGGCTGCACGCCTTCATGTACAAAGCACACCCACTGAGGAAAAGAACAACTTGCTGCTTTGTATTCCTTACAGATGAAACAGGTGATGGTACGTGGATTAGTGGGTTGCACATCAAGGATTTGTCCAGGGGGCAGGTAATTGCCCCCCCCATAAGTAAATAAATAAAAACACTTAACCAAAGGAGGTTCTGTCCCGCCTCAACATAAAGCCCCAGCCTCCCCCCCCCCCCCATAAATCCTGGCTACTCCCATGTTGCACATCCTCCTTTCTTTCACTGGGCTTGCTCAGGAGACTACCATGGTAGCAGAATATACCCTAAATGTGTTATCCAAATTATTCCAATAAACGAATGCTTTTATTTGATTAATGGATTTGAGTAGAACTGTTTGGTTCAGCAGGTTTCTTCAGACTTCAGTTCATCTCCTGAAGAGCCTTGTT